GCAGTTCACCCACATTTGCTCCAGAAAAATATATGATTGTGCTTGGACAGTTCATGGGGAAAAAAATTTGTATTTACATGAGTATTTTCATTCTTAAGGCCAAATCTCTTCTGAAAGAGAAAGCATTCTTAACTGTTTCTAATCTCCTTGCACTACTGGTGGCAATAGTCTGCTGTTCCATGTATTTTATCTTTATAATTCACAGAGCTAGAAAAACTTTAATTGAAATTTAGACTGAAACAAAAAACATGGGAAATTAGAAAAGCTTACATTGAGTTCACTTTTATTGCATATTGTAATATATCTACTAAAAATAAGCACTTAAACAGCTCTAATGTAGTAAAAAAGGCTGCAGTTGCTAAATATTTTATTTGATTTTTACCTTCTTTCCATAAAAGAACTGTAGAAAGAAGCTGAAATTAACTGGGACTGATTTTACTTTAGAGATTTAATTAAGGTCAGTGTATTCACAGGTTAATGTACATTAATAAAACACACCAGCAATAGTCAGATTTGTATCATTTTGGTGTTTACTTGTCATAAACAGCAGAATCATGACCATGTGTTAATTGATTCAGATATGAGACATATGTCAACTTTGTTATTCTTTGCTGTATCTCACAATTTGTATATTCTCTGGCAGACACATTTGAAGATGATAATTGTTTCACCTCTGGAAAGGATGACCTTGATTTTGCTGGGTAAAATACTTCAATCTTTTTTGTTGTTGTTGTTGTTGTTGTTGTTGTTTTACTGTTTTCCCAGCGTTTCCCAAATTGTTGTCCCTCAGAACAGCAGAGCACAGACAGCACTGTGTGAATGTACAGGAGAAGGGTAGTGAAGTTAGTTTGGGAAATGGATACAGTACTTTCATTTTGGACGTTTATAATGCACATTAGTATATTAATTAAAGGTTCTGAGCCATTTTAACTCTCTTTTTAAATCTGTTAACAGAGTAATACCCTTCTAGTCACCAAAACACACTTTAGAAAACAGTGTCCTCTTTTACTTTACAAGTTGCTATTGTTATTTTTCTTCAGCAACATGAAAAAGAAAACAAAAGGAGCTAAGGCTGACCCAGAAGATGAAGATTCAGAAGGCAGTGATGATGACCTTGATAACTTGGACGATGATGAAGTTTCTTTAGGAAGTATGAATGAAGAATTTACTGAAATTGATGAAGATGGAGGAACATTCATGGATGTGTTTGACGATGAAAATGAGGGCATTCCAGGTAAGCGTTTTCAAAATATAAAATGCTTTTATATTTTTGTTTCAAAATATGAAACAAAGTATGTCTTCCTTTCTTCCTCACTGTAGGCTAGTTTTCCTGTTGAAGGTTTTTTAATATTACTCTGTATTCAGATTAATACTCAGATCAGCCAGAAATGTAAAGAGGACCCTTACCCCTCTCATTGAAACTGAAGGGTTTTCTTTAAAGCAGTTGAGTTTTGAGTTTTGGACTTTTATTTTAATCAACAATTAGGCTGTTTGGGCAATACCTATTGAGATGTTACATTCCCTTTTTAAAATGTTAGAATACTACTTAGCAGTTTCTAAAAGTTAATCAATATTCATCATAGCCCTAGAGCAGTCTTACTGTTTTTAAATTGCTTAATACCACATCTTGTTTTTGTTTTTGTTTTTGTTTTTTTGGTAACAGAACTTGACGAAGTCAGCTCCAAAGGCAATAGTAAGAGAAGCAAGAGAAAAGGTGCCAATGATTTTGACTTCGCTGGATCCTTTCAAGGTAAGAAAATGCATTTAGTCTTTTTCAAACTCACACAATGTGCATGTGAAAGTTGCTGTTATCATTTTGGGGAATTAACTTTTCTAAATTGGTTAGTACAATTTAGTTTATGTTTTTATAATGGATAATAACATTTTTCTGTATTTTTAATATGTGAAAATTGTTTCCCACATACACCTTCAGTAATTTTCTCTTCCTAAATTCCCTCCTCTCACATTTAAATGCCTCTAGATCATCTTTTCACTCGTGTTTAAACCATTCAGTTATATATGTAAGCCCTGGATTTTTCCATAGACAGCTATGGCGTTTTTCCTTTTCTCAACCCATTATTACTCTTGGCCATTTGACCCTTCTAAAAGTCCATGCTCTTTTTAAACTTCATTTTCCTTTTTTGTGAGATCTGCCATTTTGCTGCCATGACAAAATGATTTTAACTTCAAAAATATCTTACTAAAAAAAGATTTCTTCTTTATGCTAATTTGTTCTCTAGCATTTTTTAAAGTATACCATAACAGATTATGCTTTTTAATGTAACACTTATAAGATGCTAATAAGAGAAAAAAGTTTTATATTAGGTGATAATTTTAAATTTCTGATAAAAATGAAAAAAGCATTGTAATAAATATTTGATTCCTTAATTCTGTGGATAAATTCACAGGCTTGCTCCTTTTTCATGCTTTGCTTCTGTGCTTCTCTAGCTTCTACTTGCTATAAAGACTGATGAAGAATTTAAAAAACTGGCAAAGTTAAAAATAAAGTGTTTGACAATACTTTATTAAAATTAAACAGTAAATATTAAAAATATTTTTGAGGGGCTGGCCCAGTGACGCAGTGCTTAAGTTCATGCGTTCCGCTTTGGCAGCCCGGGGTTCACAGCTTCGGATCCCAGGTGTGGACCTGCACATCGCTCGTCAAGCCATCGTGTGGTGGCATCCCATATACGAAATAAAGGAAGACGGGCACAGATGTTTACTCACGGCCAATCTTCCTCACACACAAAAAAAATTGACAATAAATATCAAAAGTAATAAAATAACTATATATATTGGTAGTAGTCTTTCAGAGTTTTATGCCTACAAAATTTTTATCATCTCTTTCAAATATTGCTAACAATTGTAGTTCTCTTAATTAGATTAGATTTATCTCATGCATGTTTAAATTATAACATGTTATCTCCCAGATTTTATCTTCCATTGAGTGATGTAAGGTCACACTTTAATAGTAGCATATGCTCAAATATAAGGTAAAGTTTTCCTCCAGATCATCTCAGAAAAAAAATGTTGCTTTATCTTAAGTCCTCCTGAGACTGTCATACTGAAAGATTCTCTCTTGGGACCTTATTTTGAATAGTAAAGTACTATTTCAGAAGATACTAGGATCTCAAATCTCAATGAATAATAGTTTGGATGCTGACTGAAGGATACCTGACAGGATTTATTAAAACGAAAGAAGGAGGCAAAGAAATTTCAAACAGATGTCTTAATTGATCCTGGGGGAGTTTCACCCTACATTTGCAAATGTTGCATATCCTTAAGGAAAAACAAACCTTAAGAAGGCACTACTTGGGCCGGCCTGGTAGCACAGCAGTTAAAGTCCACATGTTCCGCTTTGGTGGCCCGGGGTTCGCCAGTTCGGATGCCAGGTGCAGACATGGCACCGCTTGGCAAGCCATGCTGTGGTAGATGTCCCACATATAAAGTACAGGAAGATGGGCAGGGATGTTAGCTCAGGGCCAGTCTTTCTTAGCAAAAAGAGGAGGATTGGCAGCAGATGTTAGCTCAGGGCTAATCATCCTCAAAAAAAAAAAAGGCAGTACAGAGTGCTTACTGATTGAAGTTATACACCTATTATAGGATGAATGAAAACCAAAAACATCTTTCCTAATGCTATACAAATGGGATTTTAGCTTAAGATAAAATATTCAATAATAGCATCATACACAGTTCTTAAATAACATAACCTACATTTCACCTTTATAAAACTTAACATGAAATTTTCTAGAAACTATTTTATCAAAAGTGGCTCTAGCAGCTAGCCCGGTGGCATAGTGGTTAAGTTTGTATGCTCTGCTTCCATGGCCTGGGGCTCACAGGTTCGGATCCCAGGCATGGACCTAGCATTGCTTGTCAAGCCATGCTATGGTGGCATCCCACATAAAATAGAGGAAGATTGGCACATGTGTTAGTTCAGCAATAATCTTCCTCACCAAAAAAAAAAAACCAAAGAAAAAAGTGGCTCTGGTAGATCCACGCAAAGACTTTACACAATTATTCATAGCAGCATTATTCATAATAGCCAAAAAGTGGGAACAACCCAGATGTCTTTCGACTGATGAATGGATAAGCAAAATATGGTACAGTAGTCCCCCCTTATCTTCGGGGGATACGTTCCAAGACCCCCAGTGGATGCGTGAAACCATGGATAGTACCAAACCCTAATATACTATGTTTTTTCCTATGTATACATACCTATGATAAAGTTTAATGTATAAATTAGGCACAGTAAGAGATTAACGACAATAATAAAAAAATAGAACAATTACAACTATAATAAAGTTTCTGTAGACCTTAGCAACCTCACCATAAGATTTTTTTTTCTTTCCTTATGAAATCAAGAACTTTCATCTTTTCACTTAAAGGAAGCACTTTTCGACTTCTCTTTGGCATATCCAAATTGCCAGCATCACTACTCTTGCGTTTTGGGGCCTTTTTTTTTTTTTGAGGAAGATTAGCCCTGAACTAACATCTGCCAATCCTCCTCTTTTTGCTGAGGAAGGCTGGCTCTGAGCTAACCTTCATGCCCATCTTCCTCCACTTTATATGTGGGATGCCTACCACAGCATGGCTTGCCAAGCAAGCAGTGCCATGTCCACACCTGGGATCTGAACTGGCAAACCCCGGGCCAATGAAGCAGAACAGGCAAACTTAACTGCTGTGCCACCAGGCCGGCCCCTGGGGCCATTATTAATAAAATAAGGGTCATTTGAACACAAGCACAGCAATCCCAAGAGAGTCGATCTAATAACCAAGATGACTACTAAGCGACTCACAGGCAGGTAGCGTATACAGCGAGGATAGGCTGACACAGGAATGATTCACATCCCAAGTGGGACAGCGTGAGATTTCATCAGGCTACTCAGAATGGCTCGCAATTTAAAACTTAGGAATTGTTTATTTCTGGAATTTTCCATTTTTTCAGACCGTGGTTGACCTCGGGTAACTGAAACCGAGGATAACGGGACTACTGTATACCCAAATAATGGGATATTATTCAGCAGTAAAATGGAGTGAAGTACTGATACATGCTATCATATGGATGAGCCTCAGAAATATTATGCGAAGTGAAAGCAGCCAGATACAGAAAACCACATACCGTATGAGCCTGTTTAAAGGCAACAGCCGGAAAAAGCAAAGCCTTCTTGGCAGGGGCGGGGTGGGGGTGCACCGGGACCCTTTGGAGCCGATGGAAATGTTCTGAAATTGCGCTGTGATGACAGTTGGACAACTTTAAGTTTACTAAAACATATTGAACTATACACTTGAAACAGCTGAATTTTATGACAAATTTTGTTCCTTAGTAAAGCAGTTTTTTAAAAGTGGCTCTAGCAGTATCAGAGACATTGATGTCAAAGATATGAAGAGTTGGAATAATAGTGTTTCAGGGAAAGTGACAATGAAAAAAATATTTCTAGTTAATATACTTTTAGATAATGTGATTTTAAATGTATGAATTAAAATTTAATAAATACTAAAAATAGACATTTTACTGTTTTATTTATGTTGAAAAGTTTATATATTCAGAATTATAGGTGAGTTTTTTTTTAAAGAGAACCACTTTATTTTGAGTATTATAAAGGAAACTTTATTTATAACACAATAAACATACCTTCCATCAATTTCACAGTCAGTCCAAAGTATAAAACCTCTGACATAATTAGAATTTACATTTTGTCTTAAATATTTCAAAATCCATCCATGTCAACTTTGGAATTTTAATCTTGCCTGATAGTATGAAATAGGGTAAACCTTGATCAGTGGCCAAATCTGAAAGACAAGAAGACACTAATGTCATCTGAACAGTTCTGTTGAGATATTAACTTTTTAAAAATAACTGTATACTAACTCTTAAATAAATCATATTTGTCTTTAAATACCAGCTACTTAATGGTGCTAGAAGATAACTGCAGTTGTGTATTTTAACTCAAATATAATTTTTTTAACAAAATTACGTTTCAAGATTTATGTTGTTCCAAATCTTTGGATTTACAATTTAATAATCTAGGTTTACACTTTTTTTTAGGACCAGGTAAAAAAAAGAAAAGAAATCTCAGTGACTCCAACCTATTTGTATCTGCTGAAGAGGTAAGGCTAATGTACTACTTTAAGAAATTAGCTATTCTACATTGTTTGAAGTTTTCTAATAAATTTATCCCTATTTTTTAAGTTTGGCCACCTACTGGATGAAAATATGGGTTCCAAGTTTGATAACATTGGCATGAATGCCATGGCTAACAAAGATAATGCAAGTAAGTAACTTGAATTTTTTATTGAGGTTTTAAAATAGCCTTAACTTAGAACTTCTGAAGATATAAATATTTTTGGAGGCCCTTCATACAGTAAGAGCAGGTAAAACAGTTCCTTACAACTCAGAAGGAATGGCTTTTTCATCTCTCTGTCTAGGAAGCTTATAGGATTAAAAACTAGGCTACAGCAAAAAGGACTACAGCTTACAAAAGTCACTCCAGTTGTTTGAGAGAGGCAGGCTGTGTTTCTGTAGTAGGGGGTTGCTGAGTAACTTTATAAGCGCTTCATAGGCCTTTTCATTATTTCTGATATTGATAGTTACTGGCTTCTGTTCTTTAAACAATAAAAGTAAATAAAACCCTTAGACCATTTGTTCCTTTCCTGTTCTAGTCCTTTTTATTTGTAAAACAGTAATCTTTGACAGTAAATACAGAAGGAAAGCAACACACAAGCAGGGGATTTGCATGTGGATGGTAAAGGACTGTAGGCCGTGGCAGACCAGAAGTTCCTGTTTCTCAGTAGATGTTCTGTGGTGGCACCAACAGTCTATAAGTGCTGTGCTCATCTTTCTTTCCCCCTCAAAGGTCTCAAACAGCTTAGATGGGAGGCTGAACGCGATGACTGGCTACACAACAGAGATGTGAGAAGTATCATCAAGAAAAAGAAAAATTTCAAAAAGAGGAGGCCAAAAACCACTCAAAAAATTAAAAAGCAAAGGAAATGAGTGTTTTCTAAATAAATTACAAATTAAAGTTCTACTTACTCCTAACTCTTGCTGTTGAACCATTTTTCTTGATCTTGCTCTCTGATTCCATACATTCCAGACTGTTCAATGGATTTGTAATAAACTATAAATAAAAATAGTCATTTATAAAATCGTGTGAAAGTGTTAAACTACACTGAGAAAAATCAAACTTTTCTCCCTTATTTTGTACACAGTAAAATGCAAAAGCTGATAACTGGATACGTATCTCACGTACAAGCTCTAGGATCGCTACTAGCATTGTAATGAGCACTATTTACTAAGCATTACTAGATACCAGATACTGTGCTGAGCAATTACACAATGTCATCTTGTTTAATCCTTGTAACAGTTCATGAGGTGGGCATTATCATCTCTACTTGACAGAAAGAAACAGCTCCAAGAAGTTAGCAAACCAGACATCACGTTAGCTTCTAAGGTTTGATCCCATCACCACCTCAGATATATCTCATTCCACAGTCTACATTCTGAACCACTGAAAGAATTAAGGACCCAGCCCATTAGCTGACTGCCCTCACCTCCAGATGAGAATTTTCTTCATGTTCTGCTCTCAGAAGGAGCTAAAATAGGGATGAATAGTATTTTTTGGAAATTGACATCACAAAATAAGTCATTTAGCCCTTAATAGGTCATAAAGAAATTACTTAATTTATAGGTTACCTGAAAAAGTTATTTTGTACTCTTATTTTTACTTAGCGAAAAACATACCTTCCAAGATGAAAGGGAATTTCTTGCTCATCGTTTGCCTGAAATCTGATGAAAAAAGAAGTCTTAAAATCAGATGTGATTAAAACATGGAGCCATAATTTAGTGCTAGCTTCAGGGTCTATAGATAGGAATCCTGTAGATTAGAAATTCGTGTTAAGGTGAAATATCTCCTTTTGGATAGGATCTAAGTTGCACTTGCCTTACATGTAGCCTTCCGTAGTTACTTTGGAGTTTTTAAAATTTGGCCTGTATATATGATATAATTTATTTAGAAATGGTATTTAAAAGCAAATTTTCACTGTTAGTGTGTAATTCCCTTATGTAACTTTATGAATTGTTTTTGTGGATGCCATTTTACCTTGTTATGGAATTAGAAATGACTTTTGTACCCAGTTTCTGAAGTTGATCCTAAACTTTAATTTGCTTTTAAATACTGTTTGGGTGTTTTCTTTTATACTCTTATAGTTTAAAAGTATAGAGATTTTGGGGCTGCCCTGTGGCTGAGTGGTTAAGTTCGTGCACTCCTCTTCGGCAGCCCAGGGCTTCGCTGGTTCGGATCCTGGGCGCAGACATGGCACTGCTCATCAGGCCATGCTGAGGTGGTGTCCCACATAGCACAACCAGAGGCATCACAACTAGAATACACAACTATGTACTGGGGGGCTTTAGGGGGAAGAAGGGGGAAAAAAACAGCAACAGATGTTAGCTCAGAGCCAATCTTAAAAAATATATGAGTATGGAGATTTTGTGAATATCCAACAGCATCCTGGAACTGTTCGAGTGAAGTACTTTAAAAAGACAAGTGACAAGTTTCGAAGATGGCCACCACCCTGGGCTGCTATTCCCTGCTTTAGGGAAAGAGAAAGCAGCACTTCTTAAGTTTAAAAGTTGAGGGTTCTAATATAAAATGTCCCCCTACAAAAACGTCAGAGCACCATCAGTGATAGCCAGTGGCAAGGGGAAGGTTTTAGCTCCCAGTACTAACGCAGAGGAAGAACTCTGCTAGCCTGCGAAACCAGTCGCTTGACAATTCAGCTCTGCTGCCTCTTGCTTGCTCAGTCTATCAAACAACAAGGTATAACGGGCAGGCTGAAGTCTTCCATCTGTGCGCCCAAGCTAAGCCAGCTCAGAGACACTTGCTCTGTGCCCCCTGCTAGTAAATCCATGGAAGTGTGAAACATTTTCCCTGGTTTACAAACAACAGTTTTCTTAGGGAGAAGTAAGAGCCATTTAGTCTACAATAATTAATACCTAGTTTCCCCTTGTACCCATAAAAATGCCTAATACAGTGAATCTGAAGAAGCAATTTCTGTAAAAATGCCATTTAGCACCTAAAGTGCATTAGCAAACTGTACACCCCTCTAGAAAACATGAACTTCTGAATTATTACCTTGGCTTGTATTCATCTTAGTAAACAAAAAATATGCTCCAAAAATGCCGAAAAGTTCAGCTACTAAAACTCCTTTAAAGATCTTCTTTGCCAGTGGTTCCATAGTGCGGGCCATCCTAAGTTTAACAAAAACAATTACATGTAAACCTGAATGAGCATGTTCACACTTCTTACCACTTCTATAAAAATAACTCCAATTCCTTCCCACAGTTTGACATTATCTATATAGGAATAAAACCCCAAAGTTACTATATACTTATTTGTATTAGGCATGGCCCACGGTCCCACTTTTCAGTCTCCATGTCTATGGGGCACAAGGTACCAAAAACATGATTGAATAAAGCACAGAGAGTTGATAAAATTGAAGGCATTGTAAAAAGAACAGTTTATGGAACTAAGATTTTAAAGTTGTCTAAGAATACAGAATGGTGGAAGATCGTGTAGATCATTTTTTCACCTGAACTAGGAATTAAGATATAACGTAAGGGACAGAATATGTGAAAGCTCTTTGTAAAGTACCCTACAAGAAACAGGTCATTCTATAAGTGGCGGTACATATTTTATAGCTGGAGGTTTTCATTTATTTATATAACATACATTGAACTATGTGCCATAGTCCAGGCACATTATACAAATTCGAGCAATAAACTCACTGGTTCTTCTTCCTGAGGGGCTGCTAGTCTAACAGTATTTTCAAACTAATAGCATCACTCAAAAGGCTCGTTAAACATGCGCATGCCTCGGCCTCAGCCTGCAATTCCGAACCGCCAGATTCTGACTCAGCAAGTCTAGGGTTGGCAGCCAGTAATCTGCCCCTTAGCAAGAAACTCCAAATGACTTTTACACAGGAGGTGCCTGGACCACACGAGGAAGAAAAGTGACCACCATCACCCAGTAAGTGGCAAAAGTAGACTTTAGATCTTGATTCTCTTCCCGTAATTAAAATAAAAGCTAATCAAAAGAAAGGTTTGTCTTTATTCTCTTTCTCTACAATAAAAGCTAAACAAGGAAAAGGGCTACATAAGTTGAGAAGATAGCATATATGACTCTTACTGAATACATGAAACGTAAACCCAAGTTTTTACTCTGCTGCCCTATAACCCCAAAGTCAAGAACGACAGGAGAACCAGTCGTTTTTCATCTCCGGATTTGGATATTGTCCTCTGTCTGCTCTTCCTCACACTGTTCTCTGTCCTCTGGCAGAGATGGCATGTTCTGATACTCCACGGTCCCAGCTCTGCTCACTGTCCTGCCTTCGTTCGCTTTTGACTCCTCTTCATAGTGCCTGAGGGTGGGGGTAATTAATACCCTACTTTTGTAGGATTATCCTACTAATAGTGTTACCAGGTGTCCCTTCCCCCCAAAATTCCCTTCTCTCATTTTGATAATGTGATCACCCTGGGGACGAAAAGATTAAAACTTTATTATTCTTACCTAAAAGAAATGAAGCAGAAGTTAAAAAAGAACTTACATATAAAACCAAGAGGCGGGTGAATGGGTGGGAAAGGAGAATTGTTTTGCACTGTTTACTACAATGCTGTACACTACAGACAGGAAATAAGTCAGGATCACTACAGAGAGTCTGCTTGGGGTTCTTTTTCTTTTTTTTTATTATATAAGTTCCAGGTGTACAGCATTAAAATTGAACATCTGCGTACACTACAAAGTGATCACTGCCACCAGTCTAGTCACCATCCGTCACCATACAGTTGACCTCCTGCACTCTTTGCCCACACCTCCTTCCCCTCTGGTAACCACTAATCTGTTCTCTGCATCTATGAGTTTTTTATTTTGTTTGTTTTATTTTTTATCTTCTAAATATGAGTGAAATCATACAGTATTTATCCTTCTCTGTCTGACTTATTTCACTTAGCATAATACCCTCAAGGTCCATCCATGTTGTCACAAATGGCAGGATTTCATTCTTTTTTATGGCTGAGTAGTATTCCATTGTACATATATAACAGCTTCTTTATCCATTCATGCATAGTTGGACACTTAGGTAGTTTCCATATCTCAGCTATTGTAAATAATGCTGCAATGAACATAGGGGTACATGTGTCTTTTCAAATTAATTTATCCACTTTGAATAAATACCTACAAGTGGAATAGCTGGGTTATATGGTAGTTCTATTCTTAATTTTTTGAGGAATCTTCATACAGTTTTCCATAGTGGTTGCACCAATTTACATTCCCACCAACAATGTACAAGAGGGTTCCCTTTTCCCCACATCCTCTCCAACACTTATGTCTCGTCTTTTTTATAATAGCCATTCTAACACGTGTGAGGTGATACGTCATTGTGGTTTTGATTTGCATTTCCCTAATAATTAGTGATACTGAGCATCTTGTCATGTGCTAGTTGGCCATCTGTATATTTTCTTTGGAAAAATGTCTATTCAGATCTTTTGCCCATTTTTTAATTGGGTTCTTTTTTTGTTACTGAGTTGTATGAGGTCTTCATATAGTTTGGATATTAACCCTTTATCTCCTGGGGTTATTTAATATTCAAGGAGTAAAAAAACCAAAGCAAATACAGCCTACCTGCAGCCAAATCCAGTGTAAGGAATCCAAGTAAAATTTTGTTTTGTTTTGTTGGGAGAGGACAAGGCCAAGAGTTCAAAATATAAAATCCAAATAACACTGTATAATAAAACATTCACCTTTCTTAAAAATATATGTACACATTTTACATTCCAAGTCCCTCATCTTAGGAGAGGTGTACAATTATAACGACTGATAAAACCCATTTGATAAAGACCACCAAAGGCATACCTGCCTCGACAAAATTAGGTTCCTAACTGGCAGAGGAGGAACAAGATTAGACAAGTTTTCGGAGAAGGGTGGAACTTAGGTGAAGTTTAAAGTAAAACAGTCCTCTGATGGGCTCAAAGAAAAGGAGGGCTGTGTGTCATGAGGTTACCGTCACACTGGACTGAGGAGCTGACTCAGGGTGCACAAGCTTAAGACAAAGGTGCAATGTTGCGTCCAAAAACCCCTCATCTGTGCACCAAAGCTGGAAATCGACAGGCCCAGCATCTCCAGCCAACATGATTTCAAACAGCAAGGTCTCTCACACTCTAGATGTTGGAGAACAAGATTTCTCAGCTATCTCCCTGGGTGTGATCAGCAAAAGCAGTTTTTCCAGGTTCCCACGGGCAAGAGCCAAGCAACCAGCGAGGCCTCCGAGAGCTGCCTCAGGCTGGCTGCCCACGATCGTCACCGCCGCACGACCCCCCGCATCAGGGGACCCTCTCCCCGGTCCTCTGGCGGTCCCCCGCCCGCCCGGGCTCCCTGGACGCTCCGACCCGGCCAGCAGCTGACACGAGCGGGCAGCGCAAGCGGCACCGTCCCCGCCTCGGGGCCAAGGTCGCCGAGCAACCCGGAAACAGTCGGGAGGGCCTGTCCCGCGCTCCTCCGGCGGAATAGATAGAGTGAAGCCAAGCGTTCCCCGCATGACCCCAGAGCTCTGGAGAGGCCCTCAGAACGCCTGCCTGCTGTGGGGAGCCCAAGTCAGGCCGCCGGGCTAGAGCCACGCAGCCGGGTCCTACCTGAGCTGCCGACACGCGGGGCTGCGCATGCGCAGGGGTTGGCAGAGCCCCGCCCCTCCTGGCGCTGGCCCCACCCCCACACCGTGATTACCATTTATCAGGCTCTTACTGAGTTGATCCTGACTGAGGGCTACATTATTTTATTTAATCCTCACGACAACCCTGTGTCATAAGAGGTGCTATGAGTATCATTTTATAGAGAAGGCAAGAGGTTTACCCTGCCCAGGCTCACACAGCTAATTAGAGACAAAACTTGGGTTTGAACTAAAGACACTGACTTGAAAGCCTGCGCTCCGTCATTTTTCTACACCCTGCAACCCAAAGTGTGATAGTCTCCGAGAGTCAGCATTATCGGCATCGACTGGGAGCTTGTCAGAAATGCAGACCTACTGACTCAGAATCTGCATTTTAGTCAGAGCCCGAGACAATTCTTTTGCAAATTAAAATGTGAGAAGCACTGCGTGTATTGCCTTCTGGGTAGCAGAAGGCAGAGGAGGAGGAGAAAAGGAATATAAAGGTCTGTTAAAGTACCATGTGCAAGACAAAGCCTGAAATACCCAAAATAGTTAGACACAGATCTGCCTTCACGGAAGTTATAGTCTAGGAGGGGGTAAAATATACCCACAACTAACCAATGTAAAGTACACCAGGATGAGCGCCCGGCGGCTTCTGATCTGAGGGATCCATGAAGGTTTTAGAGAATGGGCGCTGGATGGAGCTGCCTGTCAGTGCCAGGTAAAGGAAGTGTCTCTGAGGGCTCTCTGAGACCGCCCCAGTTTTCCTATGTGACTCCCACAGTCCGGCCCACACGGTTCATTTGCACAACTAAACTATCATAAATCGCGAGAAATGTGTATGCGTAAACTATATTCATTTAAAGCATGTCAATAGTCAAAATCACTCAGGTCTACACAGATCCAGAGTTTCAAACTGTTGCTTCCACTTCATCAACATTACTCGTATCCTCTTAACGTTTGGGCTTCACACTGGCTCTTGATCTCTTCTATCTGCTCTTTAGAAACTGCCTCTGGCTTGAATCTTCATTCTATTAATATTATGTGTCTAACGTTCTCTCAAGCTTTTCTCATAAGATCTCTTTTTGCACCGTGTTTTTTATTTTCTGTTATTGTTTTTGCTGTCATAACAAATTTGTCTCAAACTTTTCAGAACTCTAGCGCCAGGCATCACCTACTTTGTTGAGGTTCCCTTTTCCCCTTCGACCATTACATCCAGAATCTTTAGAGATTCATCCCCATTCAAAGATTCAGCCGCAATAAATGTTTCTCATTTTAAAAGCAACCCCTATGACTTCCAACAAACAATTTGTTTAAAAATATATACAGATATCACTTAAGACACTACTCTATGCCTTGAGCTGCCAGGTCGTCCATTGGTTTGAAATATCAGAGCATCTGTGTTAAAGGTACCAGGATGACAAAAAAAGATGAAAAAGTAATTGAAACGGTTCAGATTGAAAAAAGAAAAGAAAAAAATCCCAAAAGACCTTGATAACAAAGGCTGAAACAATTGCACAGAAACTCAATCACTTCCACTGGGGAGTGTATATAAGCCAATTAAGGGAGGTTGTTAACTGGAGTGGGAGTTTCCCAGTATCACACAAAACTTAACACCCTCACATCCACTTCTTACACATTGTGGACCCCACCATAGATTTCATAAACATGCTTTGAGATAAGGAACAGTTGGCCGCGAGGGTTAGGGCGGGAAAAGTGGAGACTCCAGTGGAGACTTTTTGATCAATAATAGGGGTAGAGGGCAGGGGGAGTTGGGGAAGGTGGAAGAGACTCTAGTGGCAGATTTTCAAAATGTCACTGATTGTCACAAGTAGCAGGTATAAGGGCTGCCCCTCGGCGTAATTGGGGCGAGGGGGTAACTAACTTGCCCCAGTCCCAACCCCAGAATGCAAATGCTCAAGCTCCTCTGTTCAGAAGTCCAGTCGATCCTCCTTCAAGTCTCCAGCACCTTTCCAAAGGGTCCTTTGCGGGCTGTGCATTCCCAGTGCGAGCTTGATTTGCTAACTCTGGCCAAGGGATGCAAGTGGCCAGGAGGAAGTTCTCCTTTTGGCATCATGCCCGAGGCACAGAATCTGGCTAGAAGAAGAAGACTGGAAGAAGTCCCAGTCTTCTGTAGCAGCCACAGTTCAAGGGCAACAGGGATCTCCACACTAACAAGGACCTAGGAGTTTACTGTCCATTCTCCCATGGTTGCCTCAGGGTAGGAGCAGCTAGCCAATCTGACCAGGATTCTGAGACAGCAGAGATTAGTCTAGATGAGTCATTGCTGCTGGGTGCCAAAGGACACCTTACTGGACAAGAGGGGCCCAGGAGCTTGGTGATGGCCCAGCCTTCCGTTCAGATGGCCAAAAGACACAGCGAGGTGGAGGGTAGACTGCCAGGGGCCAGAGTGGAATGGTTCTCTGTCACCTTTGGTCCTGGAGGCCAAAGCATTACCAGATAAATGGTCCTGGATCCCGAATATTTCCAGCATCCACCATCTCCTGGACTCCATCTCTGCCTTCCTGGTGTTCAACTTCTGAAGAAGGGAGCCAGTTTTTAGTAAATTCCCCAAATACAAAGAGGTTACAACCCTCTCCCACATGCAGGATTTCACAGTAAATTTCAATCCTGAACTACATCGGGAAGTAGCACTTCTCTTGTTAAGAGAAAAAAGCATGACTTAATCCTGAGTGGCACCCCACTACATAGAGAGGAAGATAGCACAGGAAGGCCAATTTAGTTCCCCCTAAAAATCAGCTTTGGGCCAATCAGGGTACAGGAGCCCAATGCTACTTGGCCCCTGCTGTACTAATCAGACTTAATTTCAATCACCCTAGACATTTTGTCACTCGTTTTCTCTCTCTCTCTTTTTTTTTTTTTTGGTAGAAAAAAAATTAAAAGAAAAGAAGGTAAGAGGGAAGGATCTCTTTAATCTCAAGGAAAGGAGCTTTAAATACACCTCCCATGCTGCTGCCACCAAAAGCATGAGCCAGGCCAGGATGGGTGGGATGCAAGGAGCTGAAAGGGGAACTGGTATTTCACAGAACATGAGGCCCACCTGCACTCAAAGGCAGGCCAGTGCAGATGCATTACACAGTCTAGGTTATTTTGGAACCATTCATGCTACTGTTCCCCGCAACACGCATGCCAGCAATGAAGAGGGGAGTAAGTAGAATTGTTGGGGTTGACAGGCTGCCCCGGGCCTAGGAAGACTAACAAGAATCAGAGCTCACATACCAATTCCAAACAGCCCCAAATCCTCCCATAATGACAGGCATTAGTGTCAGAACAGGATCCAGCCATATTGTCTTTTTTAATGTTTTACCCACTAAGAAGCAAACAAAGGACAACAACAACATTTGAATTAATGTCTTAAATTCTTCCTTCCCAGGGAAACAAAGATTCTTTACAATGTAAGGGACAATGCCACTAAGCAGCTTGGCCGGGGGCCAGTCCTACCCCTTTTCTTTTTTGGGAGGGAGATTCTGAAATACACAACCTTCCCACCAACAGTGGACAGCATCCCATTATTATGTAAGGTAATAAGACCTTCAAAGGGGAGCGCTGTCTGGAAATGCAAAAATAGTAAGATACTCAAATATTCTAATTTTACCTTTTTACATACTTTTAAAAAAATAATCACATATATAACAAAACCCACATACCTCTTCCTAACTAGGAACCCTTTTTGATCAGTTCTTTCCCCTCTGTAAATGGAGATTAAATGTTGCTCTCCTGAGCTGGCCCAGTGGCACAGCAGTTAAGTTCACAGGTTCCCACACTTCAGCGGCCCGGGATTCACCAGTTTGCAGCCGGGTTGCGAACGTGGCACCACTTGGCAAGCCATACTGTGGCAGGCATCCCACATATAAAAAGTAGAGGAAGATGGGCACAGATGTTAGCTCAGGACCAGTCTTCCTCAGCAAAAAGAGGAGAATTGGCAGCAGATGTTAGCTCAGGGCTAATCTTCCTCAAAACAAACAAACAAAAAGTTGCTCTCCCACTGCCTGCTTCAGTAAGATACTTTCTGCTGACATAAAATTTCTTCAGTTCTATGATGCACATGTTTCCATATGCTTACTTTTTTGAATTGGAAAGCATCTTTGAAATTGGAGGTGGGAATGTAGCCCAACTTATCCAAAGGAAAAACCATTGTATACATTTGATATAGTGTTTGTCTCAAACGCTGTTATTAAATAAAATGTTCAAAAATCCAGGGAATTTATTTCCCTTGTGGTCACAAAAATCTCCCTCCTCAGAAGGAGCCTTTTTTTCAGTGAAAATTCCCGTGGTCTTGTTTCTCATAGCAGATAAAGAAGCACCAAGAACACAGTGGCACTAACAACCAAACCCAGGACCTCTAAGAGAGATCTTGGTGTGACTGTCTTTTTGCCAGAGGACTGGGCTGCACTGCCCGCATTCCAACCCCAGCTCCTTGAACCATCGACTCTCCTCACCCCTGTAAAGCTCCAATTAACCTACCTGTAAAATGGTAGTGTAGGGGAGGAAGGCATTTCCTCTACCCTCTAGGTTCTTCCGGCTGGTCTAAGAATTAAATCGACATGAGACAGAATAACAGGGGAAAATCAAAGTTTAATAACATGTCTACATGGGAGAGACTCAGGAAAACTGAGTAACTCACCAAAATGGCCAAAGCCACCACCTTAAATACCATCTCCATTTAAAGACAAGGGGGATGTTGGGGGTAGTAGTTTTGCATTTCAAAGGGGAGGAAGGCAATTCACATGGAGATGGAAAAGCAAATGTTTGATAAACAAATGTTTGCCATGCCTTGCAAAGACAATGGCACATGGAGAGGATTGGATCAAATGGGCCTTGCTAGATTGCTCCCTGTTTACCACACCTGGTTCATGTTATACTATAGTTACCTATGGTGATAGCTCCTTGCTAGAACAGGCCTTCTATCTTAAACTATTTTAGGCAGTCAGGGGGAAGGTCAAAGTTTCTTCCTGAGTCTTTTGTTCTTAAAAATAAGCCAAAGAGACACATTTTATGGTGGCAAATCTGATCCCCCACAGTGATTTCATAGGACTGTTGTGAAGTTACATTAAATCATCCATGTAATCTTTCCAGCCTGGCAGGATGTGTGGTACATACAAGTGATCAATAATGTTAGCTATTATTTAACCCATATACGAATGCCTGCAGCAGCTAGGTAACTATGCATAACTAGGAGTTAACTTATTAAGTGTTAGCATTAGTCTAGAGAAAGGTAAATATAGTTTTAAAAAAAACTATGTTCCTAGAGTTAGAGGAAAAAAATCGAAGAAGATTAAGGAGAATAACATGGAGAAGAGAATGGGAGACAAAGAAGAAGAAAAGCTCAGTATATGTTTAGGGAAACTTGACTTAAGAAGAAGTCGAAGAGAGCAAATTTTGACTCAGAAAGAATCCTAGATAGGATACAGGCTAAATTACTGTAACAAAGAGACTGCGAAAATCTAGTAGCTACAACAACGTAGATAATTGCACCATTTCACACACAGCTCAGAAGGAGGTTTGTTATATGCAGGGTGGGTCAGGGGAGGGGGGTGACTCTATTTCACCAGGTGGTCAAGCAGGCCCGGTTGTCTCTATCTTATTGGTCTACCATCCCCTAGAGTGCTGTTTTTCTTGGAAGTACCAAGCCTGGCTGGCCAGCATCATGTCTGTCCTCCAGGTGTGGGAAAGAGGATAGAGAAGAATTAGAGAGGAAACAACTTCCTGTGTTGAGGACATAACTCTGAAGTTGCAGGCATTACTTCTGCTCACCTCCCCCCAGCCCCAGGGCCCCAGCAAGCTGCAAAGGAGGTGGGAATGTAGCCCGATTTATCCAAAGGAAAAAGAAGAGAGTGGCTACGGGGAAAGACTGTGCCGCAGAGAGTGAGCATCTCACTCTAGAGACAGTGACCAGCAGAGAATGAACTCAGGACAGGAGACACCATCACATTGTGAGTTTCCCTTGACAAAGCAGCTCCCTTCTAGGAACCATACAACTGTTGTTAAATGGGTCAGGAAGAGCAGCTGTCATTATCCCCATTCTACACGGACTTTTGAAGGTGTATTATGAGCTCAGAATCACACAACCAGTAAGTAGTAGAGCCAAGACTCAAACTCAGGTCTTCAGACTTCTAAGTCCATGAGCCAGTAACTGACGGAGCCGAGCCTGGTGCCTAGGGTTGCCTCCAAACGCCAGGCTCCTTCCCGCCCCACTGAATCGCCTCGCACTCCCATTGCTCCCTTGTCACCTCATGGAGGATGTGTGTGTAAAGCTATCAACCAAGGAGAGAGGCTTCATTCTGTGAACTGCTTTTTGCTAATAGGAAAATTGTATGCCTGATTCAACTAAATAACTATTTATTAGCTATTTAATATCTATTTTCATCTATTAAGAGATTCTATTCTTGCCTTCTTTAGGAAGGTTGCCCACAATGGTAACATAATCAACCTTGGGGTAATAGTCTCTGATCCTCAGACTGTTTTGCACCTGCGGGTTGCCTTTTGTCAGATGAGGGGATGTAAAAGGACAGGGAGGGTGGGGCGGGGGGATGAGAATTAAATTTCTTTCTCATGTGAATGGGAGGAGCCCTTAATTCCACCTCCTGAAAAACTCCATTCAAAGCTATCGCTGCCCCTGGACAACCACAGAGCAGGTCCGTTAGCAGGGAGCCAGCATGGCCAACAAGTCCAAGTTTATTGACTACATCGATGAAGCTCTGGAAAAATCCAAAGAAACTGCACTTTCTCGCTTGTTTTTCACCTATCAGGGGATTCCTTACCCGATCACCATGTGTACCTCAGAAACTTTCCAAGCCTTGGACACCTTTGAAGCCAGAAGCGATGACATAGTGCTAGCATCTTATCCCAAGTGTGGTAAATACCCAATCATTTTCTACCAGGGCACTTTTTCATAGTGAGCGGGTGGGGCAGGGCTCCAGGCAAAGGTGGGAGCAGGGCAGCTCATCTCCTCATGAAGCTCGCCAGGAACCAGTGGGGAGGGTGGCCAAGATGGTTAAGAACACAGCTTGTAAAATCAGTAACTAGAACTACTAGATTTAGAAACCCCAGTGTCTGAGGGAGGAGGTCTGTGTGAATAGAACACGATGGATGAGGGATGGAGGAGATGCATTGTGGGGCTGGCAGACAGAAACGTGAAGGCGGGAAAGTCCAGTGGCCATTGAGCACTGAGTGTAGTAGAGATTTTCGTCTTGATTTTTTCTTTCTGCTTTTTCTCCTCAAGTCCCCCCAGTACATAGTTGTATATATTTTAGTTGTGGGTCCTTCTAGTTGTGGCATGTGGGACACTGCCTCAGCATGGCCTGATGAGTGGTGCCAAGTCCGCACCCAGGATCCAAACCAGTGAAACCCTGGGCCACCGAAGCGGAGCCCACAAACTTAACCACTTGGCCACGGGGCCGGCCCCTTATCTTGATTTTTGACTGAAGACAAAAGCATGGCCACATCTATAATTTACATGATGATTTCCATGTAATAGATTATTTTTCAGGATCAAACATCAATCCTCCAGTTTCTCAAACAGTTTTACAATGTTTGTTCACTAGTGGAGGATAAGACATTAAGAATTTAAATTCTCCTATTTTACACTATTTTTGATGTTTTTATTTATTTATTTATTCATTTTTTGAGGAAGATTAGCCCTGAGCTAACATCTGCCACCAACCCCCTTTTTGCTGAGGAAGACTGGCCCTGAGCCACCATCCATGCCCATCTTCCTCTACTTTATATGTGGGACACCGGCCACAGCATGGCTTGCCAAGCAGTGCCGTTTATGCGCCCATGATCAGAACCTGCAAACCCCAGGCCCATGGAGCAGAAAGTGCAAACTTAACGGCTGCGCCACCGGGCGGGCCCCTGATGTTTTTAACTATTTCATCTCTAAGTGTTTATTAAAGCAAACATTTAATATTTTTCCTTCTCTTAATTGAGGCTGGGTTTTTATAAAATCAAAATTATCCTCCCCTTAAAAAAATTCATTAATTTAAGGTAAAATAATACATGATAAATAAGAAACAATAATTCCTATAGCATAATCTTGTTATATAAGGAACATATTCTACGTTCAAAAAGAAGTATTGTCTCTTGTTAAAGAAGAGATCTGAGAAATAAGTTAACTTGAGTTTTATACCAACGTAAGTAAAGGCTGTTTTGCACAAAACTGTTTCCTTCCATAGCCCAGGTTATTCTGAATGCAGAAGAACCAATTGTGCACATGAGAGAATGGTCTAGATTTTAATTTTTGTGATGTGTATGCTGAAGTAACATGCCTTTGTTATATCAAGGCTCTGTAATGAGCTTTGATTCTCTAATTTTTCTTATAGGTTCCAATTGGATCCTCCACATCATTAGTGAATCAATATTTGCTGATTCTAAAAAAAAGTATGAATATCCAGAATTCCCAGTTCTTGAATGTGGGGACCCAGAAAAATATCAGGTTAGTACAAAGAAGCCTTTAAACCCATAGCAAATTATCACAGAAAGATTTCTTCCATTCTGGGGATTTTTTAGTTTTGAGTTCAGAAAATACAACATTAATAATTATCACAATTTACTGTTGTGCTTACTGTATAATCTCAGCACTTTTCAGAGATTATCTCATTTTATCACAAAATAAACCATTTACAGCACTTATCACCATTTTACAGAAGATAAAACTGTTAGAGACCTGCCCAGGGTCAAGGAGTAATAAATGGCAGGGCCAAAACTTGAACCCACCTTTTCTGATTTGAGCTTCTCAACCTCTACGCTGTATAGCCGGCCTATTTAAAAAAAAAAAAAAAAATAGGAGGCTGAGAAAGTAAGCTGAGAAACCTGAGGAAACGAACTAAAACCAAAAAATCTTTACCTCTGAAGACACAGACACAGGCAAGATTCTCGAGGAGGGTTACTCTAAGGCCTAGATCATGTTGGCCTGAGTCTGTGTCAGCAGTCCCCAGGCTTTTCCCAATGAGACACGACGTTTGCTTTCCCTGTCTCAGGGATGGGAAGGGATCAAGGAGTAGCGGAGAGAGTAAGTCACCGATGTGTGTGAAGGCTGTAAAAGGTCATCCTACCTGTTACTACTCACCTTATCAATATAACTAGCTGGGTTTGGGGGTGAGACAGGATGTTCTGCTCCCTGCCCTGGGAAGGCAAGAAAAGCGCGGGAGGGAGATCCGCCTCAGGACCTTAGTGCTTGGAGAGAACAGATGAGAGGAGCACCACGGCCACTCCACCCCGCAAATGCATGCGGGAAAGGAAGACTGCAACCCAGGGTAAGCACCGCCTCAGCGAACTGTCAGGAGTGTTCACCACCAAGACTCCCGCCAGGCAGACAGAAGAACTCAGTGACTAAGATCAAAGTCACTGAATTGGGACTCAGGAAACAGTTTCTGGAAAGCAAGTGAGACTCTTGGCATGATAACAAATACAAACTTAGAAGTTGGATCCTGGTGGAAGGAAACCTGGTGCCATGGATTGGACCAACGTAACAGAAAAACACCCTGTGAATGAGGTGCTCAGGGACTCAGGGGAGGGAACAGTGGGGAGGCAAGTGCTGAATCCTGGATCTGGGTGGCTGCAACCTCAGCAGGCATCAGAGGGGCTGGCAGTCCCATCAGGGCCTGGAGTGTCATAAGCACACCAGATGCAGTCTGCATCAGGACAGGCCCAGGACGAGCGGACAGGAGTTTTAAGAAGCTTTTTCCTAGGTAAGAAATGAGTGGGCTAATGAAAAGCCCTATTGATTTCTGCTATGCAGCCTGTTGTGTAACTTTTTCTCTAAAGACAGTGTTTAGCATCACCTTTAAAAATGATGCTAACATTTGTCCAGCTTTCCAGCTTCTCATTTGAAAATGTATGACATTTATATTATCACTCACCTAACCAATATAACCACTACTATTGTATTTGCCGGTGGTGTTACTTAGCACTGAGATAAAAGGGTTTCTCTTTTGATTGAAATAGGGTTGGCATGCTGGCTTATAAATGTTTACATTATTTATACGTTTGTTTCCCCAGGAAAGCCTATTTTAATTTCCAAACAAATGACCTCAAACAAAACTTTGTAACACAAACCATTTATGAGTAGGCAACTTCCCATGATATTGCTTACCGACAGCGGGAAGAAGTTTTACTCCTGATCATGATTTTGACCTGCCAGGACTTGACGCTGAGCTACGCACCCAGTGCTCCAGGAAACTGTCTCTTACCTCACGGAAAACCTGGTCCTCCTGTTCCTCATCCAGGTTTCTTTCTGTTTCACCAAGTACTTTGTGTGGATGTCAAGCAAAGCATCCCTCTGTCTTCAGGTCCTTGCATTCTAAATCTGAGCTCTAATTACGAAATCGAAAGCTAAGCTTCCTGCTAAGGGAATTTCGAGATTTAATAAAGAGATCTAGATGATTTGTAAGTCAGGGAAGTCTTCTAGAAGCATCTAAACTTGAAAATGTTCTACAAGGTGAGACATATGATGCTAGCTCTGGGGTTTCTGGAAAACGTTTTAACTCAGTATGGTATTTTGGGTTTTGAAGTATTTTCATATCTATAATTTATCAGAAACACATATTTTTTCTTCAGGCATTTAAAAAAAACATCTTCTGTATTTTCATTGTAATTTCATCATACCTAGGAACAAAGATACTTTTCTATGTAATGTGCCTTTTGTTTTAAAATAGAAATCAGTGAGAAGATGAGCTGATATAATAGTTATTCATTTTACAGAAAACTTTGCTAAAATACACAGATTTTCTTAACATCTATCTATCTCTAGTCTTCACGTTGCTTACAGTTTGGCTATATCCCACATTTCCAGGAACATATTATATGCTTATCTAGTTTTGTTACCATTGACTCCCATTTTCCTCCTGGATGTGTTTCTAATCCTTTTAGGAACTGCACCACTTCTCCTATGTCCTTATGTGATTTCTGGCCCTGCCGTTGAGTGGAAACGGCACTCCATAACTTAATCTGAAAATTACCATTTGTGAGATTTTGCACAAAGCACTTAAAACCTCAAAGCCTGTTATTAAGCTCTAAAATGGGGATTACAATATTTCCCTGAAAAGATTGTTGTGAATGAATGTAAAAGTACCGCCAAAGCTAAAAAGCGCAATTTGACTAAATCACGTATTATGACTGCTAATCACCACTTGGACCCATATCATTGATTTAAATTGTTTTTATTTTTAAAACCTCACTTTTTTGCCCCTTTGCTTGAGTTGGGATCTCCACTAAGTTTTTACAGAACAATTGGCTAAAAAGTCTAAATATCATTTTATCAGTGAGTGACCTCTGAAAGCACAGAAAGGAATATTTGGACCTTAGCGCCCCACATAACATATACTAAAGGTCTGATTTTAAGATAAAACCCTGTATCCTCAGAAAATTAAGAATAGATCTACCATATGACCCAGCCATCCCACTGCTGGGTATTTATCCAAAGAACTTGAAAACACAAAGGCATAAAGATACCTGCACCCCTATGTTCACTGCAGCATTATTCACAATAGCCAAGACATGGAAGCAACCTAGGTGCCCATCAAGGGACGAATGGATAAAGAAGATGTGGTATTTATGCACGATGGAATACTACTCAGCCATCAGAAATTATGAAATCCGACCATTTATGACAACATGGATGGACCTTGAGGGTATTATGCTGAGTGAAATTAGTCAGAGGGAGAAAGTCAAATACCGTATGATCTCACTCATAAGTAGAAGATAAAAACAATGACAAACAAACACATAGCAACGGAGACTGGATTGGTGGTTACCATGGGGGAAGGGAGGGAGAGCAAAAGGGGTGATTAGGCTCACAGGTGAGGGGATGGACTATAATTAGTTTTTGGGTGGTGAACATGATGTAATCTACACAGAATTCGAAATATATTATGATGTACATCTGAAAGCTATATAATGTTATAATCCAATGTTACTGCAATGAAAACAAATGAAATTATAAAAAAAAAAAGATGAAACCCTTAACCCTGGCAGATTACACAGGTAACTTTATTTTTAAAATTATCAGTAGAAGTAGATTACAAAAAAAGAATAGTCACCAACTCCTTATACCGACAAGAATCTCTTCTGTAAACTATTTCTCAGATACTTAAGTGGCCCTGAGCACTTTCAGGCTCGGTTGCAATAGTCGATTACATGGAGTTGGTAAAAACAAACCAAACCAAACAAAACCTAGGTGTTAAAAATGGACTTGGAGGAGCTATGGAAAGACTTAAATATTCCTGTCAAAGACTTTGAATATAGAAGAGATCACAATTACGTGCAGGAGTGGACTGCAGACTATGAGCTGTCTTGAATAAAATGAACTTGGTATGATTGTGGGAAAAGGTAAATTTTTCAAGAAACGGTATGCGGGATCCAACAAGGACGTTCAAAGGGAAGATTTTAATTGTTTATTTATTTAGGATTCTCCATTCCTGATCCCCACAAAGTAAGAAAGTAGAAATAAAGAAAAATAGGAGGAGGAAGAGGAGAAACAGCACTCATAATGCTTGAAATTACCATTCAGATACTAAACTTAGGAGTGATTCATGACACACACACACACATGGTTTCACCTTATTGTGTATATTTTTAAGAGAATGAAACTGCTTCCATCACCAAGGATTTTGGCAACTCACCTCCATTATGATAAATTACCTGGCTCCATCTTCAAGAATAAAGCCAAGGTGAGTGTCCCTTCCTACTGGTATTTCAGTGTGAAGTTTTTAATGTATAGATAATTGGCTTTCTGAGCTTTATGATGAGCTTGCTACTCATCACGGAATTTTAATACACGAAGTGTGAGATTTAGTATTTCTTTTGTTGTCGTTTCTTTCTTCAGATATATTTGCTATAGTTGCATTCAAATCAAATGCATTTGCAGCCAGGATACAAAACATATACATAAAGTAGAACGTATTTTAAAATCAGTTTTATAGTGAATAGATTTCAAAATCCTACTTGTATATTTAGAGTGTTTAACAAAAAAATACAAACTAAGAAAATGAGCAAAAAAATGGTTCTTTCTGGTAAGCCCCCCCCCTTTATTTTTTTGCTGAGGAAGATTTGCCCTGAGCTAACATCTGTTGCCAATCTTCCTCTATTTTGTATGTGGGTTGCCACCACAGCACAGCTGGTGATGAGTGGTATAGGTCCATGCCCAGGAACTGAATCTGAGCCACCAAAGCAGAATGCGCCAAACTTAACCACTAGGTCACAGGGCTGGCCCCTCTAGCGAGTGCTATTTATCTGAGGTCTCAGAAAATTTTTTTTCTGAATTTCACATGTAATAGTAAACTTCACGTCAAGAATATTTAACTATAGGTGCTTTGGGTACTCTTATTTGTTTAAAAATTTTGTTTCATTAATCAGAATTGATCTATTCTCATAATTATTAGTTTTTACCCAATGCTTTTTGTTTTCACCTGGTCTCCCCTTCATTCCTTATTTCTTCATGCCTCTTTTCTCTGTCTCAGGAGAAAAAGATAAGAATTAATTAAATGAAGATTTATACTCTTGAATACCACAAAAAAGAAGGGGAGGATAATACAGTAATAGCAAAGAAAGACGAAGGAAGAAAACAGTTAAGTTACAAGAGGTAGGAGGGAAAATAATGGAGGAGGAAAGGAAGAGTTGGAGAGAAATCACTAGGGAAGTGGAGGCTTAGAATTATTGGCCTTGTGGCCACAGCACAAGAATCCTAGGAGCTTAGAATTGGAAAATACTTCGAGATTGTCTACTCTAATCCACATTAGGTGTTTGAATTCCACCACGTGGCTGTCTGGACTATGACTGAGCACCTCCAGTCATAAGGAACTCCTCTACCCGCAAGGAGCTTTAGACAGCTCTTTTAAACAGTCTTGATGTTGCAAATCTCCCAAATCAGAGACGTCACTTTAACATATAATTTCTCCAGTTTAATGCAGTTAAATATAATCACAAATCTAGGTGACCCTCTTTTTCCCCTTAATTATTCCATAAGAAACAGAGCTAAGGTACTTTATAAAGCATTTGGATTTGAAGCATGCAGGCTCTTGAACAGAGTTTCACTTTCACAAGAATACAAGGGCAAGAGAAGAGTGACAGAGCCGAGGAAAGAGGTTGATGCTGGCGACCTGTCCACACTCCAGCCAGCTGGCCCTCCCCCTTCAAACACGTGTCTTTGTAATATAAATTTCTATGAGCCAGGGCGACTAATGAGTGGTAATCAGAGCCCCGAATACAACCCCCTCAAGTGACGGGAATCTGCTCTATTCAGATGGGGGCAGAGGTGAGTTTTAGCCTGAACAAAAGACACAGACCCAGGGCATTTCTCTCTATTCAATTTTATCCTGTTAGCATTAGTTCCTATCTTTAGACTGATAAGTGATTGAAATCCTGATTCCCTCTCAGTTTCATGTCGTCTACAAATTTGATAAATACAGTTTCCATATCTTTTCCTAAATCACTCATTAAAATGTTGATGATGGCCCAATCAGGAGTGTGGAAATGCCATTAAAAATCTCCAGGTAGGTTTATGTTGATTATTTGGCCTCCTTTGCACATGAGCACTGCATCAGTGTTATAAGCCTAATTGCTCCTGCTTCTGGCATACATTTTGCAGAAGAAATCGTCAGCAGCAAATCTACTAATACAGAAACCACAGCCAAGAAAAACCTGGTGCGAGCCGGAAGCAACTTGTTCTTAGAAGACTCATGTTGCCCCCTGGTGGTTACTGCTTCCTCTTTTATCAAATCATATATTTAGTCAATTCTAGAAACCTCTCCCAAATGGAGGTCAACGTCACAAATCTGTACTCAGCAAAACGCATGCCTTCCTCCTTTCCAAAAGTGAAATGATGGCTGCGTGTTTCTAATCCTCTGAACTTCTTGTGCGTTATCTCAGCTTCCTCAGAGGTCACTAACAGTCCTCAGTGACGTATTCTCCAATTTCCTCAGTTCTTGAAATAGAAACCAGAAGGCCTAAACTCACTTGGAGCAGCCAGGTGGTCTCCCGCAATCTTTTAGTTCTCTTGGGTTTCAATTTGCTCTTCCTAATGTTTATTTCACACTTCTCATTTGGAAGAATGAATTCATTCCTCATCAGAGAAGACAGACATAACGTGGGAATTCAGAGGTTCTGCTTCCTCTGCGTCACCCATCGCACCTCGGCCCCAGAGAGCAGGCCGGCCACTCTTTGATCTTCTCCCACCAAACTCTGAACATTATCTTCCTTGTCCTTAACATTATTTTGCCGTTTTACTTTATTTGGTGGTTTACCCTTTCAGATCACACTCTTGTCACTACTCTAAGGAGCTCGCTCTTTTTTCTTTTTTTACATCTTCTCCACATGCCTTTTTACTGTTTAAATGCATTAGCAAAAGTTTTCTGCTACCACATCAATCTTTTTCTTTTTTTTTTTTTGAGGAAGATTAGCCCTGAGGTAACTACTGTCAACCTTCCTCTTTTTGCTGAGGAGGACCGGCCCTGAGCTAACATCCGTGCCCATCTTCCTCTGCTGTATATGTGGGATGCCTACCACAGCATGGCTTGCCAAGCGATGTCATGTCCGCACCCGGCACCCAAACCGGCGAACCCCTGGCCGCCGAGAAGTGGAACGTGCAAACTTGACCGAACTTAACCACTGCACCACCGGGCCAGCTCCCTACACATCAGTCTTTTTAAATTCTTTTTTCCTCCTCTCTCTCCAGCCTTCCCCATTTGCCGTCTCCTGTTCCTCAATTTCTTACTGTCATTCTTTCTCTACACATTAACAAAATTAGGTAGTACACAAGAGGACACAATGCTATTGCTCAGCCTTTCACTTTTCCAAAGTTCAAAACACACACCTAAATAAATTAACTTGATTTTCTCTCCCTAGATATTGGTGATATTTCGAAATCCTAAAGATACGGCAGTATCTTTTTTCCATTTCCACAATGATGTCCCTGATATTCCAAGCTATAGCTCTTGGGATGAATTCTTCAGACAATTCATGAAAGGACAAGGTATGGCTGTTGGTAAAAAAATTCTTCTTGCTTCAACAGATGACCACATAAATATGAAATTCAAATGTGTTTTAGGAGAAAGAACGAAAGAAGATTAAGGTGGATCCAGGAACCAAAAATTTGCTTTTAAATGAAGTTTTATAGCACCACTACTTCTCTGCATCAAAAAATGTATTACTGTGTTTAAAAATAACTTGGACAATTCATATGTTGACAATGAATACGGAGTGGCCATAGAACAGACATGGGACAAAGACGCCATATAGAGTGATGTAGAAAAGCATTTCTAGTTTATTTCCACTAAGTCTCTGTATAACACAGTGATAAAAACCAAAAAAAGATAAAATCATGACACTGAGCAACCTGACCTAAGATATTTGTTTGCCAGAAAGGAAATAAGCTTTCTTAGATCACATTTACCTCTGCCTTTTGATAACTACAATTTTAGAAGTGCCTACAAATGCTCCAGGTACTAAATCAGGTGTTGTATACGCATGATTTCATTTAATACCACAGCAAACTATGAGTAAGGCAGCATCAACCCCACTGCACAGATGAGGAAACTAACCAAAAAACTTCAATCACTTGCCAACAGTCCCACGGCTTGTAAGCAGCAGTGACTCCACTTCCATGGGTGCAGTGGCCTGAGATTAATAAACGCCCCCTTTACTCATGGCCCTCTTGAGTCTCCACAGTGTAGTAAAAGGAAGAATTAATGCCAGATGAGCCCAGAGGAGAAATTGTTGCCAGGTCCCTCTAACAGGACCACTTTTAAAGGTGATCAGCACAGCAATGCCACACCATCCCACATGCACGGACACTGGGTACAGCACTGGCTCCTCAGCAAAGACTGAACATTGAGATTGGGCTGTAGAGAGAAAAACAGTGCACAGAAGGTGCTTATGAAGCACCATTAAGAAAGCTTTGGTTTGTCTGGTAGCCACTCACTAAGACTGGATGGAAGCAGTTAAGGCAAGTCTGGAACATTCCCCAACTGAAAACACAAGAGCACATTCAATAATGAGAAAGCTGTCATCAATGGGATGATTTATTTCTGGGAAATCCTTTTTGCCCTATCCATCCTTTTAGCCTAATTATTTGATTGATAAGATGCGGCAGTGATAACTTAGATGGCGTTTCTGCCTTGCAAACTTGTTCAATTCAACTTATGGAGGCAGCTGAATGTACCAGAAAACCTACAGGGTCTGGAATGAGAAGGCCTGGATTGGGGTTCATCACTTTTTATTTTATATTAGTAATTAATATTAGATGGAATAAAATAGCTACCACTTCTTGAGCAGTTACTTGATGCTAGATGCTACTTGCTATGTCCAGCACACATTATTTAATTTTGATTCTCATAAGAACCCTAGGAGGATAATACTATCATTATCCCGATTTTATGAAGAGGAAATAGAGATATAAAAGTCACACAGCCATTAAGTAGCAGAGCTAGAAATTAAACTCAGGTTCAAATCACTCACTGCCTGGGCAATTCTGAGCAAGACGTTTGACCTCTCTGAACTCTGGCTTCCTTCCTTGTAAAGTGAAGATAAGAATACCTGACCTACAGGAGGTAAGACAACAACATTTTGTTTGGCAAAACTAGCTCTGGTGTCAGACTGACTTTGAAAAATGGCAATATCCATAACTTTCTAACTGTGTGGCCTTAAAGTGGCTACTGAGCCTCTCTGAGAGATTTCTATTTCTGCATCAACAAAATGGGTATAAAAATTCTACCTATCACATTGGGTTGCTTTAAAGATTGAAGGATAAAATGTGTATGTACCAATTAATAGTACATTTGGAAGAGGAGAAAACCAGACCACAGTGGCCTAAACAGATTGGGTTTTATTTTTATCACCTAACAAGAAGTCCGAAGGTAGGCAACTGGTTCAGCAGCCCGGGATGTCAGGCCAGCCCCTGGGCCTCTCTCTGATGCTTTTGGCAAGATACTCTCAAGCTGGCTACCGTTTTGCCAAGGATTGCCTTCAGATCGTGAAGAAGGCTTATCAGAACAGCGACAGTTTTGCTAGAAACCTCCTAGCAGACCCCTGCTTGTGTCTCACTGGCCAGAACCACATTATGTGACCAATCACAGCTGTAAGGGAGGCAGCAAAGTGGGAAACAGAATTCTCATGATTGCCTTAGACCCAAATAATCAGGTTTGGTTAGCAACAAAGAAGGGGGGTGTATTGGATACTGGGTAGGAAACTTACAGTATTTACCACAACAAATAAAACATATAGAAACTGCCAGGCTCAAAGCAAGGACTTCATGATAAGGATAATAATAATAATAAATATGAGAAAATTATTATTATTAATGATATAATAATAATAGCTAAAATTTATGGAGTGGGTGCTATTGATCAGACACTGTTTTAAGCATTTGATATGTGTTAATTCATTTAAACCTCATAGCAACCCGATTTTACAGATGAAGAAACTAAGGTGCAAACATGTTTAGGGAGTTGCTCCAAGTTACACAGCTAGTGGGCAGCCCAGCTGATCAATGTCTAGACCTGCACTGTCCAGTATGGTAGCCACTAGCCACATGTGGCAATTGAGCGCTTGAAATGGACTAGAGCCATTGAAGAGCTTATTTAATTTAATTTAATTTAATTTAAATTTAAACTTAAAACAGATACTCAATTCACTGACTGGAAACTTTTCAGTAAGTTTGGTACGAGTTGAGTGTATGAATCTACTTTTTCTTTTTCTTTTTTTTTTTTGAGGAAGATTAGCCCTGGGCTAACTACTACCAGTCCTCCTCTTTTTGCTGAGGAAGACTGGCCCTGAGTTAACATCCATACCCATCTTCCTCTACTTTCTATGTGGGACGCCTACCACAGCATGGTGTGCCAAGCGGTGCCATGTCCGCACCCGGGATCTGAACCAGCGAACCCGGGGCCGCCGAAGTGGAATGTGCGCACTTAACCACTGTGCCACCGGGCCAGGCCCTGAATCTACTTTTTCAACCATAAGTTTTATGCAGTCTAGATACACATCTAGTATTTCTGATAAAAACTTAGCATTCAAATTGAGATTCTCTATAAGTGCAAAATACCCATTGGCTTTTGAACACTGAGAATATAAAAATAATAGGTAATGTTTTGTTAATAACTTTTTATCTTGATTACATGCCTAAATGATAATATTTTTTGATATGTTAAGTAGAATAAAATATTAAAATTAATTCCACTAGTTTCTCCTTGCTTTTCTTAATGTGGCTATTAGAAAACTTAAAATTACAGATGTGGTGTGCACTCTTTTCTATTGGACAATGTTGGTCTAGATCACATTTGTCTCATCATTTCTTTCTTTTTGGCATATCTTTGTCAGTTTTCATGTACCGTTCACTATTTCTGAATTATTTTATTCACCTAAATAATCATGAATGTCTGTTAGTTTTTATCAAGCCACTTTTACAACTTGCCTAGTTGTGTTATTATTTATGAAGACTTGAAAATGAATATAAATTTGACAGTAGGGCTGGCTTATGCCTGTACTTTTCAAGCAGGGATCTGCAGTAACTTATAAACATCTTGTTTGGGCATATACACATATGTGCAGTTTATATTTTAGAGCATAAATTAACCATCTATCATTTTAATCTCAATTACTTAAAATTCTTTAAGAAGTTTTTTTTTTCCTTGTGTTTTTAGTTTCCTGGGGAAGCTATTTTGATTTTGCAATTAATTGGAACAAACATCTGGATGATGAAAACGTTAAATTCATATTATATGAAGACCTGAAAGAGGTGAGATTATGGTTACTGATATTCTATAGCAAGATTATCATAAACTACAACATAGAGCACTTATTCATAACGTCTGATTGTATGAAAAAATATTGTATTCAATTTAAAAAAAAGAACATTCCAGATACGTGGTATAGTGCTAGGGGAAAAAATCCAAACAATGCATAAGTGCTTAGGTTGTTTATTTAACAGAAATAAAATAATGCTTAGCAAAATTATTACTAACAGTGGCTGCTTTATTTTCCCTTTCTAATAGATAGTCCAAATTAGGAATGGAAAAGACATTAGGTAGGTCTCAATTGAGATTTACTGGAACATCCATTTGATTGTGAATTAATTTTTCCATATAATGGTTTTTTAATTGTTCACCAACATTTAGTGAGTGATTGCTCAGCATTGTTCAAGGACCTTGTGAGACATCAGTGAACAGACCAGACAAAGCTCCCTGCCCTGGAGAAGCTTACGTTCTAGCTGGAGAAGGCAGGGAGACAGAACAATAAATAACAAACACAATAAAAATTTAAAGGTACATAATATGCATGAAAAAAGAAACAGCATAGCTGATTAAGGAAAACTGGAAATGCCAGGGAGCGGGGGATGGTGATGCTGGACAAATCCCAGTAGAAATCAGGATGCTTGGGGAAAGCCTCATGGAGAGGATGTGGTTTGAGCAAAGATCTGAAGGAGATGAGGGAGTGAACCGACTGGTAACTGGGGTAAGAGCTTTCCAGGCAGAGGGAGTCAACTGGAGCAAAGGTAGGAGGTAGGAGCTCCTGGTATGATTAGGGGACAGGAAGGAGGCAGATGTGGCTGGGTCAAGAGAGATGAACCAGAGGAGACTAACCAATGAAGACAGAGGTAAGAGAGTGGGGTAGGCTGGAGTACAAGGAATGGTGGGGCAGGCCATGGAAATTACTTTAGCTTTCACTCTGACTGAAATGGGAAGCCACTGTAGGATTCAAGCAGAAGAGCTCAAGATAAGAGTGGATGTGTTCTTAATAGGATCATTCTGGCTGGTATGTAAGAAAGAATTGGAGGAGCAAGGATAGTGCAGGGAAACCTGGGGGATGCTACTGCAGGGGTCCAGGCAAGAGAAGACGGTGGCTCAGACCAAAAGAGGCAGTGGACGTGATGAGAAGTGGTTGAATTCTGGATATACATTGAAGGAAGAACCAATAGGATTTGCAGCTGCTTGGATGGGAGAAAGAGTAGTGGGAGAAAAAGAGAAGTCAAATAATCCTCCAATATTATTGGCCTGACCAACTGGAAGGATTGAGTTGTTATTTGAGTAGGAGATGGCAGCAGGTGAAGCAGGATTGTGGGAGAGATCAGGCATCTGGTTTTGGACATGCTAAGTTTGAGATGTTTGTTAGTCATCCAAATGGAGAGGTCAAGTAGGCAGTTGGGTATAAAAGTCTTGAATGCCGAGAGTGTTCTGGGCTATAGATATAAAATTGCCACAAAAATGGCATTTAAAGTCATGAGATTATATACCTATGTATCTAAGTATATGGATAAAGAAAAGAAGACCAAGAACTGAGCCCTGGAGCCTTCCAATATAAAGAGTTTGGGGGAAAGAGGAGGAATCTGCAAAGGAGACTAAGGAGTGGCTTATGAGCTAGGAGGAAAACCAGAGCAATGGAAGCCCAGTGAAGAAAGTATATTAAAGAAAGGGAGTGTGTCAAATGGTCTCGAATTTAGTTGAGTTTTTAATACGCGTCTCCCCTGACATTCTTATCAAAGGAAAGTGTAATTGAATCCATCCCTTCTGTTTATAGGGTGCATTTATACAACAGGAAAGAACAGACTAATTTAGTCTTTTCTCCTTCTAGTCTAGAATAATGTTTCTAAAACTTGTGCTCGATGGAATGCCAGTGCTGCCCCAGATGTTAATAATTCTTTCTTGGGGGTTGGAAGGAGGCTGCCTGTTCAAATCGATTTGAGGACTGCTGGATTACCTACTCTGCTCCTTTGGGAGATTCACATTGCACATGGACATTAAAGATTGAGAGATCTTTAGGAGGAAAAAAAAAAAGCTTTCCTTTATTTAACTCAAAGGATTCCAAACTTATCTGACCTCAACTCTTCACTCTTCCTTTTTTCTTCCCCCATGAAACATCTATAACCACCCTCAAGTATATAAGTGTTTTGTAGAATACAGTTTAAGAAATTGTTGTAGAAGATTTATGGATCTCCATTGGTCAGGGATGCTGGTGAAGGGGCTCATGATTTAGATAAAATGAATTTCAAGATTTCTTCTAGTTTTTCTGATTCTAAAAATTAGACTTTCTTGATGGAATTAAACTATTAGCTACAAATAGGATTCAGAAGAAAAGAGAATTCGAATGAACATGTACAAATACATTAATTTCCTCAGCTGGTTTAGACTGGTGCTTTTTTAATAAAATGAATATCATCTTAGGTAACATTCTAACTTACTAATTAAGGCTTACTGTCATTATTGATATCCTGGATGGTTCAACAAGAGTCACAAATTGAAACTACAAAGTAAAATCAGTACAGAATATCTTATAGGGATATCTCAAATATTTATACAGAAGTACCAAAGTCAGTCCAAAGAGACAGACAAACAGATGAATTAGAGAGTTAGGCTTAATAAATCCATTCTGTCTAAGAAGCCTGTCTTTCCTTGGGGTATAATTCCCATAGAAAGAAGATTATCATTTAAAATTATATTTTCAGAATCTGGCCGCTGGAATAAAACAAATTACTGAGTTCTTTGGATTCTCTCTAACTGGGGAGCAGATTCAAACGATCTCAGCCCAGAGCACCTTCCAGGCAATGAGAGCAAAGTCCTGGGAAACACACGGGGCGGTGGGCCCATTCCTCTTCCGCAAAGGTAAAGTTGCCTGGGTCGGGGGGACGTCCACCAATGCGCATGTAACAGGCAGTCCAAATAACTTTGTCTTAAATAAGACAGGGTTTTCTTTTTCTCTCCCTCAACAAGAAGTCTGGACACAGGCAGTTCAGAGCTGGAAGTGGCAGCTCCACAGTATTGTTTAGAACACTCAGTGCCGTCTACCTTCCCGCCTGTCACCTTGTGAGGATAAAAGAGCAGCAAGAGCTCCACCATTACATTAAAATTAAAGGGTTATTTTTGTTAAAATAAAAAGGGAAGGGCAAGAGACAGAGTCATGTGTATTTGCTGAGTGAGCCCCCTTTAAAGAACTCTGTGGGAAGCCTCACTCAGTGACTTCTCACATCAAGGTCACCCCACACTGCACCATTAGCTGGGAAATGCGGTTTACGTGAGCATATTATTACCCACTTCAAATCAGGGGACGAAGGAGAAAATGAGTATTGGATAGGCAACTAGCTGTCTCTGCCAATGATGATTTTATTAAATTTCATTAAAGCAATGTATTTTTATTTTTATTTTTTGAGGAAGATTAGCCCTGAGCTAACATCTGCTGCCAATCCTCCTCTTTTTGCTGAGGAAGACTGGCCCTGAGCTAACATCTGTGCTCATCTTCCTTTACTTTATATGTGGGACGCCTACCTCAGCATGGCGTGCCAAGCGGTGCCATGTCCACACCCAGGATCCAAACCGGTGAACCCCAGGCCGCCAAAGCAGAACATATGAACTTCACTACTGCGCCACTGGGCCAGCCCTGCAATGCACTTTCTTATGGAAATTATCACAATATAGCTTAGGGATTGCCAAGTTTACTTTTTATTGCCTATATAATGAAATATAACATGATTTAGAGGCAGGACATATAACAGCAACAGCTATCATTTATTGGGCAGCTATTATGTGTTCGATACTTTGCTGGGTTTAAATTTTACTGCAAAAGGATATTAAATCCCTAACTTTACAAATGTGGGCACCAAAGCTCAGGGATATTAGTTAGTCCATTGTCGCAAAGTTAATAAACAATGGAGCCAGGATTTGAACATAGTTCTACTTGACGCTACTACACTTTTTCAGATGAAGATCCATTTCAAAAATGCACTGTGAATGGAACATTGAATGTAAGTCTGGCTTTGCTGTGATTCCTGACTTGAACCTTGATTTTTATGCTTTGTTTTATTAGCTTTAAGGAGGAGGAGAATAGACCCATCTATACATGTTAATGAAGTACTATTCAGAATAGAAAAATTCTAAAATAAAGTATTAATTTCAAAAATAATTTCAAAAATCTTCCTTGTAGAAAATTCAGAAAGCACAGAAAAATGTGAAAGTGCAAAATTATCCACATTTCTCCTGCCAGAGGCAGGTTTAACCTTTTGGCATATTTCTCTAAGCTTATTCTGTGATGTTTTACATAGTTGATGACATTTGTGAACACATTTGTGTTTTATTTTCTTCCCTTCGTATACCTAAGCATTTCCTCATGTAAGGAAACCCTCTTTATAAACATACATTTCAATGGATATGCAATAAGGAACTTACAACCTGAACCCCAAAATGAAAAGATTCTAAAGAAAGAAGTAATTTTCTTTTTAAAAACAAGTAAGAAAAACACATCCTAATCTCAGGTAAAATAATAACGTTTTGCAAACTTTTCAGTATCTGAGGTCTTAATCAAAACCTGCTGTAAAATGTTAACTTTTCAAGGGGTATTTAAAGTATTTAAAAGACTTCAGGGGCTGGCCCCATGGCCGAGTGGTTGGGTTCCCATGCTCCACTTTGGTGGCCTGGGGTTTCACCAGTTTGGATCCTGGGTACAGACATGGCACCACTCATCAGGCCATGCTGAGGTGGCATCCCACATGCCACAGCTGGAGAGACACACAACTGAAAATACACAACTGTGTACAGGGGGGCTTTGGGGAGAAAAATGGAAAATAGAATCTTTAGGTCTTTATAGAGGAAAGGAAAATGACTCTGTTGGGTAATAATGTGCCCACCTTAAAAAAAATGCTTTAAGTTCCTAAAAGTGGAATTTTAGGTCCCGGGTATTGGAAGAGGGGTTAGGGATGGGAGATCATTGAGGCCAAGGGCCCCCTCAGTGATGTACAGAAAAATGTCACCCAGCACACCACAGATGGGGAAGCCCCAAAGGATATTGTTAATTTTACAAGAGAAATTACATTAGTTTTTAAGGCTGTCTAATTTTTTTCGTGTCCATTTTCACACTTCAAAGTGAAACACTGCACCAAAAAATGGTAAAATCAAGAAGAAATATTCTAACAGATGTCTGGGTCTACTGTTTTTTTGTGTGTTGTAGGTGAAGTTGGTGACTGGAAAAATCTGTTCACTGAAACTCAGAACCAGGAAATGGATGAAAAATTCAAAGAGCGCTTAGCAGGCACTTCCCTAGGAGCAAAGCTGAAGTATGAATCATATTGCCAGGCTTGATTCTGGTCAGTTCAGCAGGCCTGGATATTTTATTTTCCTTAATAATTATTGCATTTAAATAATTAAATAATAACGATCAAATAATGATAAGTAAATAACATTTAGATATAAATATTACAAATTTAGTAATAATGGTAACACCTGAAGTTTTGGGGCACAAACTTAAATTTGTTCACTTTTTGAGGAAAGGGCAGTTTACCTGTCCGAAAGGAATACTACTGTTAATGTGGTTTACTGGGTTTTTAACTTCTTTCATGCTCTGGGTGAGGATGCTATCAGAGACACATCTAAATTTGTGTTTGATTACAGATGAGACAGGCCTCTAAATGGTGCACAAGTTTTTTGTCCTCTCACAATAATTCCTCTCTTTCTCGCTATGGATCAAAGCACTTGTGATGGCTATCTCAAACTTGCTGCTGGGGGAAATTTAATTCCAACTCTGCACTGAGGGGAAATGAATAAACTCTATTCTAACTTGACTCAAGAAAAATATATTGCTCATCAACTCTGTATATGTCATTGCAATAGGCTCCATGGAAGCCCACTGTCAAGGGATTTTATATTTCTGTTTAACACAAGCTTTAATTCAAAGCAAAAGATTAGAGATTGTATTATTCTGGCATAAAGGCTTTTCCACCAGAGAGCCCCAAGTAGTCATGTAGAACTTAGAAGAGAAGCCAGAGAATATTCCGGAAAAAATCTCCTGTCGATCTGACAGCTCTCAACCTCTTAATAATCTTTCATATTTGCACTACTACTAGTTCCACTCTAAAACTAAGTTCTGTACAGTTAAGAACAGAACGATTCATAGAAAAGTTAAATAAAATTGCTTTGAGAAAGAGTATAGAACTACTATTCCTGGTAGTATGGTCGATTAGATAAACTGCAAACCCTTCCCTTAGCATGAGAGGCTGGATAAAAATTCTTAAAAATTATTTTAGTTGCATTGCTCAGCTCCCAATTAAGTAAGCAGACTCATTATGACAAAAACCAAAGAAGGAACAGAGAACTAGACCAAGTAAGAATCAGAGATGACAATGAGCTCCCATTCAGGGATCTGCAGTAACAAAAAAGTCATATGCCCAAGCCCATATGATTGGTTCAGGAGCAGACAAGAAGACCACACAAAATAGACAAATAGAACAAAATAGAGCTGCCAAAATGACCCATGAATGTAAAGAAAGTTCAACTATGACAGAAGTGGTATTGCATATCATGGGAAGAAATTAAACTCTTCAAAATTTCGTGCTGAGACAAGTGACTATGCTATAGAAGAAATAAAATCCGATCCTCACCTTACATCACTCACAACAGATTCCTTGTAAATCAAAAAACTATATGTCCAAAATGATTTGAAACCTTTAAGTTCTTAGAAACAAATACAAGATAATATTTTTATGATCATAGAGTAGGATTTATTAAACAAGAAACAAAAAAGCACAAAAAGGAAACAATTTATATTTTTGGGTACATTCAAATTTAAAATCTTTGTAAAACACTTTTGTTAAGAATGTGAAACCAGGAAAAGCAAAGTGGCACGTCAGAGTCTTGGAGAGGATACTCAGTAAATAAAAGACTGATATCTAGAGTATATAAAGAACAATTAAAAGCACTAGGTGAAAGAAAATACAACCCAATAGAACAAAAGTGTAAAGGATATAGACAGGCAATTTACAGAAGAGGAAACCCAAATGGCAAATAAATATGTAATGAAGATAATGCAGCAATCAGGAAAATATAGATTAAAATAAAGGTGAGAGACTTCCCCACCTGGCCAGGTAGGATTAGCTATTATGAGAACTACCCTCCCACCACAACAATCAGAAAACTGGATGAAATATATGAAATAATTGTTTTCAGACACTGGACAACAGGCAAGCCAACACTGGGATTCTTGAGAGAATGTAAACAATTCAAGTGTGCCCCATAACTGCCCCAGCTTGCTACCTGTAGGAAGTTCCAAGCTGCAGCACAGAGAAAGAGAGCCCAAACAGAGTACAAATGTCTCATTGGGTTGGTGTTTGAGATTGGAGGTCAGCAGGCTGAGGATTCTAGGATTTTCAGAGCAGAGTACTGGAGAAAATGGAGCTGCACAGAGAGAGAAACTCAAAGATCTGCAGAGGGAATCCCTTGACTCTTTGAGTGCACATGTGTGCATGCATGGAACAAAGCTCCACAAGGACAGTATAAATCTCCATCGAGACAGGGAAAGGACCCCTGGAAAGCCGTAAACCAAACAATTTTCCTGGACCTCATTCAGAGATTGGAATAGTTTGTGTTCCCACCAGCCAATGTGAAGAGACCTTAATACTCAGGGCACTGATAGATTCCTCAGAATGGTCATATCTTACTAGTGATACTACTAAGCTGTCCCTAGAGTAAATTAGCCCTACACCCACATAACAAAAGTTAAAAGCAAGTCTGGAATCGAACTCAAGTAACTTAGCTGTTTGCCACTTGGGAAAAAAAAAACCTGTTGAGGACCAGCCCAGTCGCACAGCGGTTAAGCACACACATTCCGCTTTGGTGGCCCAGGGTTCACTGGTTCAGATCCCGGGTGCAGACATGGCACCACTTGGCAAGTCATGCTGTGGTAGGCGTCCTACATATAAAGTAGAGGAAGATGGGCATGGATGTTAGCTCAGGACCAGTCTTCCTCAGCAAAAAGAGGAGGATTGGCAGCAGTTAGCTCAGGGCTAATCTTCCTCAAAAAAAAAAAAGGAAGATAAAGACCTTTTAGAGCCAGCCCTGGTGGTCTAGTGGTTAAGATTCAGCGCTCTCACCGCCACGGCCTGGGTTCATTTCCTTGTCGTGGAACCACACCACCCATCTGTCAGTTGTCACACTGTGGCGGCAGCTCACATAAAAAACTAATAACTAACAACTAGGATACACAACCATGTACTGAAGCTTTTTAAAAAAAATAAAGACATTTTATATGAAAAAAAAAACTGGGAGAAATAGTCCCTAACATTATGTATACTATAAGAAATATTAGAAGTGCTATAGGCAAAAGGAAAATTACACCAGATGAAAAATTTAATCTACACAAAGGAATAAAGAGTACCAGAAATGGTGAATGTGTGGGTATATATAAGAAATACTTTCTTCATTGTTTTTCCTGTTGGCCAAGGAAATTTTATTGAATTTTGTTTTCTGTGGTTTGTCTCAAAAACAAGCCTTTTTTAAAATGTAAAAATATTATATTAAAATAGGCATCTCAGATACCATAGTCATCTATTCCCTTAGCGATTTTTATATTAACTTCTCTCCACCTCCCCCAGGTATCTAAGTGTTAGAGTAACCAGACGGACTATACAAAGTATCCTGTAGACAGTTCTCCACAAACATTGTTTTATACGGAGCTTTTCCTAGGTATTGGGCAGCAGTGAATTTGAGATTATGTTTCCCGGCAACTATCTGAAATATAGATCCTCTGTGTTACTGATTAAATCTGAACCATTATTCAGCGAAGCTGTGTTAAGGTTCACATTCTTTTGTGAAAACCAGAATGCCAACAAGAATAGGGCAGTTCCTCTAATTTGAGATGAGCCAAGGGAGTACTCATAGGTAAATACAAGATTTTCCAGAAAATAATTTTAATTACAGGATTAGTTTTCTATTGCCGTCTAACAAATTGCCACCGTCAGCAGCTTTAAATAGCAGAGTTATCATCTCACAGTTCCCACGGGTCAGGAGTCCGGGTACAGTTTAAGCTGACTCCTCAACTCAGGGTCTCACTAGGCTGCAAATCAAAACGCTGGCCAGGGCTGAGGGGTCAGTGAGCTCATTTTTAAATCTCTGTAAATGATAATTGTGTATTCAAAGCAAAAGTAATAACAATGTATTTTGGGGTTTATAATATACGTAGAAGTAAATGTATGACAACAACGGCACAAAGGATGGGAGAGGAGGAAAAGACATGTACTCTTTTATATTTTGGAAAGAAATTTGGTAAAATTACATGTCTATAAACCTTACAATCCAGCAATCACGCACCTAGGCATATACCCTGGAGAAATTCTCCCTTGTTTGCATAACGATACATGAAGGAAAATCTTTATTGCCATATGGTTTGTAAATAGTGAGAAATTTACAAACTGAATTGAAAGGACTCAAATAAAATTACAAACCAAAGAGGAGACATTACAAGTGATAACAGAGAAATACTAATAATTGTTAGAGACTTACTACGAACAATTATATGCCAACAAATTAGATAACCTAGAAGAAACAGATAAATTCCTAGAAACATACAACCTACCAAGACTAAATCATGAAGAAACAGGAAATCTGAACAGACCAATTACTAGCAAAGAGATTGAATCAGTAATCAAAAACCTCCCAACAATGAAAAGTCCAGGATCAGATGGTTTCACTGATGAATTCTACCAAACATTTAAAGGATTAATACCAATCCTTCTCAAAATATTCCCAAAAATTGAAGAGGAAGAAACACTTCTAAACTCATTTTATGAGGCCAGCATCACCCTGATATCAAACCCAGACAAGGACACTGCAAGAAAAGAAAATTACAGGCCAATATCCCTGTTGAACATAGATGCAAAAATCCTCAACAAAATATTAGCAAACCAAATTCCACAATACATTAAAAGGATCATACACCATGATCAAGTGGGATTTATTCCAGGGATGTAATGATGGTTGAACAGATGCAAATCAATAAATGTGATACACCACATTAACAAAATGAAGGATAAAAATCATATAATATTCTCAAGAGAGGCAGAAAAAGCAAAATTCAACATCCTTTCATGATAAAAACTCTAAACAAAGCACATCACTGTATTTCCAGTATAGTGCTGCACATAGTAAGCACTCAATAAATATTTATTGAATAAGTTAATGAGAGGATTTTTTCCAAGAAGTGTTTTAGAATATCAGATCAGTGAGGATGCTGCAGATGCAGCAAATGGAAAATCAAACACAAACTGGTTTATAGTAGAAAGACAAGGAGGTAGAGGGTTCTTATAACTGACCAGTCTAGGATGAGTTTGGCTTCAGGTGAGGCTTGATCCAGAGCTCAAACAAGGACTTGATTCTTAATCTTCACTTCTCAACTCTATTCCTTCGGTGTAGGCTCCATTTTCAGGAAGGTTTCTCCTTGTTCAGTACTGGAAACAGGAACCACTGTAAGTATGTCAGGCAGAAAGATTTAGCAGGAAATGAACACATAATTGTCAGAAGAGATGGCAGAATGGAAATCAGGAAACTTCCACTGTAGCTGCCATACAAAGTTCAGAACCCTCCCACTGCCACTGCTGCCACCACAGCTGCCCCATACCCTTGTAGAACTGACAAGGGAAACTGGAGTCCTGCTCCTGCAAACACCCCTGAGCCTGGGAGCTTGTTTGTCAGCCTGTTCTGTCACAGAAAGATGGCCTTATCTTCCTTTCCATCTTCCAAATCTTGCAACACTGCTCATCAGTCATTGGAGGAATTCAAATTATATCTGGAATTTTAACTCCATAGAAATCTGGAAAATGCTATTTTAACCTTCCATACATTATAATCCAGGAGATGAGGAGACACAGAAGGGAGTGAGAATGGAAACTAAATAAAAATTAACAATATCTAGTATAGTCCACTCCTTTTACCAACAATCTTTAAAGCCAACAACAAAACTATTCTCCCACCTAATGCAGCTGTTCCCTCCTTCAAACGAAAACATGCTTATCCTTTCCCCTATATCTCCACACCCATTTCTATGTGATGTTCCTTCCTCTTCTGTTTTAGTCACAATCCCACCTTAACACACTCTTACCTAAAGACTATCTTACAAAATTCACCACCACTGGCAAATCTCATATAAAAGGAAAGGGAAAAGCAATTAAAAGAAGTTCACCAATACATACAAAAACAAAGCAGCAAGAAACAATGCATAGGTTCTATGGTCCTTTCTTATTCAGCAGGTCATGAGATCACAGTGGGTTTATAACTTCCTTATTCATTGTTCACTTTGCTCTTGGAAGTCTCCCCAGCTGGCAGGGTGACACAAACCTTCAATCCTGAAGGACCTGAGCCCTTAACAGTCCTGCCTGTGTAGCTGTAGATTTCAATTAACATTTATCGTTGAACATGGAATTACTAAAAAGAACCTCAGAGAAACCCCTGGGTTGAAGACACACTTGTCCCTGACTCCACTGTGTGGCTGCACCACTGTTTTCCCTTGGGAATTTGTATCGATCAGCCCAGCCAGTTCAGTGACCCCCTTATTTTCTTGATGCCTTGACGGCACGATGAACCTGCAACATCCAGAAGTGGTTTCACCCACATTATTTTCCCCAGACCTCTGTATCCCTCACCCTCTGATCTTGTTCCTTCCAAATCTGTGAATATCCAGCTAAACTGCTAGCCACTGGTTCTGTCCAAGACGCTGGCTTTCTCTCCTTCCAAGTGACAGCTAAACGTACCATTCAAACTTCCGCCCGCTGGGAGGATTTCCTTTCTCCCACTATCTTTTAGGGCCACCTCCTGGAGGGGCTATAGTAATACATCAGTCCACTTCTGATTAATGCCAGTGTTGTGCTTCATTCAAATTTTTCTTTCTCAGTCATCTGGTCATAGGGAACTCCCCATGAGTTCAGAGATGCGGGTTGATAGAGCAGGAGTGAGTGCCACGGGGGTCTCAGATATCTGCCATAATCCCCAATGAAATCTGGGAGGTTTTTCAATGGCAGCATCTCCCATCGACATTCCCCTCCTGCAGTGGCTGACCGCGGATGCTGATGCTCCCCACTCCAATATATTTCTCAATGCCTGGTGAAGGAGGGTCCTCTGGATCTTCTTGGGAGATATGGTTAGGGAGTGAATGAATAGGCTGCATCTAATTAATCTACTCCAACATTCCTGACTCCCTAAGTATTTTTGATTTCTTCATCTGTATTACTTGGCATCACAATTTTATTTAAGGTGGGCCACCACTGAGCCCAGACTGGAATAAACCAACTGAACCAACTGTTAGAGCCATTCCCAGTTGCTAACCAGCACACTGAGTGCATAATCTAAATTATGTTTATTTTTTCCTGTCACATTTAGAATCATTTCCAGGCATATTTCCTGGGTTTAATTTCCACTAAAAAATAGTAAAATCTTGCAATTCTTTTACTGTGTAAGCTATCTCCTCTTGATCAAATCTTGTCCATATCCTCTTGGAGCATCCTAGCATCTGATTCTAGTTGTAGGAGTGAAGGCATGAGGTAGGGATGGGGCATCTGGAGAGTTAGCACCTCTTTGCAAGGTGACTACTTCAGGCTCTTCAAGCTAGGCTGTACCAGCCTTCTCAAACACAGCTGGGGGACTGTGGAGACCCAGCAGAATTTGGCAGGGTAGTCTCACTTGGATTCATTCAAATCCACCCAAAGTTCCAGGGCCTCATTCTTTCCCAGTAAACGCCCTCAGTATTCATGGAGAGCCGGTGAGCCTGCAAATTAAATTTATATAGTAATTCTGCTACCTGCAGCATTGACTCTACACCTGATCTTTGCAACCTTACCCTGAGGCTCCAGGAAATAAGAGGTTCTTCTGGGGCACCTATTAAACCACGTGTCCTCTGATGGTCCTTGAGTTTGTCGTTTTTCTTTAAGCTCTCTTGGGCAGCCCAGGGGCTTCAAAAAGTCAGAAAACTTGTAACTGCTACTGCCATTGCTGCTGCCGCAGCCATCCCACACCCACAAAACTGGCAAATGGAATCCCGCAAATATTCACCACTGGAGGAGCTCTCGTCACCTGGAAATGCCACAGAAATATGGCTCTGCCTCCCGCCTGCCTTCCAAACCTCCCACCAGTACTTCACCTTTGGGTAACTTAAATCCTGCCCAGGACCTGAGTGAGCTTCAAGGAAAATACAGTTTTTAGCCATTGATACCGTGCAGTACCGAAGAACATAGCAGAGAAGTGGGAAAGGATGCCCACAGCCAATCAATGCCCAACATTTCATCTACACTTGAGGTCCATCCTGGGACCACCTCTCTCCCTCACCCCAGGCAAGATACTGAGATTCCTGTTTCTAAGTGTAGCTCCCCTACTTACTAGCTGTGTTACTTAACTTCTCTGTGCCTCAGGCCTCAATTTTTTCATCTGTCAAACGGGCATAGTAACGGCACCTACGTTGTAGCGTTGTTGTAAGTCCTAGGCTCCTCCATCGCGGTGTCAGTGAGCCAGTACTTCTCTGGGAGTGTGTCATAGTCCATCAGGTGAGTAGGATTTCCTATAAACCGCCGACGGCTGGTAAAGGCTCTGGTCATGAACTCCATGAGGTCCCGCGCGGGCAGGTGGTTGTCCTAACTGCGGACTGGCCGGTGCTCGCTCCAGCGGCTGGCAAGGATCTGGACGGATGGGGGGAAACAGACTGAAGAAAGATTATGCTCCCAGGCCTCCCTATCCAGCCTTGTAAAGGTGACGACAGGGAGGGGTGCGTCGGTAGGTAGTTTAGGGGCCTGACCTCGAATTGAACCCTGGCTTTGCCACTTTCCAGAGTGAGGACCCTAGGCGAGTTAATTTACTCAGTTTCTGCTGCTGTAAAATGGAGCCGATGATACCGACTGCCCCATCCCACCTCTAAGGCTTGCGGCGAAGAGGAAAGGGGATCGGGGATCCCAGAGCCTGGCTCGGCGAGCGCCTCGGGGGTCCTCCGCACCCTGCCCGGCTCAGGGCCTGGGCACCGTCCCAGACGCCGGCCCGGGGAGGCGCGCGCTGCCCGCGGCCCCGCGCGGGAGGGGCGGGCGGCCGCGGCGGGAGGCGGAGTCCGCCGGGAAGACGAAACCGAGAGCAGTGCCCGAGCCGGCCGGGCTTCCGCGGGCAGCAGCGGCGCGCCGAGAAGCCCCTGTCCCGACCCGGCGCGCGGCCCGGGCCTGCGCGGAGCTGCGGGGCCGTCCCGACCTGGGGACACGATCGTGTAGCGCGGGGGCAACTGAAAGCCATTTTCTCCCCGCGAAGAATTTCTAGCAGAGTAAGTAACGAACCGCTCAGGCCGGGGTTGGGGGCAGGGGAGCCGGGGGAAAGCAGATACGCCCTCCACCTCGACAAACAGACGGGGAGCGCGGAGGCCTGCACTGCCCCCCACTTGGCTGAATAATACCCAGCCCAAAATCTCTCGCCTGGACGGTACCAATTGTTTCCCGATTGCCCGGCCTTAGCCCCCGCCCCTTTCTGTGCCCCGAGCCCCAAACCGTAGCAGCGGGAGGGTTCCTTTAGGTCAGAACAGGCCACTCCCCTGCTCAGACCTCCCCAATAGCTTCCCATCTCATCAGAATCCTGTAAACGGTTATCGGTCCCCAGGCAAGGCCCCTGCTCCCTCCACTCTCACCACAGAGGCCTCATTGCTGTTCTTGGGGCACAGCCAAGCACACTCCTGCCTCTGGGCCTTTGCATTGGCTGTTTCTTCTTCCTGGAAAGCTCTTCCCCCAGATAGCTGCACGGGCCAGTCCCTCGCTTTACCCTGCACTTCTTCCAGTGTCACTTTAGCAGAACAGCCTTCCCTAAACAACTTGAATATAAAAGAACCCTGTCCTTCCCTCACTGTTCCTCTTGCTCTGCTTTGATTTTCAACATGGTACTCAGCACCCTGGGGCATTTTTATGGGTTTGTCCATGTTCCTCCGCTAGTGAGTTCACAAGAGCAGGGTTTTGTCCACTGGTATAACCCTAGCACCCAGTACAGAATAGGTGTTCATTAAATATTTGTTTGATGAATGGCAATTCATAAATTATCCTTTGAACTCCAGATTAATGAGACTTCCTATTGCCTGTGATTTCTTTAGTATAAAAATGAGTTGCCACATGGAAGCTAAAGGTACACTCTCTGCTGTCACTTAGGAGCTTAGAATCTTGGGCAGATTATACTCTTGTTCTTCAGTTTGCTCATTTGAACCTGAAGATCCATAACACTCGACCTGTAGTTTATTCATTTCATTAATCAGATACTAGTTGACTGCATGTTGTATGCCAAGCATTGTGCAGGCCCTGGAGAGGCTGGCGGTCTGCTGGAAGGGAGCAGAGGCACAGCCACAGTAACTTCTGGGCATGAGTAAGATGGACACATAACATTTGTTAGTGATTGTGGTGATTTCTTTTAGGAAAATGGTAACATGGAATTAAAACAAGATTTATTTAAAATAGTTGAAAAGAAACCTGCTGTTTCTTTTCTTCCAAACTGGTAAGTACTTTTTCACACATACCAATTCAACACCTTATTAGTTTACCCATTTATGTCACTTAAATTCAAACTGGCTTGTCATTCTGATGATCAGCAGTTACTTAGAGTTAAAAGTGCTGAGGATCTAGAGCATTTGATAGGTCTTCAGGTGAAATAATTGCTGAGGACTCTTCCAGAACTGCTGTTCTCAGATCTATGACCCACTCCAATTGGGTGTGTGGTCTCGTGATTGTGACTAAACCAAATGACACTTTGGTTCCTGAAAATAATGGTAGTCTGCGGATCCTTCTCTGAAACTATTGGGCCAGGTGTGTTCCTGTATTGAGAGATTTTTGGATTTTAGAAAGGCAGGGCAGCATAATTCCTGTCTATTATATGATGTTCTCAACAGGATTTGGGGGCGACACTCTGATAAAACACATTTCTGCAGGGAAATGTGTCAATAGACAACAGTGTCCTAAAGACTCTAAATAACTCATGTCAGTTCAGGTCTAGACAGCGGGCTACAAACCCACCAGAAACAAAATAAAACTCCGTATTTAGTATGTTTTGGATGTTGGAATTGTAGACCCGAGCACCATTGATGGAGGACCAGTGGTGTGGGGGACTCTGCTGGATATTTTTCATCTGATTTACTCCTCACAACAACCAGTGGATCGGGTTTTCAGGTTATGAATCAAAGGCTCAGAGAGGGTCTAGCCCAGATCTGTGTGGCCCTAAAGCCGACCCCTGTCCTCACTCAAAGCAGGAATGTGAAGGCATTGCCTTTGCTCAGACTCCGGGCACTTCTAGCTCCTCCTTCTGGCCACCACCATTGCTCACCCAAACCACTGCAGCAGCCTCTGCTTGGTCTGCCTACTTCTGCTCATGCTCTGCTCCCCTTTCCACACCCGGCCCGCAGACTCTGTTCTTTACATGGCATCAGAGTCATCATTTAAAACATAAACCCCCCCACATCACTCCTCTGTTTAGAACCCTCCAATAGCTTCCTATTGCAATTGGAATAACATCCACAGTCCTGACCACGACCTACAAGGTCTCTGTGCTGTGGCACCTGCCCGCCTCTCTGACTCATTTCCTACACTTTTCTCCGTGTTCCCTGTGCAGTGCATCCCTTTGACCTTTTTGGTATCCTTTCAAAGGCTGTGCTGTTTCCTGCCTCAAGGTTTCCTCTGCCTGAGATGCTGTCTCCTATATCTTGGTATGATGGACTTTCTCATCATTCCAGCTTTATTTCACTATTACCTCCTAAGAGAGGTTTTCCCCTGACCACCGTGTCTAAAACTACTTCCCTCATATCTCTCCCGCACCTGCCAATGCACCCTCTATCCTGCACTGCTATTTAATTTCATCATAGCATTTCCAGCCATCTGATCATCCTATTACTCACTCCTTTGTTTGTTTCTGGACATGGTCATTTTCTTTCTTCCCTCAGTGGAATGCAGGTAGGGACTTGTTCTGTCCTGTTCATGTCTGTATACTCAGTATCAGAACAGTACTTGACTCTTGATAAGCATTTACTGAATGAATGAAGAAAGAATGCACAGAAAACAGCAGATGAAGAGAAGGGAGATGGTGAGGAGGTTTAAAGTGGAGTATTTAATTTTAATGAATCATTTTCTCATTTACCTATACACCGTCTAAGTGTTCAGCATTTACCACTTGCCACTGGGTGTTGGTGATACAAAGGTGAGTAAGACATAGAACCTGCTCCCTAAAGAGCTGACTGACTCGTTTAAAAAGCAGTTGGAGCTGTGATGGGAGCTGGGCAAGGTGGAGTGACAGACCCACAGAGGAGTACTAGCTGAGCCCCAGCCTCGAAGAAGGCTGTGTTGATCCTCACAGATGAGTGGGAATTGCATGGTAGATAGAGGATGCAGAGATTGCATTCCAAGCAGAGAGAAAAGCACATGACAAGTCTTGGAGGTGGGGGAGATCTGGAGATATTTGGGTATTCATTTGCTCATTATTGAGCCCCTATTATGAGCCTGGTCTCTTCCCTCTTGTAGCTCATGGTCTCTTCTGGAATACAGTCAGTTAAATAAGCAGTTGCAATAAAGGGGACAAGAGCTGTGGTAGAGCACCAAACTAGGACCTCTTCTAGGGTGTCTGGGAAATGACATTTGATCTGAGATCTGTAGGAAGTAGGAGTTGACCAGGCAAAGGCAGCAGAAGGGGTAGAGTCAGGAGCATTTCAGGAGGGAGTGTATTGGACAGAAGCAATTGTGAGTCAAGAAAGAGTCCATGGCGGAGGCATGCTTTTGAAAACCATCATTGTATATGTGGAATTTAAAGCCACAAGCCTAGAGGTGATCACCAGGAGAGTCAGTGGAAGTAGACTAGGGAAGAGATTTAAGGACTGGGCCCTGGGACAGTACAATATTTAGAAGAAGGGAAGATGAAGGGGGACCAGGAAAGGAGACAGAGAAGTTTGTGAAAAAGGCGGAGAACCAAGAGAGTGTGATGTCTCAGAGATCCAAGCTAAGAAAGAAAGAGGAGGGGGAAGGGAATGAGAAACCACGTCTATTTCTGGTTTAAGGAAAATAGACAAGGACTGAGAACCGACTACTAGTTTTAGAGATGGGTAAGCCATTGGTAACCTTCACAGGAACAGTTTTGATGGCTTCTGGGGGCTGCATCATTGGACTGATCTTTAAAAAAGATCACAATGTGGCTGCTATTAAAAAAATGTACCAAGAAGTGTTGGTGAGGATATGGAAAAATTGGAACCCTTGTGCATTGCTGGTGGAAATATAAAATGGTGCAGCCACTGTGGAAAACAGTTTGATAGTTCCTCAAAATGGTAAACATAGGGGGCTGGCCCCGTGGCCGAGTGGTTAAGTTCGCGCGCTCCGCTGCAGGCGGCCCAGTGTTTCATTGGTTTGAATCCTGGGCGTGGACATGGCACTGCTCGTCAGACCACGCTGAGGCAGCGTCCCACATGCCACAACTAGAAAGACCCACAACGAAATATACAACTATGTACCGGGGGGCTTTGGGGAGAAAAAGGAGAAAAATAAAATCTTGAAAAAAAAAAAATGGTAAACATAGAATTGCCATATGATTCAGCAGTTCCTCTTCTAGGTACGTACCCAAAAGATTTGAAAGTAGAGGCATGAACAGATATTTGTACATCAATGTTTAAAGCAGCCTTATTTACAATAGCCAAGAAGTTGAAATAATCCAAATATCCATCAACAGATGAATGGATAAACAAAACGTGATACGTACATACAGTAATATATTATTCAGCCTTAAAAAGGAAGGAAATTCTGACACATGCTACAACATGAATGAAACTTGAAGACATTATGTCAAGTGAAATAACCAAACTCAAAAGGACGAATATATGATTCCATTTATATGAGGTACCTAGAAGGCAAATTCATGGAGAGGAAAAGTAATGTTGGTTACCCAGGGCTGAGAGCTTGGGGAAATGGGAAGTTAGCGTTTAATGAGTACAGACTTTCTGTTTGGGAAGATGAAAAGAGTTCTGCAGAAGGATTGGCAGTGATGGCTGCACAACATTGTGAATGTGCTTAATGCTTGTGAATTGTACACTTCAAAATGGTTTAAAGGATAAATTTCATGTTATGCGTATTTTACCACAATGAAAAAAAAAGTGAGAAAAAAATCATGATGGCTGCAGGGGAGAGAAGGCATTGCAGTGGTTGTGACAAACTGGTTCTGAGGTTCTTGCAGCAGTCCAGCAGTAAGATGGTGACAGCTGGAACCAGGATGGTGGCTATAGACATGATTGAGAAGTAGAAGGGTTTGGGGACAGGACTGACTTATGGACTATAAGTTAGGGAAAGGAAATGTCAAGGATGCCTCCTTTTCAGACATGGATGGATGGTCAAGTCGTTTTCTAAGAAAGGAAACTCCAGTCAGCTTAGGGGACAATCATAAATGCAGTTTGGGATCTTTTGAGTTTGAGGTTCTTTCAAGATGTCTCAGTAGAGATGTTGGATAGAGAGATCTGAGACTCAAAGAGAATGATATGTAAGATATGAGATATCATGAGTGATAGGTAAATTTTAGAGTTAATGACCAATAGTTGATCATTGAAATTATGAATGTGAAAGAAATCACCTTGAGGAGAAAGCATAGAGTGAAGAGAATAGGATCTTTGGACCAAGCCTTGGGGGACACCAGCGTTTAGAGCCTAAAAAGATTAAGAAGTGCTAGGAAGAAAGCTTGGCCATGGGAGAAGGAAAATCAAAAGAGCTTTCCAACAAGAAATGAGAGATTAACAGAGTCTGCTTTCTGTCTCTATGGATTTACCTAAACATCTATGGTTGTTTCATAAAAATGGAATCATACAAAATATGGCCTTTTGTGTCTGGCTTCTTTTATTTAGCATAATATTTTCAAGGTTTATCCATGTGGTAGCATGTTTCTTTCTTTTTCTTTTTAAAGATTGGCACCTGAGCTAACAGCTGTTGCCAATCTTCTTTTTTTTCTCTTCTTCTTCTCCCCAAAGGCCCCTAGTACACAGTTGTATATTCTAGTTGTAGGTCCTTCTGGCTTTTCTATGTGGGACGCTGCCTCAGCATCGCCTGATGAGTGGTGCCATGTCTGTGCCCAGGATCCGAACTGGCAAAACCCTAGGCTGCTGAAGCAGAGCGCGTGAACTTAACCATTCAGCCACAGGGCCGGCCTGTGGTAGCATGTTTCAATATTTTATTCCTTTTTATGGCTGAATAAGATTCCATGTGTGGATATACCACATTTACTTTACCATTCATCAGTTGATGGACATTTGGTTCATTTCTGTTTTTTGGTTATTGTAGATAGGGCTGCTATGAACATTTCTGTATAAGTATTTGTTTGAAAACCTGTTTTTCAATTCTTTGCATATAGACCTAGGAATGGAATTGCTGGGTCGTATGGTAATTATGAGTGTAAGTTTTTGAGGAGCCACCAAATTCTTTTCCATAGAGGCTGTACGATTTTCTATTCCTATCAACAATGTATGAGGGTTTCAGTTTCTCTGCATCCTCAACAACACTTATTTTCTTTATTATTATTGTTATTGCCATCGTAGTGGGTGTGAAGTGGTATTTTGTTGTGGTTTTGATTTGCATTTCTCTAATGACTAATGATATTGAGCATCTTTTCATGTACTTGTCGGCCATTTCTGTATCTTCTTTGGAGAAATATCTGTTCAAGTCCCTTGTCTGTTTTCTAATTGGGTTGTCTTTTTGTTGTTGAGTTGTAATAGTTCTTCTATTCTGGATACTAGACTCTTATCAGATATATGATTTATAAATATCCCATTCTGTAGATTTTCTTTTCATTGTTTTCATATTGTCCTTTGATATAGAAATATTTTTAATTTTGATGAAGCCCAATTTATCTATGTTTTCTTTTGTTGCTTGTGCTTTTGCTGTCATAGCAAAGATCCCATTGCCAAATCCAAGGTTATGAAGATTTACCCTCAAGTTGTCTTCGAAGAGTGTTATAGTTGGGTTCTTATATTTAGATTTGTATCCTTTAGATTTTGTTTATAATTTAAATCATTGCTTCTGTCTCAGTCCAGTGAGACTCATAAACTGGGGTCATAGTTACCCAGGTAAATTATCCTACAATTGATCTGAAAATTGCAAAGGGAGGATTTGGGGGGTTTTATAGGAGAATCTATTTCCATGTAGCTAAATCCTTCATGATTTCATCAACTTCACTTTGTATATATACTCTTCACCGTTTTCCTCTCAACATAAAGAATTCTAATTCCACTCCAGCGGCCTTTTTACCTTCTCAAGTAAGTGGACAGACTTGCATTTGATGCTCAGTGGAAGCAGAGAGCAGTTGTAGAGAAGGGCGCCTTCCTTTTTTGACCAATCAAGTTTTGACAGTTGAAAATTTTGAAAAAATTAGCTTGACTGTGCCGTCCATGAGAGAGAAAGAGATTTTGTAAAAAAATTTTCTCTGGTTTTATATGGACAAGATAAGTCGTATAGAGGAGATTCTTCTTACTCTATTTGGTCTCTTAAATTGGATTGGGAAAATCAGATTAAATATGTTCCATGAGTGTCACTTCTTTCAAACATCTCTTCTATTGTAGGTTACTGGAAGAAGAAATGGCCAGTCATCTTTCACCAGGTGTCTTCATAGAAGAACTTAATAAATATCGTCAGAAGCATAATGTGGTTCTTGATTTTCGGGAACTGTCTAAGACAGGACCTCCACATGATTTAACGTAAGTTGCTATAAAAAAGGGCATATCCCTATAAAATATAAACTGAGAGAATGGCAGTCTGGCACAATTTTGAAGTCAATACTTTATCTCTAGAGTAAAGTTGCTGCAGAATTCTTTGAAAGTCCTCTTGGCATAAAGTGGTAACTTCTGAGTACTCCAGAGAAAAAGAGGGTCTAAGCCTTTGCATCCTTCAAGATGATGTGCAATTTGGCTGTTTAGGGTGACTGTTTAAATTCCATTTTGAACATAGGTTAAAAATCTTCAAAGGTAGTCCTAGGAGTCAGTGGTGATTGGAACACTTGCCCTTAGATAATGCATGAGTTTTATAATACTTTGTGAATATTTTCTTTGTAATCAGGTTTACATTTCGAGTTATAATAAATGGGAGAGAATTTCCGGAAGCTGAAGGTAAATCAAAGAAGGAAGCCAAAAATGCTGCAGCCAAAATGGCTGTTGAAATACTTCGAGAAAACAAGGTGAGTAATTGCCCTTTTTTGCTAGTAAAAGGGAATTCACAAATATAGTTTATATTTTTCTCTGTGAGAAAATACTCACAGACAGAGTAAAGCCATGTGCAAGTTCCTTTACATTCAGAAGTTTAGTTCAGTCTTTTTTCCTGTCTCCATTTCTGTAGAACCCTGCATGAGAGGTACACCTAGGAAATGGTGGGCAAAGCTGGATAATACCTATTCAGTGTGCCAACAGCAGTGACACACTCTGAAGTTGAACAAGAGTGGAAACAGTGAGAAATGAGCTGACAGGTTCTGGCAGGAGTCCCTCCACCTGATTGAGGGAATGCAGTGGAAAAGGATAGAGATGAAAGCGATTATGAGGAGGAGGACGTATAAGAAGGGCAGATAATGAAGAACCAACACACATATAATTGTGTCCCTGAAGATGAGAACAGAGTAAATTGTACATAAAAAGCTATCTGAAGAGATTTCAGTAGAAAATGTTCTTGAAATAAAGACCTGGATACAGATTAAAACAACTCAACAGATACAGAAAAATACAGAACCATCAAGAGCAACATCAAACCTGGGGAAAGTACTGAGCTCCAGGGATGGAGAAAGAATCCAACAAGTGTGTAGGTAGAAGAAGGAAATTATTTTAAATGTAAAAATGAAAAAAAGTATCATGCTGTCCACAGCAACGTTAAAAACCAGCAGACAGTGGAGTAGCAGCTGTAAAATGAGACAAGAATTCATTTCCACATGGGACAAAAGAGGATCATTCTCAGATATTGAAACTTTTGGAAAAATTGAGCTTTCAGGATGCTTTACTGGGGGCCGGCCCCATGGCCAGGTGGTTAACTTTGCAGGCTCCACTTCAGCGACCCAGGGTTTTGCTGGTTCAGATCCTGGTTGTGGACTGAGTGCTGCTCATCTGGCCATGCTGAGGCAGCATCCCACACAGCACAACCAGAAGGACCGGCAACTAGAATATACAACTACAGACTCAGGGCTTTGGGGAGAAGAAAAAAAAAGATCAGGGACAGATGTTAGCTCAGGGCCAATCTTTAAAAAAAAAAAAAAGTACATTACTCACATTTAAAAAGAAAAAAGATACTTTCCTGAAAAATCTTGCTTGAAGATGTCACCCTTCTAGCCCAAATTGAAAAAAATAAATCAGGCAAAATCACAAGTTCATAAATTGTTAATGGGCCAGAAAACCACGTCAAGAAGTTAGAAAAGGAACAATAGAATACCTTCTCCCTAAAAAGCAGAAGGAAAATAAGAACAATAAGGGCAGAAATTAATGTAAAAGAAAATAAAGAAACAATAAAGAAAATTAATAAAACCAAAGTTCTTTGACAAGATTAATAAAGTAGAAAAACTTTGGAGAAGATTTTGTCAGATTAAGCATAAAGAGGTGTGGATAACAATGAAAGGAATGATGCTATTATATCTATTATATTCATCTTTCCCATTAAGTTGTGATCCAGGATATGGCTTTACATCAATATTTGTTATCTTAGTTTTTGAGATTTACAAAGGGTAAGCAAGCTGGAAAGTGTTATATTTTGTATGGATAAATGAGAAAATTGAGGTTTTTTTTTTTTAATTAATGTTATGATAGATTACAACCTTGTGAGATTTCAGTTGTACATTATTGTTAGTCATGTTGTGGGTACACCTCTTCCCCCTTTGTGCCCTACCCCCTCCCCCCCTTTTCCCTGGTAACCACCGATCAGATCTCCTTGTCAATATGTTAACTTCCACCTATGAGTGGAGTCATATAGAGTTCGTCTTTCTCTGACTGGCTTATTTCGCTTAACATAATACCCTCGAGGTCCATCCACATTGCTGCGAATGGGCCAATTTTGTCTTTTTTTATGGCTGAGTAGTATTCCATTGTGTATATATACCATATCTTCTTTATCCAATCATCAGTTTCTGGGCATGTAGGTTGGTTCCAGGTCTTGGCTATTGTAAATAATGCTGCGATGAGTATAGGGGTGCAAGGGACTCTTGGGATTTCTGATTTCAGGTTCTTAGGATAGATACCCAGTAATGGGATGGCTGGGTCATAGAAAAATTGACTTATTTTTTTCCTTACAAAACTATGAAAAGGAAAATGAGTGATTCCTTTCCTATTGTTAAAAATCTATTCTTGTGGATTTTTCTGGTACAGGAAAGTAGATACTTACACTTTTACTCAAGGCAGTATAGTAGGAAAATACATAAAATCTAAGTTGTCTTTCAAATTATTCATTTAGTAATTATATTAGACAAAATAGAGTTAAATCTTTATTATCATCTAACTAAACAAGATTATTTTCTTCTTTGTAGACAGTTAGTTCTTTACCACTGCTGACGAAAGATACTTCAGAAGAACTTTCCAAGAATTACATAGGCCTTATTAATACATATACCCAGAGGAATCAACTCTCTCTAAATTATGAACAATATGAATCAAGGGATGGCGGGCCCAAAAGGTGAGATGTCGTTCGACTTTTCCTTCGGTTTCATTGTATCTAAGTAATAGAGTGGGCTTATTTTCATGTCTAATTTTCTAGACATATTTGTCCTTTTCTATACATTCTTTACTGAAGGTTTTATATGATTTATAGGCAATTGGACATCTTCATAATTAAAATATTAAAATGATTAATTGCTGAAGACTTGGGACCCGTATCCCATAATTGATCAAATCTGGATAATCCTTTTTTTCTGAGGTATATCTTGATGGTTTAGTCTGCAGGAAACCTAAGAGAGTATGGGGTCTCCCTGCTTGAGGGATGTAGAAATTTCCCATCCCGGAGATCACAGTGGCAGTGGCTGTGTGAAAACAGCTCTATCACGCGTGCAGGATGACTCTCTTTCCACCGCTGTCAGATTAGAGAGCTGTTTGTCCTTCAGATTTGATTAAATAATGTCACTTTATGGACAAGTACCATGTATTGAAAGTAGTGAGTTTTCGCCCTAGACTATGAGGGGCCCAGGGTCTGAGGGATCTACTAGAGAGGGACAGACTGGAGCTTCAGGTACCGAGAACGTCACCAGTGAGCTCAGACTTTGGAAGTGAGGATAAAGAATGGATTGGACCTGGAAAAAGCAGAAAGCGAATGAGCATGAGGAAGATTGTTTCTCAGCTACAGTCAGTCAAATGAGAGAGAAGAAGAAAATCTAAGTGGTCGATAGTCCTAAACAGCCACTTTAGGAAAGTGCCCTTTGAATTTGTTCAGCTATTTGTGTTTTACTTTTTACTCTGATGGCTTTTATTTAGGCCAGAGCCAGGAAGAGAATAATGTGCTAGTATTCATTGGAATGAAAGACAGATTTTCCTTAACTTACAGTAGGACTACATCCTGATAAACCCATCATAAAGTGAAAATATCATAAGTCAAAAATGCATTTAATACACCTACCCATCATCATAGCTTAGCCTAGCCTACCTTAAACATGCTCAGAACTGTCACGTTAGCCTACACTTGGGCAAAATCATCTAACACAAAGCCTATTTTATAAGAAAGTGTTGACTGTCTCATGTAACTTATTGAATACTCTACTGAAAGTGAAAAACAGAGTGGTCATCTGGGTACAGAATGGTTGTAAGCGTGTCGGTTGTTTACCCTTGTGATCCCATGGCTGACAGCGTCACGAGAGAGTATCATACTGTGTATTGCTAGGCCAGGGAAAGATCAAAATACAAAATTCCTAGCATGGTTTCTACTGAACGTGTTTTGCTTTTGCACTATTGTAAAGTCAAAAAATCGTAAGTTGAACCATCGTAAATCGGGGACCATCTGTAGTCAAAAGTGAATTCTGTGGGTTAATCTCAATAAATTAAGAGGCTATTTTGTTTTTCTGTAGTGCACCTCTTTGGTTCCTTTGAATTAAACGCTCTAACATTAGATACCTAAAAAAGAGAAGTCTATTTATGGGGTGCCTGGGAAAAATAGAAGCTATAGAAACAAACGGTCACTCAGCCCAGCTTTCTAACTCTCCCTTCAGGGCCTAGCAGAGAAGATTCATCGTGGTTGGATGTGTTTCCCTCAATGGCAAATAATACTTGAATAATTTTGTGATTTTATATATATAAAATTCCATGACATATATTACCATGTCCATTGCTTTGCCAACTTAAATATAGTTTTTATACAGTTATCCAAGTGTCCTTGCCTAATCACAAATGTTCTTACATCTAATATGAGGAGGGTGTGGACTTCAGCATGAGGTCTTCACACTGTGGGGATTTTCTTAGGTGTTTTGTGCACATAAGCAGGGGGCAGAAAATGCTGAAAAGTTGGAGCAAAACCCATGCTTTGCCCATCCCCTCCAAAACTGTCCTCTCATTTTTTCTCCTGTAGAAGCCCCACTTTCTTTCTCATCTGGCTTTTTCTTTCATTTGACCATCTCTGAAAAATTCACTGGATCTCTCTCTTCCTCCTCTGCCTCCATATCTTTTAACCTTTGGGGAATTTAAAAAAAATCACCATTTAATGCCTTTGTGCCAGATCTTTCAATGAAGCAAGAGTTAGAAGTTGCCTGGAAGATGCAAGCTGAGATGTCAGCTAATCCTGGTTATTCTGGCAAATTGCTCAGCCATCTTATTGATTAAATTATACAAGATATAAAATATAAATCTACCTTTTAATTTGTGTTATATTAAGGCCTTTTTGTTAATATGTGTTTTTTTTTCAAATCGTAAGTTAGATTCGCTGTTTTTTGGTGTGTGGGTAAATACGCTCCGTCATTTCCCCTAGGTTTCATTGTAAATACAAAATTGGATGGAAAGAATACCCTATTGCTTCAGGTTCCACAAAACAGGAGGCAAAACAATTAGCTGCTAAACTTGCCTATGATCAGATATCCTCAGAAGGAAGCCCAATGGTATGTACTGCCTTTGGATTTAATTTTTATATTTTAAAATTGCCTCTGAAGTTGATTTGAGGTTTGACTCTGTTCACATGATGCCTTGACAGCCAATCACATAGCGGAAGGATTCCTTGATTCTCTGTCCCACCGATGAGCCGTGTATTAATCTCGTAATTGTGTGTGGCTGTGCATTTGGTAAATGTGGGGAAATAGACGTGGTGATTAGTTGGCACACAGAGACTGAGCCCCTGTCGAGGAGTATCTTAGTTGCGCTCAAACCTGCTACGAGGCACTCTGTCTTTCAGAAAGCTGACCCACTGTCTTCTGGTTCTTGCTCTCCTGCGTCCAGTGACTTCAGAGGAGACCCTTGCAGGACAAGCTCTTCGTAAGTATGGATAAGCAACTGTGATATGGAACAAATTCACATTGCTACCTGAAAGAGAAAAGTTTTATGAAAATGTTTAATGTTTAAGGAGAACTTAGAGAAAGAGATTACTGATCAATGAAAAACAGACAGAATTCATAAACTAATAGTCATCCCCTTTTCTTCTAGTGCTTATGAATCATCACCTGAAAATGGCTTCTCAACAAATTCATGGGAAAGAAATTGTGACAGCAACGGTTTAAACAATTCTTTTCCATCTTATATGGTATAGTATTGATCTCTCAGCTTCCTAGTTTATCTTGTTTTTCTTTGTGTTTTTGCATTTAGAAATGACCCCCAGTCCCCAACCGTAGTTTTTCTATTTTCATCTCAGGCATTCTTACTAAATAGTAGTATTTGGCAGTCTTTTGACTCTCTCCTTTCTTTATTAATCCCCATTCCTCACATGCAAAATTCTTCCACTCTTCAATCTCATCTTTCTCTCCCTACTCACCTTCATATTTTCCTATGTTCTTAGGCGCTTGCTTCTTACCTTCTACCGACTGTACAGTACTTCAAAGGTTGATTGATGTACTTCTGCTTCTGTTTCGAAAAGTCAGAACTAAACTTAAACTAGAACCTAAACTTAAAAATCAGGTAATTTTTGTGGTGATGATTAGTGTTACAAAACTACCCTCTTTATAAAGAACTGCAAAAAATCTATAAAAAAAAATAAGCAACTCAGTAGAAAAATGTGCAAAAGATCTGAACAGACAATTCAGAGAAGAGACACCCAAATGGACAACAGCTATATGAAAAGATGCTTTATTTCATTAGTAATCAAGAAAATGAAAATGAAAACAACAGACACCGTTGCAAACCAGTCAGATTGTCAGAGTTTGAGTCTGGCAAAACTAAGTATTGGCACAGCTGTGTTCCGATTTTAGCTATTGTACACTGCTGGTGGAAGTACAAATCTGTACAACCATCTTGGAGACAATTTGGCAATATCTGGTAAAGTGGAGGGTGTGCATGCTGTACTGCCAATCAATTCCATTTCTGGTGATGTCTACTAGAGAAAGGCTCAGATGTGTGCACAGAGAAACACGTCTAAGCATGTTCTTTGCAACATCATTTGTAATAGGAAGAGATTAGAAAAAATATAGTCCATTAACAGAATGGCTAAATTAATCATAACATAGTCATCATGCTATACTGAGGCTAACAGGGGATATGATCTAAAGAAATCTTAATCTGATGCTCCCCACTCTGTGTCAACATATTTAAATTGGTAAAAAAAAAAAAAAAAAAAAACCCGCAAAGCCTACCAGAATAAAAGTGCATATGAATCAACTAATTTTTGAGAGACGGTGAAGACTTCTCTTTTCGCTAAATATTAAAATGATTAATTTGTGCTAAAAATGAAAAAATCAGCATGGCAGTTATTAACTGGTGATCAGATCAGAAACCTTTGGGGAAGGATTTGAAACTAGATCCCTGGGCTCCATCTGCGTCTCCATTAGCCCTTCGATGCTTGCGATGCACACGTTCTTGTTGAGATCCACTGGCCAGGGGATCGTCAGGGAGGCCGTATTCTATACCCGGAGAATCAGTCCTGCTGCAGAACGTGCCTTACAGTTGCGTTTTTTTGTCCTTCCTGCTACTGTCTGGCTGCTGTAACATGAGAACATTAAAAAAGCCAAGTAAACTGAGAAGCAGGACTTGATGAAAGTACACAGACTGATGAGGCTGTTGATCTTACGGACAAAGAAATGTGGCCACAGAGCCATCTAGAAGTACAAGAGGAAGGATAGCAAGAAAAAGCAAAATAATTGATTTAATCATCTGATAGGATTTTCCATTTTCTTTTGTTATAGAGCAGCCGCAAGAAGCCAGCAAGGTGAGTGTCATTATGCGTTGAATGTATTTTGAAATGAAGTTTTATTTTAAACTTAGTTTGGGAGCCTAATTTGTTAAGTCTTCAGTATTTGTAGCATTTTGGATGCCTTTTTGAGTGGAGTTTCAGAAGCAGAAAGCATGGTTAAAGATCACAAAAACTTGAAATCTACAAACAAATAATTTTAACTATGTAGAGAAATCTTTGAATGTACGCACACACTGCACTGTGGACATGAAAGCCTATGGGGATATTGCTAGAGTAATTGGTTAAGGCATTATTTTGGGCAAGGCTGACAGAGGAGGTGGGTTTGGAGGGGAGTTTTTCAGAGAAGTGCATTATTTTGCAGACAAGCAGGCAGGGTAGAGATGGTGTAATAACTTGGATAAGAAAAAAAGAGCAAATGTTATATAAATTATGGCGAATTGATTTCTTTAACTGAAGAGAAAAGCAAGAATGTAAACATAGTGAGATGGCAGCAGGAGCCGTTATGAGCCACCAGTATCTTCTGAACTGTAGATGATGTGTTGAAGAAAGATGATTCCTAATGTGGGTGATTGGATAGAGAGAAGAGAGGTCTGTGTGTGAGATGATCAGCCACCAGCCACGATTATAGTGGCAGTGAGGAGGGATGAGGAGAATGTGTGAGACAGACTGTAAAGGGGTGGACATAACTTGAGGGAAGAGAGTTGCAGTAACGGGGTGAAGGAGAACAAAGGAGAAAGGATTTGAAGATTGTTCCTCGTGGATGAGAGGCAGACAGGAATCACGGCGCTGATGGTGTTAAGGAAGTTGAAGACTCAGAGGCTTAGAGGGAAGATTGGAATTTAGACATATTTAATTTTAGGTAGCGTTTGAACTTCTGGTTGCAGGTGGCTTACCACCAGTAAGGAATAAAGTACAAAGGAAAAGCAACCAGAATGAGAGTGCAAGGAGATCTCTTTCCTGAGGTTTTGAGTCTGGCGGGAGAAAAGGAGAAAAGCACGCCAACCATAAATGTGTCAAGGCAAAGAAAAGGAACCAGGAAAGGAATGAAAAACTATTAGAGGACAGAGGAGAGCCATAAGTATATTGTTTATAAAGAAAAAGGTTAACACTTGCTAACCTATTATTCTAATAGTTGACTCGAAATATAAAAAGCCTAGTGCATGGCATAAAACATACTCTAAACACATTATACTTGATTTCAGTTTTTTATTTTAAAGCTTCAGTACATAGTTGTGTATCCTAGTTGCTAGTTTTAGTTCTTTAGGTGAGGTGCAGTGTGAGCCACAGTGTGACAATGGACAGTTGGGTGGTGTGGTTCCACGACTGGGAAACGAACCTGGGCCATGGCAGTGAGAGCGCTGAATCGTAACCACTAGACTGCCAGAATTGGCTTGATTTCAGTTTTATTTGAATTTTACATTCTTCTCTTTACTTTTAGAAGTTTGGCACCTACTTTCAGTTCTCCTGTGCAAGAAACAAATAAGTATACCGTGGACAAGAGGTAAGAGGGAAAACTATAAAAAAGAATTTGTTTAAAAATATGTTTGCTCATTCCACAAAAATTTCTTAAGCGACTGTTGGACATCAGGCAGGTTAAATTAATATTTCTACCCAAACAGTTTAATTGTTTCAGCACAGTCAAGCCCAGAAAGGATCATGTCTCTTAGAGAAGTAAAGTTTAGATGAATCCAAATGGAATGTGGTAAACATAGATCTTTGTGAGGCTTATGTGGATTTCTCTGACATCTTTGGAAGTTTTTAATATTGAAAGCAAGTATTCCTATGAGCTAGTTATTTTTTTCAAATAAAGTACTCGTGCAGGAATCAGAATAGATCCACTTGGGTCTATTTTCCATTTTCCAGCTCCATACCAGATTTCCCTTTGAAAAAGGCTCCTCTTGTGGTAGATGGTGTGTTCAGGTTTAAATAAAATATCTAAAACAAAGGAGGCTTGTTTACGACAGAGGGACATTGAATACAAGTTTTGAAAAAACAATAAAGAATCAACAACTATTTAAGAGGAACCTAATATATTAGGTACTTGGCACTGTACTGGGCGTTGGATTTATAGCAGGCACAGATAGGAACAGCTCCTGCCCTCCTAGAGTTTTGTAGGGATTACGTGAAAACGTCTATAATTACAAACTATGATCAGAGGTCTGAGAAAAAGCAATGATGTCGTAAGAAATGAAAACAAGACCCTTGGGTTTAGAGTGATGGATGAGACAAGGCTTTCTCTGGGGTCATGTTTGTGGGGAGGCTGGAAGGATGAGTTAGCACAGGGAGGTGGGGAGGCTCTGTGGAAACCGCAAAAGAAGAGCGTGTGGGAAGGTGAAAGTGGGAAGGGCGATGTGAGTGTTCAAGGAGCAGAGAGAAGGCCATGTGCTTGAAGTGCAGTGAGCAGGGACACAGTGCCACGCACAAGCTGGAGAGGGAGGCAGGGCGGAGGGACAGGAAGTGGAGTGTCTAGTTAGCAAGGGACTGCAGGAGCCTCATGGAAGCCTGGACTGGTGTGAAGATGCTGGAGATGGGGAAAGTGGGCACGTACCAGTGATATGTTCTGGAAGAAGAATTGGCAGGGCTTAATGATGGCGTGTGGGCCATAAGGGAGAGGGGAAAACCAGGTGGTTCCAAACATAGGCAGGCTTAGAGCACATGCTCATTTCTCTCATAACAACTTGGTGGTAGCTATGGAACATAATATGGTGCTTTTTGCTAAAGTCTTACGCTTATGATAAGATTCTTTATTATGGCTTTTGTACAGACTGGAGTTGACTGTGACTCCCAGGGGTGATCTGCTATATTGGGAGGAGGAGGCAGAGGAACTATCCTTTCTGATTCAGGAGTTTCTGTGAAGTGGACCCTTCTTATTCAGAAGGGGAGAGTCATGTTTGTTATACAGTCCGTTTCACCAGTGACATTAAGGGAAAGTGGAGGGGTGGCGGGGCAGGGAGGGTGGCGAGCATTGAACCTCAGAATGACACTGGCTTTTATCTTTTAAGGTTTATCAAGGATTTTATAAGTATATCAGAAATTGGCTCAGGTGGATTTGGCCAGGTTTTCAAAGCACAACACAGACTTGATGGGAAGACTTATGTTATTAAACGTGTTAAATATGACCGTGAGTAAGTAGTAAATGTTTTGGTTTTTTTTGAATGGGAAAGTGTGTTGAACCTGCACTATGCTTTTTTATGTACCTCTCTTCCTCATTAGCGTCTTATTTGTTTTTTCTAGTCCTCCTTAAAAATGTCATGCTACCATCAGGAGCTTGGCTTACTCTGAAATGATTTCACTTTACTATAGTTATTTCCTTTAACAAGAGGATACACCATTGGTCATCTTTTTGAGGCTATCTTGATGAAAACCGAAGTTATAGAATCATTTGGCTTAAGATGACCTTTGAGATTTTCTAGTCTCATCTCCTTATTTTACAGATGAGGAAACTGAGATCCAAAGATAGGAACTGATTTGTCTAAGGTAAAAGCTAGTTGGTAATTGTTCTGCTTGTCTATTGTTGCATAAAACATGACTCCAAAATGTAGTGACTTAAAAACAAGTTATCTCTCATGGTCCTATGAATTGATTTTGCTCATCTGGGCCATTCTTACTTAGGATCTCTCATGTATTTGCACTCAGGAGTCATCTGAAAGCTTGGCTAGGCTGGACATCCAAGATGGCTCACTCACATGGCTAGCAGTTGATGCTGGCTGTGGGCTGGAAGTTCATCTGGGACTGTTTAACAAAGTGCATCCACACGGCCTGTCTATGTAGCCTGAGCTTCTCGCAACTTAGTGGCCGGGTTCCAACTTAGCGGCTTGCTCCCCAGAGCAAGTCATCCAAGAGACCAGGAGGAAGCAGCAAAGGCTACTTTTGACCTAGTCTCAGAAATTCCAGAATGTCACTTTCTCTGTATTATGTTGGTTAAATAGGTCACTAAGGCCAGCTGAGATTCAAGGCTGGGGTGGGGTGGAACAAATAAACTCTACCTCTCAATCTGAGGCGTGGATGCACGTATGGGAAGGGAAGGAATTGATGGTGACCATCTTTGAATACTATCTACTGTGGTAGCAGGTAGAGATATAGAACTCATCCTCTGGAATGCCAGTCCACTGTGTTCCCATTATAACCCATTGCTTTCCATGTTTGTTTATGTGTTATCTGCCCATCCCCTACCTTACCAGATAATAGATCTCCTTCAGCAAAGAAAACACCTAGGAAGGAGATCTTAAATCACGTGTTCACCAATCTTGCTTGTTGATTTCTGGCAATTTCCATGTGTAACTTGGCCAGACATCCCTCAAGGACTAGAGAAGGAGAAGGAAAATGACATGAGCAAAGGAGAAGCAGGCATGGAGTCCTGGGTGCTCTTGATCCCAATCAAACAAACCCGCTTTCTATCCCATGGACACTACCTTGCACTTGAAATATCCTTATACCTACTTGGCATCAAAACAAGTCTTTTTCCTTCTCCATTGTTTTGCTTGTCAGGAGTGAAGTACTGTTCCTTCCATTCCATAGCATTTTTTATTTAATGGTAATACTTGATGATGATAAGAGTGCAATGTCTTGGACATTTCTAGTGGTTTCATAAATTGGTACAACACAGTTAAAAATACGCTTGTAAATATTAATCTGGATCCATAAAAATGTTTATATACTTTGACCCATGGGTTTCCTGTCTGGGAACCTATTCTAAGGAGATTATCCATATTATGGAAAAAACTATATAAGAAGATATAAATCACAGAGTCATTTATAACAGTGAAAAATTAGAACAAAATGTCCAACAATAAAGAAATGATTAAGAATGTTTTGTTCTTCCTCCTGATCAATGGCTGTTTTGCAGTCATTAAAAATGAAGGTTATGTACTGAAAATATTTACAAATGAAATGATATGATGCTGGAGTTGCTTCAGAATAATCAAGGGGATGTTGAGGAAGTGGATAAAAGAATAGATGAGGCAAGATTGGCCAGGAGTTAATAACTGTTTCATCTGATGAAACAGTGCTGGCTGGGTAGGGTTCATTATACTATCTGCTCTTCTTTTTTATACTTTTGAAATCTTACATTAAAAAGTTTATACGTGATGCTTATACAGATTGAAACAGCAAGGAAAATTGTAAAGATAGCATGTTATGTGAAAAATAATAGGATAAAATTATATACTCTAATTACAAATATATAAAAATGTATATGAAGAAAGACTATAAGAAATAATCTAAAATAATAACTGATTGTTAGGATTGTGGATGTATGAAAAATTTCTTTCTTTTTACAAATCTTATGTCATATAGAACTTTTCAGATGAAAAAATCAAATTGTAGAATGTTTGCTTTTCCTCTCTCGTCCTTGAAATCTCAAATTGATTTCCTCCACTTAGCATAGAATTGTCTTAGCTCTTGACTGCGCATGCATGTAGAGCTCCCACATGTGCTGCGAAGTCTCAGTTGCTTTGCATAGATTATCCCCTTTGTATATTTTTGACACACATTGAAAATTTTGGATTAGGTTCTTCATGCTGCCTGGGCTACCAACCCTTGCTGCCCAAATGGGATTTGCTTATGAAATCCAAAGTGATTTTAACACAAGTTTAAACAAAACGTAATGGATGAATTAGCTACCAAAAATTGTATCCCTGGCATTTCAAGGACTACTACAGATGACTTTTAAGTTGTCTGATGTTTGGAATTAATTAAGTCACTCCTTTTTCTTTTGAGAGTGAGAACAGCCGTATTTTTTCTGTATGGTCACTTTTTCCTTTTGAGTCTCCTTGGCTTTCATTCTAAAACCCTGGGTATGGGAACCATAGCGACTGTCTGCTGAGGGAGTGTGGATAGTTGTCTTCTGTTGAGGTGTTTGTAGTTGTTATCAGGGATGTATACCGACACTTTTATGTTCTCTGTTTTTTTTTAAGAAAGAAGGCAGAGCGTGAAGTGAAAGCTTTGGCAGAGCTTGATCATCCAAATATTGTTCACTACTATAATTGTTGGGTTGGGAATGATTATGATCCTGAGGAAAGCATAAATCTTTCAAGGTAACTAAAAAGAAATTCTCTTAGCCATAATAGGATGATGGAAACTGTTGTTTACTGTGTGGGGGCCAGCAGATAAGGCCACTAATTCTTTAATAATCACAACCACAAACACTGAGACACTGCTACCTCTTCATTCTGCAGGTAAGGAGACAATGAGTAATCTTTTTCTTGCTCCAAACTTGCCTGAAAAAAACTTTTTTGTTGTCCTCAGCTGCTTTCCTGACTCCAGTGTTTCATAGATAGGCTTGCTCAAGTGCCCCGACTGCAGTCTAGGCTATAAATGCAGTCTTGTGAAGAAGGTTTGAGCATATTGTAGATGCTGCAAATGGAAGTTCCCTCCTGAGCTGCCAACACTTCTCTGTCCCCGCTCACAGGCGTCTGATTGGTGGGGTGTCGTGAAGGGATCTCTTTCGAGTGTAATTACAACCACTTATGGTGGGGTTGTGGACAGTGAAATAATTTTAAGACCATCAACTGTGATGGGGGCACCCCACTTTGCATCACGCATGTTTTGTCTCTGGCATGCCACTTCCAAAGGACTGGAGGGTTCTAAAGAGCTGGAATCTCCCTTTGAAAATCACCCAGCGTTTCTTGGGGACGGTCCTGACTGAAATCCTGAGGCCATTGAGGACCAGTTCATTCATCATCTCCTGACTCCAGCCCCATCTCCACCCCGTGTAATTGAGAACTTTATCATCAGTTGGAGGAGTCATTGACCATCAGCATACAGGACTTCTTCAGCTTTCAGCAAATTCTTGGCTACTTCTTTCTGTTTTGCCAACATATGTTCAAAGAACATCAATTAATATTAAGGCCAACTTAGTTCAGAAAAAAAATAAAATATGGTTAGCAAAATCAGTCCTCTCGGTTATATCTCATAGCAGTTTTTTGGCACTTCTCTTAGAGTATCTATTCTTATACTATTGTTTTAGGTGTTTTTTTTTTCCTTTACCTCTCTTCTATTAATTTCCATGATGGCAAGGATAAGGTGTAACTCATTTTCTTATTTCTAGGTGCCTTTTGTGTGCCTTTCACAAAATAGATGCTCAGTAGACCCGTGGTAAATTAAAATGTTTCAAAATTATGTAAAAATGAAATTTAGTTTTCTGCAATTCCATTATATTAATGCTCCTATTCTTATCTATTAGCAAAGATGATCAAGGACCTTCAGCATTAAAGAATGGACAGGCTCATACTTCATAAATTAGCTAAACAAATAAAGCTCTGGACATCAGGGAACTTATGATTTAAATAAAAAATCGTTTGGGGCCAGCCTGGTGGCACAGCAGTTAAGTTCACATGCTCTGCTTTGGCGGCCTGGGGTTCACCAGTTTGGATCCCAAGTGCAGACCTACGCACTGCTTGTCAAGCCATGCTGTGGCAGGTGTCCTACATACAAAATAGAGGAGGATGGGCATGGATGTTAGCTCAGGGCCAGTCTTCCTCAGCAAAAAGAGGAGGATTGGCAGCAGATGTTAGGTCAGGGCTAATCGTCCCCAAAAAAAGTAAATAAATAAAAAATTTTTAAAAAATGGTTTATTTTCTTTTGATTCAAATTTATATATTATATTTAGTTTTCTATTTTGAGACATTTTGGGGATTCTTGAGAAGGTGTAATTTAAAAAAATGTATTTTGTATAAATTTTTTTTTACGAAAATTTTTATTTTTATTGCTACTTCTAACATACTGTGAATTTTATCTCTAGATCAAAGACTGACTGCCTTTTCATCCAAATGGAATTCTGTAATAAGGGGACGTTAGAGCAATGGATCGACAATAGAAGAGGCCAGGAAACAGATAAACAATTGTCTTTGGAATTTTTTGAACAAATAACTACAGGAGTAGATTATATACATTCAAAAGAATTAATTCATAGAGACCTTAAGGTAAGTGGAAAATCTACTTTGTTAGAAATTGATAAATGTGATTTAGTCATTTTAAAATGTCTTCTCAGGGCCGGCCCCGTGGCCAAGTGGTTAAGTGGTTGGGCTCCGCTGCAGGTGGCCCAGTGTTTCGTCGGTTCAAATCCTGGGCGCAGACATGGCACTGCTCATCCAGCCACGCTGAGGCAGCGTCCCACATGCCACAACTAGAAGGACCCACAACTAAGAATATACAACTATGTACCGGGGGGCTTTGGGGAGAAAAAGGAAAAAAAAAAAATCTTAAAAAAAATATAAATATGTCTTCTCTAGTTTTACAATTGATTGACAGTCATGAGGAAATAGTATCTCTGATCCTCTAAGGGTAGAATGGACCTAGAACTTGCCCGAAATACCAGTCCATAGCACCACTCAGAAGATCTCCAGGGCAAGTGAACTTATCAAGAGGTGAACTTATCAAGACATGGAGCTCTGTAGGAAGAAGCTCATTCACTTCTGGTCCTGTTTGGCTGATAGTCACACCCTCCTCGCAAACACTTACAGCTTTAGTTATTGACCATTTCTGTGCAAATAACTATTGTGGCTGGTATAGCCAACTGGCTGCTCTCCCCCTGCCTCTCCTGCTACTCAGGCTGGTCTGAGAGGCATAAGGGATGCTGGTGACTATGGCTTTGGGAACATGGTTTTCCTAATCCCTCACTCATCACTCTTAAGGGCAGTCACAGCTATTGGGTCCAGAGTCTAGAATTTTCTTGGCATTTGGTTAGACATCTCTGTCCTATGATTGTAAATTATAGTAATCTAAACCTTGGAACATGTAGCATACCTTCATATTTTCATTTTCTTCTGGTTCCCTAGCTTCTTTCATGGCCTAAATGAGCAGTTTCCCCCTTTTTCCTTGTCATCAGAATGAAAGAAGAGAGACAGAGCAGCTTTTCACAGTCTCTCCTCCATGCTGGAGTCCCTGTGATTTGCCTACTTTCATCACAAACCAGCCATGCTGAATACTTTCCCTGAACCTTTGCTCATGTTCTTGCATGGAACACTCTTCTTCCTGTCCCCTTTGGTCCCAATTCCTTTATCTAGCCTTTCCTGATCACTCTGGATCAGGCAGAAGCACCTTGCCCATACCCCACCTGTTCCAGCTAGGAACGGGGAACGAAGCAAAAAGTTTCTTGAGAAAAATAACTGCCCATGCATATAGTTGTTTGTTGGGCCTAGCTAGGAGTAAGTGGCCCTTAAAAGGTATCGCGTCCTTGGCCTGCCCTGGGCCTGGATGCCTGATGCCTTCATGTTGGAGTTCACGTGGTTCCACTGTCTTTAACAATATCTGAAGATGTTCTTTCAAGTTGGAACGTTTTAAGGACTGTGTTCAAAAGATCATGTTTAGAATGGCTAAACCTTCGCTTTTAAATAAATCATACAGAGAATTAAATAAGAAATTAAACATAATTATCTCTTCATACAATTTGCGAATAAATACAGAAGTTTGGGTCTTAACTCCCAGGCCCTTCTCAGCATGAATTAGTGCAATTCTGACAGGTGCTGACTGGATCCCCCTTTCTCCTATCACCTCATCTGCCAAGTCTCTTCTGTGTCCCACACTGCCTGTGCCTCGTGACATAGAGTGATCTTTTCTTGTGTCTGTTGGCGGAGAATATTCGCTTTCTGGCTACAGTTGCTATGTCTGCAGTCAGACTTAAAACCGGAGAGGCTTTTTCACCTTCTACAACTTCTATAGCTTCCCTGCTATACAAAACAACAGTTGTTGCTTTCTGGCACCTGAGAGAAGATGCAAATGAAGGGGTGCACTTTTTTTGTGATGCTTTGCAAAATACCAGCTGTAGGTGGCTTTGCCAGAAAATAGTCTTTACCCAATGAAGCCCCTATTGTATAAAGTCTACCAGTGTTTACCGCTTCTTGTCAGAATCTTAAGAAGGCCAAAGACATTGGTGAGGGACATAGAGGTTTCTGGAGTGAGGGCTTACTGTCTGAAGAAGTTCAGTCTCCTAATAGGCTCAGGCTCCCTGGTCAGCCCTCGCCTGAGCATCAGACCTTGTTCCTGTACCTCCTATATAAAATTTGCACCTTTTTTTATGCTCTACAACCTAACATTTTGCCTAATTATACCATAACTGATTAGACAAAATGCAGCATTATTATTCTTTTTCTTTTTAATGAGCTATAAACAAGCAATCTGATATTTTGGTTAGTGTCATCTAGCTCATATATTTAGACAGCATCGTAAATGCAGCCTCCTGTTTCTCAGAGTAGGGTTACAGCCTTGTGTGGGACTAGTAGTTACACTTGCAAACCCAACGTCTTCCTACATTATAACTTGAGAATTGCCTAGGCGCATTTTCCCTCCACACTCACCCCACACACATCTACAGCTTTCTATTTGTATTATTGGCATTAGCTTCCAATCTAACTGGTAATTGTTCTAACCTGACTGCTAATTTCTGCATGGGCCTGTTCCCCCGGCCTCTTGGAAGCTCCTCTTTCAGTCTTCCTGGGCTGATGGTCTCTTCTCTCTCACTTCCTTCACTAGGCGGTCTCCTAAGTGTTCTCTCTTAGAGTCTGTGTGTGAATGACTAGCCCAACATTATAGTGAAAGTGTAACCTTTTCAAGAATGGCAAAATGTTAATTTCCTCATCACCAACCTTCCTGTTTACATGGTTTTTAGGATATTGGTCAATACCTTCTAGAAAGCTGTGGAAGAGGGTGAACAGCCCTTATTCTGTTCTTCCTTTTTAAAAAATTTTCAACTTGCTTAAAGAATTACATGGAAAAAATACTTCGGTGCTAGTTATCAGCTTCCAGTTAACTAGGTATGCCTTCAAGGATAGAGGGGGTATGTTTGTGAAGAAGTTGTCAGAGGCCTCGAGAAATTGACATCAAGTAAGCCCCCAGGGGAAATTCTGCACAGGATATTCTGCAACATTATTGAGAAGAGACCCATTCTGACAATCCCAAAATAGGAAGGGATTTTAAGGGTGTCTACTTCAATCCCCATCAAATCCTGGATTCATATTTGCAACATTTCCACCAAGTGTGTGTCCAACCCGGTCTTGAATACACCCTGGGATGGGGAACTCTTGAACTCTCATTCTTTGGGCCACACTATTAGTATATTAGGATATATTAAAGCAAATCTTTTGGCCATTTCCGCCCTCTCTTCCTGGATCCGCCCCCTGGGACCATGCAGAGTGAATCCACTTTCCACTTAACAGCTCTTAAGGTGTTTGCAGGCAGTTCTGCCGCAAGCCTTCTCTGCTCATAACTCAAGTCCTTACTTCCTCAGCTGGCCTTTTAAAGACCAGTGATATTAAATTTGCTGTTTTGGGCTACCTGTGTGAGGGGAAATGCCTTATAGGTAAATATCAAAATAGCTGTTGCTAAATATGATTTGTATATGTGATAATAGTCTGTGAAATTGGTACCTATAAATTAAATATCTGTTTCTTTCCCATAGCCAAGTAACATATTTTTAGTAGATGCAAAACATATAAAGATTGGAGACTTTGGACTCGTAACATCCCTGAAATATGATGACAAGCGGACAAGTAATAGGGGAACTAAGCGATACATGAGCCCAGAACAGGTGAGGTCGCCTTCCTTTCTATGTACTTTTTTACTTCCTTCATTTTTTTAAATTATAAAATTAGTAGATACCTCTTATAAAATTAAAACAGTACAGATGTATATAAAATAAAAATGGAAAGTTTCCCTTAACCTTCATTGCGTCTACTCTCCTCACTAGAGTTTGTTTATCCTTTTAGATCGTTTTCTGTGAGTTATAAAATATGCAAACACAAATATATATTTACACAATTTTTTCAGAAAAATATTCCTAAATACATTTTTACAAGGTTATTATAATGTTCTTTTGTGATTTGATTTTTTCCACTTGACAGTGTATCATAATTTTTTCATATCAGCACCGATAAATCTGACACATTCTTTTTAACAATTGTATTGTATGCCAAGTATAGATGTATCATAATTTACTTAACTATTTCCTTATTGATGGATATTTATTTAGGTTGTTTCCAACTTTTTACGTTTATAGACATGTTATATGTCTTCCTCCTTATCTTTGAGTCTAAAAACAAATATTTCTGTGATAATCTATGATAGATTCCTTGAAGTGAAATTATTGAATAGAATGACAAGTGCATTTCAAACTTGGTAAATATTGCCAAATTGTGATCCAAAAAAAGTGATTCTGCTGTGCTTTCCTACCAAAGTATAGGAGAGTGCTGCTTTTGCTCTCACATCTCAATTAGACTAGGGTACTGTCAGACTACAGTTTGGGCCAGTGTGATAAATGAGGAGTGTCTTGCTGTTTTAGCTTGCTTTTTCCAGATTTTGAGAAGGTAGGCCATCTTTCCATGTTTACTTACAATTTTTCTGTAAATTCTCTATTCCTATCCTTTCCTTACTTTTCTTAATTAGGTTATCTTTTTCTAATTTATTTGTAAGGAATCTTTATATGTTTTGGATATTGATTCCGTGTCTGGTAACTACATTATAGAAAATTTCTCCTTGATTGTTACTTGTTATTTCTCTGTTTATAATGTGGCATAGAAGCTTTTAAGTTGTCACGTTTATCAATATTTTCCTTGTGGCTACTGGGTTTCTCATTTTTATTTTGGAGGCTGTTCCTATCACAAGATTATAAACGTATTTTGTGTTTTTGCTAATACTTTAGTCTAGCTTGAATTAATTTTCATATTGGTATGTATTTTTAAAGTTTTTTCCTAAATATGTACTATAGTGTTTTGCTACTAAAATGAGACTCTTTGGGGGCTGGCCCAGTGGCATAGTGGTTAAGTTCGCATGCTCTGCTTCAGCATCCTGGGGTTTGCTGGTTTGGATCCCAGGTGTGGACCTACACACCACTCATCAAGCCGTGCTCTGGCAGCATCCCACATACAAACTAGAGGAAGACTGGCACAGATGTTAGCTCAGGGCCAATCTTCCTCAAGACAAAAAGAAAATTAATTAAAAAAATTAATAAAATGGGACTCCTTGTATCCAATTGGTTTTACTGAGGCTATTGATTTTTAAAATATATTTACAGTCACGTGCCACATAACAACTTTTTGGCCAACAACAGACAGCATATACATAAGATTAGTCCCATAAGATTAGTCCCATCAGATTAGTACCATATAGCCTAGGTGTATAGTAGGCTATACCATCTTGGTTTGCGTAAGTACACTCTGATGTTTGCACAAGGATGAAATTGCCTAACTACACATTTCTCAGAATGTATGCCTGTCATTAAGTGACACATGACTGTATTTATTTATCATTGTGGTAAAATACCCATAACATAAAATTTACCATCTTAACCATTTTTATGTGTCCAGTTTAGTGGCATTAAGTACATTCACATTGTTGTGCTAGTATCACCACCATCCATCCACAGAACCCTTTTCATCTGGTAAAACTGAAACTCTGGATCCAGTGAAAGGCTCCCCATAGCCCTCTCTCCCTGGCCCCTGGCAACCACCATTCTACTTCCTATCTCTATGAATTTGACTGCTTTAAGTTCCTCGTATAAGTGGAATCATACAGTATTTGTCCTTTTGTGACTGGCTTATTTCATTCAGCATAATGTCCTCAAGGTTCATCCATGTTGTAGCATGTGTCAGAATTTCCTTTTTTTAAAGGCTGAGTTATATTCCATTGTATGGATACACCAAATTTGTTCATCTGTTCATCCATTGATGGATGCTTGGGTTGCTTCGCCCTTTTGGCTGTTGCGAATAATGCCGCCACAAGCATGGCTGTACAGCTATTGATTTGTCAATGCTTGTCTTATATATAGACTCATTACTCTAATAGTTTAAATTCTTTTGGTTGATTGCTTATTGTCTATTTTTCATCTTTTTGATGTTTTGAGAGTCTAGAATGGAGAGGAACTGATCTCTTCTTCCCTTTGGGGATCATTTGGCGTAAAAACATAATTTAAGTTTTTTGTGGAGTGTGAAAGTAGAAGACAGTAGGAGGCTAAGGGCTCCCTTTTAACCCACTTTTAAAACTATCTCCTGCATCCTATATTATCCCCCTAAGAATATTTTTGAAAAAATCATTCATCTTGTGCTTTTTATTTTTTTAGTGATTTTTTAATGGAAAAACATTTTATTAGGGGTCAATTTGTATACCATAAGATGCACAGATCTTAAATGTACATTTTTAGTTTTGACAAAGGTATATACCTGTGAAATCCACAAGCCTATGAAAATGGAGAACATTTTCCTCACCCAAGAAAATTCCCTCAGGCCCTTTCCAGTCAATCCTTGCCCCAAAGCAGCCAGTGCTCTGATTTCTATCACCATTGATTGCTTTTCCCTATTGTTGAGCTTCATATGAATGGGATCAAGCAGCATATATTCTTTTGTATTTGATGATTTCACTCAAAGTAGAGTCTGTTGGAGAACCTCTAGTTGTTGTTTATACCAGCAGATTATTCCTTTTTAAGTATTCTTCTGTTTTATGAATATACCACAATTTGTTTATCATTCTCCTGTTGCTAGACATTTGGATTGCTTCCAGTTATGGAATATTATGAATCAATCTTCTATGAACATTTGCATGCAAATCACTGACTGAGAACTGTTTTAACTGCTTCACCTGCTGCCTCTCATTTAACCCCACAAACTCTGAGGTTGAAACTATTGTTATTTTCATTTTATGGTTAAGATTATTCCCACCTTGACGGTTAATTTACACAGGTGTTTCAGATATTTAGTGATGGAGATTTGAACCTGGGCAGTCAGACTCCACAGATCTTGCTAACAAGTACACATTGTTGTATGATGAAAGATATTTTGGTCAAATAACTTCTTTGGCTTCAGAAGGCGTAGATATTTATATCAGGTGAGTAACGGATGTAAATATATCTTGATCTCTTTAGATTTCTTCAGAAGTATATGGAAATGAAGTGGACATCTATGCTTTGGGAGTAATTCTTGCAGAGCTTCTTTACATATGTCCCACTGCTAGAGAAACAGTTGAGGTAAATAATCTCACAGAAAGAGTTAAGCAATTGGGGCCGGCCCAGGGATGTAGTGGTTGGGTTCGCGTACTCCACTTTGGCAGCCTGGGGTTCACCGGTTTGGATCCTGGGTGCAGACCTACACACCATCATCAAGCCATGCTGAGGCAGCATCCCACATAGAGGAACTAGAAGGACTTGCAACTAAGATATACAACTATGTACTGGGGCTTTGGGGAGAAAAAAATAAGAGGAAGATTGACAACAGATGTTAGCTCAGGGCCAATCTTCCTCACCAAAAAAAAAAAAAAAGCAGCAGCAGCAGCAAAAGACCATTGGCTGTCATCTTCAAAGTGCAGCTGCAGACAGTTATTGCACTCCTTTGAGTGTAGGCTTGGACGTATTAGTGTTGAATGCAAATGAAATGTGGATTTTATCTCTTTCATGTTTGGGCAAGCAAAACTTTGTTAAAGACCGAAAATTTTGGTCTTCTTTGGAAGATGTGTATATGTTATAAAACTGTAGCTATTTCTCCCTATTTGAGTCAGTAAAATTTTATTGATTGCTTTGCATAAGACACTGTGCTAAGTGTTACAAGGGTTATAAAAACTAAGAAGCCTTGTTCTCAAGGAGCTTATATTCTCGAAGGAAAAATAGTATAAGAAAATGCTGGGGCCTGCCCTGTGGCCAAGTGGTTGAGTTCGCACACTCTGCTTCGGCGGCCCAGAGTTTTGCTGGATCGGATCCTGGGTGTGGACATGGCACCGCTCATCAGGCCCTGCTGAGGTGGTGTCCCACATAGCAGAGCCAGAAGGACCTACAACTAGAATATACAATGATGTGCTGGGGGCTTTGGGGAGAAGAAGAAGAAGAAGAAGAAAAAAAAAAAAGATTGGCAACAGTGGTTAGCTCAGGTGCCAATCTTTAAAAAAAAAAAAAAAAAGGGAAAATGCCCTAAGTGTTTTGTGAGAAGGCATGAAGTCTTATGGAGGCAGCTAGGAGGAAGATGTTTCCAGCTGTGGGGATTTAGGTTTCATGAAGGCGTTTAAGCTGGGTCTGAAGGAGTGGTTGGCTTCTAATAGTCCAAAATGGAAAGAAGGTAATTCCAGCATAGAGAAAGGCATGTGCAGAGTGTTTGGGAATAGCAGGCAGTGTCCTTCTTGTTGGAATGTGTAAGTTACAAGGAAGTGGTCGTTGAAGGCACTGGGAAGACATGTTGGGGCTAAATTAAGGCAAGAATACAGACTTTCTTGTGGAGACAGTTGGGAGCCACTAAAGGCATTAGGTAACTAGATATCCTAGTCTGAAGCTCAGTAAAGGGGACTTGCCTGGCATCAACAGGCTTCTGTTCTGTAAAAAAAATGGATAATGGAAATACCTATCACACAGGGTTCCAAAAAGAATGAAGGGAGATAATGCATATGATGCTTTTAAGACTTCCACATGTTGTAATGTTAAGGATGGTTATTAGGATGGGGTGGGGGAGGGGAGTCCTGCTTGCTTCTTGGCTAGTGACTTCCAAAGATCTGGAAATATCCTAGATTTAGGGTATCTCCAACTTTTAGTGCTTCCTAAGTTTGTTTTTCCTCCCAAGTGAATAAATTTCCTGACAAATATATATATGTTTTATTTTCAGATCTTGGAAAAGCTAAAGGCTGGCATCTTCTCAAATGTATTTGATAAGAGAGAAGTAAGCACTTGAAAATAATCAGAATTTTGTTTATTTCAATGTTTTATTTATTAATGTTGACTCTTACTGTTATTACAGAAAATTCTTCTACAGAAATTAGTCTCCAAAGATCCCAAGGAACGACCTAAGACATTTTCAATACTGTGGACGTTGAAGGAATGGAAGAAGGATACAGTGAAAAAGAATGGTACAGGGAAAAAGAAACCAACTTCATGTTAGAGCCCTTCTAAGAAAGTATCCTGCTTCTGATCTTTGATTTTCCTGTAACTGTCTAAAATCTACTAGGGAATGTCGATGGTATTTACCTTCTTCCTCTTTTTTTTAACCCTACATTATGATTTTTTTTAATTGCGGTAACATTCATTTATACCATTATATAAATTTCAGGTGTACACTGTTATATATTTCGATTTCTGTGTAGATTACATCATGTTCACCACCCAAAGACTAATTACCATGCATCACCACACACATGTGCCTAGGTATTTACCTTCTGTTTTCATTTTTCCCTTAATTTTTTTACTACATTTGCAGGAACGTTTGCATTTTTTTACTTCAAAAACATTCTTAGGTTTGACTTTTTCCTGGTGCATCTCCTTATTATGAAGATGAGAAAAAAAAATCCCTCAAATTTTTTTTAGTGTCAATTGATAAACCAATTAATAATATTTATTAAATGTCCATTGTTTCCAGGCCAAAAAATGTAAGGTCTTTTCCTGTCTTAGGTGGCTAACAGGCCAGTTGGAGAAATATGGTACCCATGAAAAGATAAGTGATATACAATCACTTTGGAAAACAATTTGATATTACCAGTAAAGTTGAAGGTGTATGTACCCTCAAAGCCATCAGTTCCATTCCTACAAGAATTTTCATAGAAACCCTGTTTATAATAGCTGAAAGAACAGGAAACAATCCTAATGTCCATCACAAAAAGAATGGACCCATAAATTGTATTATATTCACACATTGGGATACTATATAGCAGTGAAAATGAATGACTTACAGCTAAATGCAATAACATGATACATCTCCCAAGAGCATCATGTTACGCAAACAAAGCAGGTTACAGAAAATATATACAGAATGATTCCATTTACATAAGGTTCATTTCATGCTAAATGAAATAGTCTTCAGGAGTCCAACCAGATGTGGTAAAACAATGAAATGAAGGAAGAGAAGGAGAAATATTAGATTCTGATCATGGTTATCTCTGAGGAGGGATGGCAGTGATGTGACTGGGGACTTCAAAGGTAACAGTTAACTTTTTTTTCTTAAACTGGATATTGATTCCACTAGCGTTTGCTGCATAGTTCTTTTTATCTTAAATACATTTTGTATCTGTTATAACAGACACTTTATAGAGATAATAACTCTGCTGTAAGGTAGTAGCTAAGCACAGAAAGTAGTCCGTCTGGAGGGGTGAGCTCACCTTCTGCGGTATTGCGGCACAGGGCTCGGGGAGACTTCCAAGGATGCGAGCAGTTTAGGTGGGTAGAGAGGAGGCCATTTGGGCAGTCTGGGCAAGGGGCATGGCTTGAGTTCTGGAAAAGCTGCATTTGAGGAACATGGGTATACTAATTTGTTTCCCTGAATTGCTGTAGAGAAGGCCAGAAGATGATTTGGGCTATATCTTAGAAGAACCTGGGGGCTAATTTAAACTTTACAGCAACCAGCTACCACGCTAAAACTGTCATGTAATTTTACAGTTTTTAAAATGAGCCAAATTTAGGCTAAGCAGAAAAATCGCAGTAAGAGAAAATACTTTTATAAAGAGTTATGGCTATTTCTTAAAGGTGTTACTAAGAGCACTTAATACGGTTTGCAGCTCCCAAGACAGTGTTTGATTAAAGCAGGGTTCACCAATGGATGCTAAAACTCTTGGTTGACAAGATGTTGGGAAACGGGGTCTTCACAAGGATTTAAATCTAATCCCACAGATGATACATAAATTACAAAGAGGAAGATGTACCTTCACAGTGCAAAGATCTCTTGGGGACCACAATAACTATGGGATGAAATTGAGCATCACTCAAAGTGGGACAACCTAACTTGATGCCCCTCCTGATGGGGTGTGAAAATTACACACTATCACCTCTTTAGTTTTCTTGCCCCAAGTGTCTAACTGGAATTTAATCATGGTGAAATTATTAGACAAATTCTGAATGAAGTCATTCTATAAGATAATTGACTTTGGCTTCTCGGAAAGTCAATATCACAGAAGGAAAAAGTACGGGAACTATTCTAAATAAAAAAAAAACTAGAGAGATATGATGACCAAATGCAATGCTTGAATCTTGATTGTATCCTGAATATTAAAAAAGGGTAAAACCAAGCAAATAGCTATGAAAGACATTTTTGAGACAATTGAGAGTATTTGAGTATGGACTATATCTTAGGGGACGTTATGGAATAATTGTTAATTTTCTTATGTGTGATAATGATTGTGGTTGTGCAGGAAAATGTCCTGTTCTTAGGCAATGCATGCAGAAATATTTAGGGGTGAAGTGGCATGATATTTGCAACTTTCACATGTTCAGCAAAAATCAGTGTGAATATGAAGAGAGAAAGCAAATATGGCAAAATGTTAACAACTGAACAATTGATAAATCTAGGTGGAGAGAATAGAAGTATTTCTTGTAATATTCTTTAAAGTTTCTGTAGGTGTGAAATTTTTCTGGGTGGAGAGAAGTCATTTTGTAAACAGTATTATCTGGATCTAATGAATAAGGCTATACTCAAAAGAAGAACTAATGAATGTGGCAAATTAGTGACAATGTAGCCTTATTTTTACCTTCTCTCATTTTAATATTTCCACTGTTACAAAATAAATATAGCATCTCTTAGAAGATTTTATTTATTTGTGAGTATATATTTTCTCAGCCTCAAAAGTATAGTAAATAACAAGTATCCTCTTAATCAGAGGATGAGAGGGGCAAAGGCCAGGGATCTTATTTGCTAATTAGAACACACACACACACAGAGTTGTGTTTTTTTGTTTTTGTTTTTGGTTTTTTTGGTGAGGAAGATTGGCCCTGAGCTAACATCTGTTGCAAATCTTCCGCTTTTTTTTTTCCTCCCCAAAGCCCCAGTACATAGTTGTATATCCTAATTGTAAGTCCTTCTAGTTTTTCTGTGTGGGATGCCGCCACAGCATGACTTGACGAGCAGTGTGTAGGTCCGCACCCAGGATCCGAACCAGCAAATCCTGGGCCACCAGAGTGGAGTGGCAGAACTTAACCCTTATGCCACCAGCCTGGCCCCAACACAGAGATTTTGAAAGAGCTATTTTGACCTAGTTTCACTAGAAACAGACCTTCTAGGAAATTTTTATCACTAATCGCACATATATTCTTTATGCTAAATATACATATATTTAACATAAATACATATATAGTAACACACATATACACTTAGCACATGTTATGTTAGATATATTTAGCATATATACACACTCACATATACATAAGTGCGAGCATGTGTGTGTGTGTGTGTGTGTGTGTGTGTGTGTGTGTGTGTGTTGGGCCAGCTATGTAATTTGTGAGACCCCCTTGCAAAATGAAAATGTGAAGCTTTTGTCCAAAAAGTAAGCATGGGGCACTTTTGAACATGAAACCTGTGCAACTGCACAAGATGTATGTCCATGAAGTCAGATGTGTGTTTGTACATACACACATAAATGTATAAACACACATATACACACACATATGTGTGTATGTATCGGAGATGAAATGTTTAAAAGTCTCAATATGATCTTTTCCAAGACTCCATTATCCGGTGCATTCACTAGAGACGTGAACTTACAATGTCCATTCCCCACTTGAGTGTTCACCATAACGAGGTTCCTGGCATATTAACTTTTCATTATGGGATATTGAATAATTTTAACATTATTCATATTTACTTTTAATAAGTTTTAATGTTAAAACATGCAAAAACAAGATAGAATAATGAGACTCTGTACCCATTACCCAACTTCAACAACTATCAACATTCTGCCTTTCTTGTTATATCTACCCTCTTCCTTTTTTTCAATTTCTTTTGCTGGGGTATTTGAAAGCAAATCTCAGGCATTATACCATTTTACTTGTAAATCCTTAAAAATGTATCTCTAGGGGCTGGCCCCGTGGCCAAGTGGTTAAGTTCGCGTGCTCCACTTCGGCAGCCAAGGTTTCACCAGTTCGGATCCTGGGCACAGACATGGCACAGCTCATCAGGCCATGCTGAGGCGGCATCCCACATGCCACAGCTAGAAGGACCCACAACTAAAATATGCAACTGTGCACTGGGGGGATTTGGGGAGAAAAAAAAAGCAGGAAAAAATGTATCTTTAACAGATAAGATCTTTTTAACAAAACCATGGTATCATTGTCACTTGCCAAAATTAATGATTTCCTTAATTAGCATATAATAATCAGTCTGTATTCAGTTTTCCTTTCAAAAATATCTTTCTGCTGGTTGTTTAAATGAGGATCCAACACTGCATTTAGTTGCTGTCTCTTTTACTCTATAACATTGACCCCTGTCTTTAATTTCTTTCCTCTTCCCAGTTATTTGAGAAGGGAACTGGATCATATATCCTGTAGAATTTCCTTCGTTCAGGTTTTGACTGACGGTATCCACATGATGTCTAGTTAGAACTAGAAGGTTGATTTGATTCTGGTTCAAAAATTTTTTCCAAGAATACTCCATAGGTGATGCTATATACTTTCTTTTGCATCACGTCCTGAGGAACACGATGTCTGGTTGTTCCACTGTTGGTGATGTCTGGATTGATCGGTGGTTTCTAGTGGTGTCATCTACTATAAAGCTTCCTATCTATCTTTCACCCAATGGTTTGAGCAACCATTGATGATTGTTACCTGAATCCATTATTTTATTAGGGGTTGCAAAACAGTGACTTTTGGATTCTATCAAACCTCTTGCATTTATCATCTGTGATTCTTGTAGAAAGAAGAACTTTGTCTAAAGCTGATTGGGAAAGATGGAATAAATAATTAATTTATTCATCTTTAGAATGAGTTGGTGCCCTAACAACCTCCAAAGGTGATAAATGAGGTCTTCGTTTTCTAAGTAGGGGTATGACTAAACCAGTACTTTGAAACAGTGTGTTTAGAATGGGCTGGAGCATGAGGAGACTGTATTTGAAAGGCCAGAAGGCCAAGAGCCTAAGAGGGCCTGAGCAATAGGAGGGGACAGAACCAAGAGGACTAACTGAATATGAAGATTAAGGGAAAGGTAAGCGTCAGAGATTACTTCCAGGTGTGTGTGAAGGTGAGTGGCAGGATTAGGATGCCATTAAAGGAAATAGAAGTCTCAGTCAAATTAACCCCCAAAGAGCCAAACGTACGTGAGAGATATTTTGTCTCACACTTTTACCTATTACACAGTTTTTAGTTAGTTAGAATTTAAGCCAATAGTGGGGCCACCATACATCTGTCAACATGGTGAAGTGGAGCACATTTGGATATTGGATCTCATTTGGAGATGCCGAGTTTGAGGTGCTGTCAGGTGAAGATGTAAGCAGACTGTGGGAAATGCAGGAATGCAGGATAGGAACTTGAGAGAGAGGATGGATTGGAATCGTACACAGAAGTGATGTGTATGTATCTCTGGAAGTAACCCTGGATGCTTAACTTTGAATCCAGGGATTTCCAAGGGAGAGATTATATAGAGGTAAGAGGGCTAAGGAACAGAGCATGGCAGACATCTCCATTTTGATATTTACTCTGTGTGTAAATATCAATTCAGTTCTTAATGTCTGTGATTCTATGACGTATCCTAATCTTCCATTTCTTCAGAACGGTCTCAGATGAAGGGACTACTGTTGAGAGATGTAGGGTGACCCCACGATTGGCTTAGACTCTTGACTAACTGAAAACTGTGTCACAGGTGAAACCGTGAGGCAAATAGGCTATTTCTGAAATATGTGTGGCTCTTTAGGGCTTAGTTTGATTGAGACTTGTCTTAGTTTCCTATGACTGCTCTAACAAATGATCACAAACTTGGTGGCTTAAAACAACACACATTTATTCTCTTAGTTCTGGAGGCGAAAAGTCTGAAAGGAGTCTCACCAGGCGAAAGTCAAGGTGTTGGCAGGGCCGTGCTCCTGTGGAGGCTCCCATCCTGCGACCTGCGTTCATGGTTACCTGAGTCACCCCAGCCGCACAGGTCTGCTCAGTGTTACCTGAATAGGCTTTTGCACTCTATGCTCTCTACTACGATTTCTACCTGAAATTCCTTTCAACGTTTTTTTTTTTTTAACAGCTTTATTGAAATATAATTCATATACCATACAATTCACCCATTTAAAGTATACAGTTCAGTGGCATTTAGTATATTCAGAGTAGTGCAACCATCACTACAAGCAACTTTAAAACATTTTTGTCAGCTCACAAAGAAACCCAGTGCCCATTAGTAGTGATTCTCATCCTCCGCCACCTCTAAGCAACCACTAGTCTACTTTCTGTCTCTACAGATATGCCCATTCTGGACATTTTATTTAAATGGAATCACACCATCTGTGATCTTTTTCACTTAATATATTTTCAAGGTTCATCCATATTGTAATATGGGATCGGTAATTCATTCCTTTTTATTGCAAATAATATTCAATTATATGGATATATCACATTTTTTATTCAACAGTTGATGGACATTTGGGTTGTTTCTACTTTCCTGCTATTATGAACAATGCTACTATGAATATTCGTGTACAAGTGTCACGTGGACATATTTCCATTTCTCTCGTGTGTACACCTAGCAGTGGAAATGCTGAGTCATACTGTAACTCCTTCCTCCTAACTTTGCATATCAAAGTTATGTTCGGAACTCAGATTCAGTGCTACTTCTATAGTGTTCTGCCATCTCACACTCAGAACGAAACTCCCCTCTAGTACTCCCAGTGTTGAGTGCCTCAGTATTGCGCTTACCAGTTTGCCCTGGAGCTGTTATTCCTGCGTGGCTGTTCTCCTCCTACTGTGAATTTCTGGAAAGCAGGGACAGGCTCTCATTTTTGTCTGTCCCAAGACAGCGACTGTACCGCCCTGCATAAAGCAGGAACTCTGTAAGTCCTTTCGAACGGGTGGGTAATACAAGTGTTAAGAATTTCATGTGCTTGATTCTATAAAATGTGTTTAATATTAAATAATAATAATGTTCACTTTCAAATTTCAACAATTAAATGTTTGTCAAATAACATTTAAAGTAAAGGTGTATAAGGTAAACCAGTTTGGTACATTAAAGTCTATTTTATTTTAAATTTTAGAAGCTCCAGTTTTTTTTATTTATAATTAGGAAAATGAAACACTTTAGAAATTTGAGACAGAACTTTGAAAATAAGCATAGCACAATAAAAACAAAAATACATGAGAACATGTTAAAATTTACTGTTTCAAATTTCACATAAATGTTCTAAAGTAAATTTAAAGATTCTTTTCAACATTTTCATTTTCATTATTGTCAAGTTATAAAATTATAAAAGCCCTTTATGAAAAAAATAAGTTTTTACTCATATGGAAAGCCTGTATTTTTAACCGTCAGTGGGTAAGAATGGAGGGACGTCTCTCACTCCCCAAGGCAGGCGTCGTTCTACCGCTTGGCCTGGAAATGCGAACTGCAGCTCTGGTGGAGTCGTGGGTTCCATCAATTCCTATGTTCCAGCATAATTGTTCACATATTCAAAATATTGTAGGCCACTGGGGAGGTGGTAGGTTGTCTCCATAGTCAGTAAGAGGAGAAAAAGAAGCCAGTTCCTAATTCTGTTCTCTCTGAAACAGTTCATGTGGCTTTGGGACTGACTGACTGAATGTCAGTATGTTGGCTGAAATGACAGGTAAGGATTTGACTGTAATTCCAAGGGAAAAATGTACTCCTTTGTTTTAGCTATTAATACAATTTTACTATTTTTAAATGAAAAAAGTAAATATTGAGGCTGGCCCCGTGGCCAAGTGGTTAAAGTTCCATGTGCTCTGCTTCGGCAGCCCAGGTTCGTGGGTTCAGATCCCAGGTGCGGACTTCCTCCACCCATCATCCATGTGGAGGCATGCCACATACAAGAGAGAGGAAGTCTGGCATGGATGTTAACTCAGGGCAAATCTTCCTCACCAAAAAAAAGTAAATATTAAACAGTATTATCCAACTATATAAATGCCAATATTTTATATTTCTATTTATATTCATAAAAATAATGATTCATCTTTTGAATGAAGAACAAGCCCAGAAGTTAACGAGGTTAGTGGTTCCAAACTCTGCTGCATCTTACAATCAAAGGTAGTGATGCCCAGGCCACAGTGACCAACTACATCAGAATCTCTGGGGGTGGGAGCTTTGTATTATCATTTTTTATAGCTCCCCAAGTTAAACTTGAGAACAAGTGAATTAGATCTTATTAGGTCAGAGGCTAATACAAGTTGTACTATTGATTATCTTAATTTGTGCACGTGTAGGTTATCTTTTGCTTTGTTCTCGTGTATGCTGCTTCTATTAAAAGGAAGAATGTGATCTCTTGCTCAGTGCTCTGAAAGATGAGCTGTAAAACTGTACAGGTGTGGTTACAACTCCATCTGAGAACAGGACTGCTCTACGTTTAACCTATAGCACTAGCTCTCATCTACAAGTGCTTACCAAAATCACTAGGGAGGCACCTGAGCTTGTGAACTTTGAAAAAAGTTCATGATTTTGATACCTAACCTTGAGTGGAGCTCTTTAGAGCTGTGCCACGTTATGTCCTTAGCTGTAGTTGATTAAATTACAGGAAAGCAGATTTCAGCGTAAGAGAGAAAAATAACTTTAAAAATCACTTAGTGGTACCCAGCAATGGAATGCTCCATTTTAAGGCAGTGAGCTCTCTGGGTAAATATATTCCTGGAGGAATACAGGCAGAGGTTGGATTACCACCTGCTAGGACTGTTGGCAAGGGGCTCCCAAATTCAGTAACTAGTTGGATCACCTGGTATTTAAGGTTACCCCAACTGTTAAGTTTCTTTAGCCACAATGTGCAATAGATCACTTACAATGGATATACACATTGCCATGAAAACTCACTATTTTACCAGAAGTATCATAATTATTTTTGTTTCTAAAACAACTTGATTAGAATTAAGTAGTGTTGATTGCCTTGGACATCAGTCTTACTGAGGGGAATACTTTTCCCCTTCTCCTCATGCTTGCGTGGAACGGAGGGAACTTCCTCTTGCTCCTTAGGAGAGAGAAGTGTGGAAAGCAGCTCTGTGAACCCTCATTCATTCCCTCTCAACAGAGAGGTGTCTTAACGGATGAGTGATTTTGGGAGAAGGAACTGAGCATGGGTGGCCCAGCCCGTGGTGGGTGTCAGAGCTCCCTGGTCTCAGAATGCAAAGCTGGGCTCTGTCCCTGCAAGGCAGAGGTCTGCAGATCCCTCTGCCCAGGGAGATACATTAGGGAGCCTCACTGGAGAACAAGTCAACCTTGGTCTCTAGTTCAGCTTCATCGATAATAAAGCTGATAGCTTGCATCTCTCTAACTCCCATGTCTTATTTCTCACTCTTTTCTGAAGTGAAGAGGGGAATAAGAGAGTTACCTGTTGATGTCCTTAAACCCCATAAGCATCACAATGGAGTCATAAATGGTAATTTCCCATGTCTATGATACTTGTGTTCTGAAATAGCATTCCACTATTTGTTTGAAGTCAGTGAACAAAGTGTTTCCAAAGTACAAAAAGAACAAAACATACAAAGCCCCTCTTTCTTTACTGGCATCAAAAATTGGGGAATTCTAACAGCTCAATTGTCTATCTTTAGGAAACAATAACATTTTCCAAGTTTCTACTTTATTGAGAATAATCTCAGTCGTGATCTGCCGAAGTTGGTCCTGGGCAATTTGAAGACAGGTCTTCTTTATCTGTAATTTATGTGATAAAAATGAAAGATTAATACAAGTTATATAGTAAACTATTCTAGAAAATTATTTCAACATAACATATTTTTTTAGTTGTGTTTGCTGCTTACTCTGCTAAACAAACCAGGAAAAGATAAAAAAAATAACAACCAAAATTCTTCACTCTCAAGTACAAAGTCCTTCAATTCAAGTTTAGCCTAGCCAGCTTCAGCAACTGTGTTAAAAGGGAAAGCCGTGGCTCTACAAGACATCTGGCAAGTTTTAAACCGTTTCTTTCCTTACAATGAAAAAAAAAAAATGGAGTGGATTTCAACATTCTGATTTTTATGGTTCAGGGACAATATTCTAACTACATAAAAATTAGTCCTAAAAACTTAATATTTCCTTCAAGTATCTTTAGGTGAAGAAAGAATCTTTAAAAATCATGAAAAAAAATTCATCATCCTCAAGTGATTAGGAAATTCTTTCTTTTGAAATAGAACTGAAAAACTCCCTTCTACACATTCAGTTTCTGAAAAGTTAAAAACACCTTTAGTAAGGCCTCAATTATTTCTATAACCACTATTTCTTTAAGACATTAATCCTGCTTGACATTTAGATGGAATAAGAAATTTCCATTGTCTACTGGAAATGTGATTTTTACAAAAAGACCAAAGTTAAAAATCAAAAAGCACTTGTGTACAATATTTTTAAAAAGTATACAGTATCTTGTTACCTTCATAGGCTGTTCCACACCAAATACAATACAGATGCTCTTCTCTTAAATAACTTGTTAATATTTGTAATTTTTCCAGTACCTAGATAGAGGACACAAGCATATTAATAACTCACACTGAACAGAATCTTGGTTTTCTGATCTCCTGGATCAAACTAAATTAGCCCAGGGCAGTAAATGTTTGCTACACTCTCAACCACTTAGGAGAGAGGCCAAGGGCAGAATATATGAGAACATGTCCCAGTTTACCAGCCACCCTGATGTTTTCACAAGTCTGCCAGAAACAACAGAAACCACTTGCTAACATTTAGAAAATAGGCTTTGGCTGGCTCTTTTATAATCAGCATCCTGCAAAGACCCCTTCTACTTTCAAAGAATCTACCTCCCCTAGATGGGATGAGGTGCTTCTCTTTGCCATTAAAGTTCTCATCAGTGGTCTCCCAGTTTAGTGGAACATAGGTTTTTCAAACTGTAAATGTTTCCCACAACATTCTTATATACATGTAACCACAGAAATGTGTATTCCTTTCTTGAATAATCTCCCTTCCTCTGCATCGTGTTTTTTTGCTTTATTTACGGGTGGAGGAGAGAGGTACTCATTAGAATCATTTCCAGAAGTTTAACAGGAAACAAGGTCAAAACTAAAGTAATTTCCATTTGTAGGTAATCCATCATCCAAACCTAAGCTGAGGTGAGAGGGTAAATTGAAACTAAAGGGAAAAATTATATGAAGCTTTGATTTGGCGTTAATAACATAAACCTATAATGCGGTGGTTTTGAACTAGGGGTGATTTTTCCCTCAGGGGACATTTAACAATGTCTGGAGACATTTCTGGTTGTCACAAGGGGGAAGTGAAACTGGCATCTGGTGGGTGGAGGCCAGGAATGCTCCTAGACATCTTACAGCGCACAGAACAGCACCCCACGACAAGTTACCCAGTTCAAAACGTTAATGGTGCCACGGCTGAGACACCCTGCTCAAGGAGCTCGTGCCAAAACATACACTTAAATCTTCACTCGTATATTCATCTTCATCTTGTTCTTTTTCTTCCTCTTCCTCTTCTTCAGTCTCCTCAAGCCTCAACCAGTACCATGCCTCCCTGGGAACTTGAATATTCTGAAAATGTAGAATTATTCCCAATTAAACATAGCTAAACATAAGACTATCACAAGTATGTTCATGTCAACAAGTATTCAATCTTTCAATTAAATATTTACTGAGTGCTGCTTCAAGAGGAAAGCACTGTACTATGAACTCTGGGGATGCAAAACCCAATTAGAACATTGTGTCTAAGTTGCTGGCAGTCTGGTACGGAAAATAAGCTATGGGTATAAATAGCTTAATGGGTATAAAATAATACATATAAGCTAGAAAATCTTTTTTTTTTTAAATTAATTTTTTGAGGAAGATTAGCCCTGAGCTAACATCTGCCGTCAATCCTCCTCTTTTTGCTGAGGAAGACTGGCCCTGAGCTAACATCTGTGCCCATCTTCCTCTACTTTATATTTGAGATGCCTGCCACAGCATGGCTTGACAAGCAGTGTATAGGTCCACACCCGGGATCCGAACCGGCGAACCCCAGGCCACCAAAGCAGAAGATGCTAACTTAACCTCTGCGCCACTGGGCCGGCCCCAAGCTAGGAAATCTTAAGTGTTATGACACACATTCAAAATTAAGTGCTATGAAAATAGAGAAAAGTGAGAGATTGCTTCCAGCAATCTATTTATATATGAGGGAAATTTTACAAACATTTTTGGGACTTTAAATGGAGTCATTTTAATTTGATGGTACTTGAAACATCAAAATAAAAAATAAAAGTAATTTTTAAAAAATGTTTTTAAGAAATGTTCAAATGAAATAGATAGTATTCTACTATGATTTTACTAGTTAGACACACAGGAGATACTAAATATGGACTGAAAATAGGCTATTCTGGCTAATCAAATATTCTGGTGAACAGAATTTCCACACATACTAGCTCTGAGCAATTAATATTCAAATAAGCAGAGAACAATTAAATGTAAAAATATTACTGAACCCTTATTGGATAATTCAGACTATACAGGTTCTTGCAGTAATCAAGTCATTATTGTATCAACTATCATAGATCAGTAGTGCATGTTAAATAAGAGCTTTAATGGGTAGAAGGCTAGATATACCAGATTTGGAGTTCTTTTTTTTTTTTTTTTTGATATACACATGGCAAATCACACTGGGTGCCAAAACACTTTACCAAACTGAAAACAGGTGAAAGGCTTGCCTTCTGAGTATCCAACTGTTGACAGGCTCGCTGGCTTCTTCTAAGATCTCCTTCTAGCTTCATTTCATCTTGCTTACTTTTAAGTCTCATTCTAATTGAAAGAAAAAGTCATATACTAAAGGTCTATATCCTCTTTATCCATTTTAGAAGCTGAAGTGCCAGAAAACATACCACAAAAACAGCTCAAAGTTTTACCGAAATTGTTCTGCAGCTTTTTCTTCAGCTTGATTTTTCATGTGAATCTTTCTTCTGTAGCTTTCTAATTTTTCCTCTGCTTTCCGTTTTAATAATGCCTCATGCCCAAGGCCACTTTTCCCTGTTCAAACAGATAACGCTGATGAGAAACTTACTTATACTTCAAAACTTGACAACTTAAATATTTACAAATTGAATGCAATTCTAATTTGAATACAATCCCTCAAAATCAATTGGAAAGAATGACAGGAAAAACACACTAGAGATTTTTTTAAAAGACCCAAACACACAATTTGATGTTTACAAAGATCATCTGTCTGATCTAATAAGATAGTAGTAATACTATACAGATTTTTTTAAATCAGGAAAATAGTATCAACTGTCATACTTTCATATAAATATGATGAACAAATAAAACATATTTTTTCTCTTGCATTCATCTGAAGTATTAAGAAAAACACAATGGATAAATCTGTCTCAGAATACTTTTAGGATATTTTAATGGGAAAAAATAGCTTTTTGTTTTCAATAATTACAATAATTTCTCCCCATATTTATGACTTAAATTTTATTTTATATTCACTAAAACTTACTTTTATTTTTAGTTTATAAGGTTTAGAAGTTTAACTAACAAACATTTTATTGAGGGCTTCCTATGATAAGAACTGTAAGAGTACCACCATAAAAAAAATATTTATTGAGCAAATATATGTGATAGATCTAAGTATAAGTTATTATTACTGGTAAATATGCTAAAAAATACATACCTGTTTTGACGTTGAGAGGAATTGGTTCAACAATACCATCTCCTAAAAAAGAGAACAAAATACAAACTACTTCAGAAATTCTTCCTCAAACGACAGGTAAGCATAGCATGCAACTTTACAATGTTCTATACATATCCCCTCCAGTTTTTATGGTATTCAGAACTGAAAGCTGAACATCAATACTCTATAAGCAGCTACCTCCCTTGCCTTCAAATACCTAGTCCTCAATAAGGCTGACCCATGGCCTCTTATGCCACCCGAAGGCAGAGTTTTAAACACTGATAGACGTCTAAGAGAGCGACAGCCTTGCTAAGTGAAGTTCAAAGCCATCACCATAAAGGAGAGAAGAAAAGAAAAACAGCTGACAGAAACTACTATAAATATACGGCCTTTACATCTTAACAGTCTCACTTCCTAAACAGAGGTGAGAAGTGAGCTTCTCCAACTGGGTGGTCATTCAGGCAGCCGCCACAGGTCCAGAGCAAGCAGGGCAGAGTGCCGACATCATCTTCAATGTTGCTTCTCTATCCTCTGACCATTGTATTTCTCAACCCTTCACTTGTCACCACTCTTAGCTGCTGCCTCCATTGTAAGCCTCGTCCATTCCACTTGTTAAAGCCTTCAAGGCTGAGCTGGGCTGATAAGCAGCTCTTGACGGCACATGGCTGTCTAAAGCGGATGTGGGAAGATGAAAGTTCTCTGTAAAGTTTGTTAGTACGTAAGAGACTAGGAAGCTTAAATTGTTTTAATTTCTGTGTAGATGGATACAGATTAAAGAGTCGTCACTGGTACACATCAATACATCACCATCTGGTGGTTAGGAACAGCTGTTTATTTCCAGATGTGACTCACCACTCTTGCCAAGGGCCTGACCACTTTTATATCCCATCTTTTGGAGCAAAGCAAACCCTTTGTTTTCACAGCCTAGGGCATTCTTCAACCCAACGTCACGTCTTTCTTGCTCTTCTTCTTTTAAACTCTTCTGCCTGTTTTTCAAATTAGCTTCCTGTTGCTTTTCTTCTTTTCTACGGGCTTCTCGGATTTGCCTCAGCATTGGCAATCCTGGTCTGATATCTTCTCTGAAGAATAAGGGAAAAAGTTATTCTAGATGAGTACATGAAGTTTTCTCATAACTTTGCTACTTACTCACTTGACACAATATTTCAGCACTACCTTTATGATCAACTTTGTTATCCTTGATATTAGAACATAATCAGTGGCCTCTGAGAATGGCTGCTTTAGTAAAAATGATGAAGGCTGGTGTCAGATTGTAGGAAACTACAGAAAGTATAGAGTTGAAGTTAGAAATAGTAAGTCCAAACTAATTTTTCCAGGAAGTTGGCAACAATAAAGAGCCAAGCTGAATGGTAGCTAGAAGAGACAATACGATGAAATAAAGGAAAAGAGTAAATTTCCTTGGAAGAGGGGAATAAAAAAGATGAAGGGCAGAAGTAAAACGCTTAGCATTAAAAGGGAAGAAGAGGCTCCTAGTATCTTTGTATTGACACGCAGGTGGTGTGCATAAAGCAGTAAGACTAACTTTCCAAGCTCACACTTAAAATCAGTATCATTGCTCAAGAGTCTACCTTATTGTCTTACACATGCCCTTACATGAGGTGTACACATTTACTTACTGGACATTAATGAAGACGTCAGACATATAGTCGTCGTCTTCTGCCATGTTCAACTTCATATGGCAACAGTATCTACAAAGCAAATAGGATACAGTAACAAGTATTTTTTTAGTTTACCAAAATGGACATAAACTTTTCTGTATCCCCAGCCATGACCTTTCTCTAGAGTGCTACCACATATTCCAGTGCCCTTTGACATCTTTCTCTGTGGCACTCTCAAACTCAACAATCCAAACAACTCATTCTCTTCTACCCCAAACCTCCTTCATCCCCTATATTTCCAAAGTAATGTCACTACTATATCCCCAATCTAGACCTCTCATAAACCATGTTAATTCTTACTCCATAATATCCCTCGCAGGCATTTTTTTCTATGCGATCACTGCTTTAGTTCGGGCATTTCTTTCTCACCTGAACTATTACAACAGCTTCCTAATTGCTCTCATTACCTTTGGCCTCTCCTCTTCCAATCCATCCTCTACATCTCCTCCAGAGTGGTTTTTTAAAAACCTAAGTCTGGTCATGTTACTTGCCTGTTTCAAATCCTTCAATAAACTTTACCCTATAGGCAGTGGAGGACCAGTCACTTTAACACTGTAGCAGGAGAGATCCTTCATAATCTGACTCGACTCTCCCTTAGGATTCATTATTCAAGCCACATGGGCTTCTCATTGTCCTCTGAACACACTACCGGCACTTCCTTCCTTCGAGGCCTAGGCTATCCTCCTTCACCAAAACCTGTCCTGACCACTCCAGGCCTCTCCCTACAGCACTTTCTGTTCAACCTGCTCATTTGGAACTTGTATAGTTAACACCTCACTTATATGGGAACATTTTGAGGAGAGTTTCCATCCAAAATAGTTAAAATCACATAATTATTGGCACTTAAAGGGATAAAATAATTATCCAGAAAGGAGCATCTCAAACTTGATGTACATGAATTGTGCCGGGATCTTCTTAAAATGCAGAGTCTGATTCTGAGTGACCCTGAGGTTCTGCGTTTCTAACAGGCTCCCAGGTGATGCCAGTGCTGCTGATCCAGTAGCTGGACACAAAAGGGTAGTCACTTGTTGCAGTCTCCAACCCTAGTTCCCAAGACCCTGATTCCTGTAGCTCTTTCTTTGATGCTGTGACCTAGCACTCTTCCCAGCTATGTCGGCTAATAAATTTCCTCATTACTTAAGCTTGTTTGAGTAGGGATTCTGTCAACTGCAATCCAGAGACTGGACAATTACCCTGGATGAAGAAAGTAGTACTGTACTGGTTTTTAATATTTTTATATGTATATCTTCCAAACTAGGCTGTAAATCACAAAGACAAGTCCCCTATATCCCCACTGCCTAGCACTGTGTCCCAAACATCATAAATTCTTAATGTTTAGCTATGATGCGAATAAGAAGGGGCTTTAATAATAGTTATGATTTTGTAATAACAGAATACTTTTCTCCCTACATCACCATATCTTGTTTCCAAAAAAATATTTTTGTAAACAGATCATCAATACAGAAAATCACATGAAACAAATATATGGCTTAATGAATTTTTATAAGGCAAACACTCTTGTAACCATGTGGTAGCCTCCAAGATGGCCCCCAAGGATTCCTGCCTCTTGGTTGTCAAGGTCCTTGTGTAGTCTCCTTCCACAGTGAAGAGCACTGACCTGTGTAACCAACAGGATAGTCTGGAAATGATGGAGTGTGACTTCTTGGCCATAAAAGACACAACAGCTCCTGGATCATGTTAACTCTGAAGTCAGTTAGATTACTCACTCTGAAGAAAGTCAGCTGTCACGTAGTGAGGACACTTAAGTAGCTCTATGGAGAGATCCACGTGGGAGAAACTCAGGCCTCCTGTCAGCAACCAGCATGAACTTGGGAGCCACACAAGTGAGCCACCTTGGAAATGGATCCTCAAGCCCCCGTCAAGCCTGCAGATGACTCAGCCTGAGCTGGCATCTTCACTATATCTTAAGGAAGTCCGGGCTAAGCTAAATCCCTAACGAATTCCAGAAACTGTGAGATAATAAATGTTTATAGTTAATTCAAGCTGCTAAATGTTGGGATAACTTGTTACACAGCAAAAGATAATACAAACCATCATCAATAGCACATCCTTGTCAGCTACCCAGGAGTCCTCTTTGACCCCTACCCAACTGCACCCTTCCAATCACTTCCTTTTCTTTATAGTTTCATCATCCTGAAACATTAGTTTAGTTTTGCCTATTTTTCTTTTTGTTATAATATTCTAAGTTAAGAATGTGTAAGATTATATACAGCATTTGTGGTAATTCACCCACTGTCTCTAAAGCTCAGAATCTTCATTTCTAATAACAGTATTTTTACACATAATGGTTTAGCACCTACCCAGTATATCACACATTTTTATCCCATTTAATCATCATTAACAACTCTGTCAGGTAGGTAGGTAGTTCCACTTTCTAGTTGGAGAAATTAAGGCTCAGTATGGCTAAATGACTTGCTCAACACAACAAAAAATCCAGGTCTCAGTGCTCTTGCTACTGCCAATAGGATTAGATTATCTTTAAGGGACCCATTTAGCTCTAAAGTGCCAGGGGCTTACAGATTATTTTTAAAGCTCCCTTTTTATGATTACGATATACTGTGGCATCATCCATTCTCATCAAGCACAGGGATAAACTTCACAAGGCGACAATCCAGGCAGAGATGACGGTGGTTTGGACCACAGCGACAGCAGTGGAAGTGGTTGGAGTCTAGGCATATTCTGAAGGTAGAGCTAACAAGATTTGCTGATGATTGGAGGTGGTGTGTGAAAGATGGATGCCAAGGATTACTCCAAGGCTTTTGGTCTGAATATCCGGAAGAATGGAGTTACCAGTTGTTGAGAGTAGTTAGACTGTAGTAGGTTTCGTCCGGGTTTTGGCTGGGGTGTTTTTGTTTTTGTTTTTGTTTTTTTGGCAGAAAGCGGGCGGAGAGGTGGCAACAAGGGTGCTACTTCAGACACACTGAGAGTCCCATCATATATCCAAGCGGACAAATGAGCTAAGTAGTTGAATGTACAGCAGAAAGGTGACAAGAAACGCCTCTCAGTCCCAAACACTCCCTTCAGGCACCACTGAGCCCTTGCCTCTCGCGTCTCTCCCGGGTGCAAGCGTGCCACAGACGCGACCACTCACGAGTGGGAAGGTGGGAGACGATGTGACGGGGTAGTTACAGCCAGCGCACAGATCACCGCCCTTTACCATTCTATCGGGCGCCTCCAACCCCTTACCTGGCATTTGTACTCGCCCCGCGTCAGCTCGCGACAGCGCGCTGCGCAAGCGCCCACTCACCTGCGCAAGACTTCTGGGCCTCGGCTCCCGCCGGTGTTTCCCTGTGCGGAATCAATACAAAATCTACGGCAGGCGGGGCTAGGAGGACGTGGTTAGTGCGCTTGCGCAAGACCAGCCTTCTGCGCACGCGCTGTCCCCTCGTTTCCTGCCGGCTAGAGTGAGAGAGGCGGGGCATCCGGGTCCCTCGGCGGCTGCTTCTGGCTGCGGAGCTCAGCTGGTCGCCTCCTGGCAGACTAGGAGGTGAGGCCGTTCCCGTCCGCCGTCAAAGCATGGCCGTTGACACCCACTCACACCCCTGTCTGCTCGTACATTTTCAGAAGGCTGGGGAGGAAAATCGAGTTCGTAGTGAGCATCTTCCCTTTTCAGGCGCCGGGCTCGGTTCCAGGCTGCCGCCTCCTGGAGTTGACAGCCCGAGTGACCCTGCCGAGGCCTGCGGCGGCCTCCTGCGCTTCCCCCAGACCCGGCGCCGCGCTCCCGTCCGCGGAGTCGCCGGGTTCGCGCAGACCCGCAGCGCGCGCGGCCTCTGCCGGCTGCGTTCCCGGACCGCCCGGGGACCTGGCCGCCCCCAGCGCATCCCCGTGGGAGGACTCCTGGCCTTCCCGTGTGGGATCTGTATGCGAGGATGCCCGGACGTCCCCCTGGGCCCCGTGCTGCAGGAGAGGGGAAGGCTGCAGTGCACGGAGCGGCGGGCGAGGGAGAAAGGTGGCTAGGTGGTCAGGCCCGGCCGGTGGATGACCTCGGTGCTTCAGTTTTCCCATTTACGGAATGGGTTAAGGGCATGTGTTTTGCTAGGCCTGTGTCTTCTGGAGTAATGCCTTATTTGCAGTACATATTTTAAAATATTTTCCTTTCACTCCGTTACTCATTCTTCCTCGCCAAGCATTTGCTTTTGTTTTTGCTTGTACCCCTGTCCTTTAAAATTAGGTTCTCAGGTTTTGCCTCAAAGAAGTTGTAGATTTCCTCCAAATGAGATGAGAAGTAAAGCCTTGCTTTTCATTTCTTAGTGGTTGCATTCATTACAAGGTTGCATCCTTACAGGTATTCTTTCTTTATTTAAGGTCTGAATTTAAAACTTCAGTAATGGAGTTAGCCCACAGTTTATTGCTAAATGAAGAAGCTTTGGCTCAAATCACGGAAGCAAAGAGACCAGTTTTTATCTTTGAATGGTTGCGATTTCTTGATAAAGTCTTGGTTGCTGCCAACAAGGTATGGTATTGCTTTTTGTCCAGCTGGGTTAATGTAATAAAGAGTATTATGTGTTCGTGATTTGTAAAACACATTATGTTTTGGAAAGGTCCTGGGTCGCTTATGGAGCTTGAGAATATTACACTGTAATGGGAATTTCTCGTCTGTCCTTTTTCTATTCTGTGGCAAAACCCAAACCTCGTTTAAATCCCGTTTGTTGCCTCCTTCATGCCTCTACCTGGACAGTTGAATGTGACTGGAGAAAAACATGATTATGTGACTGCTGTCACTTTAAATTTGTTATCTCCAACTTCAAGTGGTCCCTCAGTGCTGTCTAGCAATCCCCGTATCTTCACTTATTTTACTGAGGAGTTATTAATAGGCTTTTTTTTTTCCTATTCTTTCTGCATGGTCTGTTTTATTCAAGTTGCCTTTCATTATCTGTCTGTTTTATTTTCTGTCTTTAAAATGAGATGCTTTCCTGAGACATCTAATCATCTTTGGCTGTCTCCTCAAATTTGAATGAGTAGTAAAAAGTTTCCTGGGCAGGGTGAAGTTTGTTAACTGTACTTCCCAGTAGGCCAGTCGGGTCTTTGAGGAACCCCTGACGTTAGTATCTTAGGTTTCTCTGGGCTAGTCATTCCCCAGAAGAGACTTTTGTACTCTAGTGTCATAGGGTATATGGCTAGCTGCCTAGGTTCTGGGGATTAGGGGAGAAAGCTGGGGACTTCAACATCCAGTATGTAAGCTTTCACTTAATTCACTGTTTGCACTGCAAGTTTCCCCAGCCCGCAGCTATGCCTGAGCTCCCTTAGTGCAGAATGGAGGAGCAAGATATGGAAGTCTTATGACTTGTAAAATAGACTCTCAGTCATTTCCTTCATTTCTAGACACAGCTTCACTCCCTCATTTATAAGCACCTAGGAAAAAACAAAAACAAAAAGCAAACAAGAACTTTTAGAGCATTCTGTGTTATAAGATGGATCTCTTCTCAACTTTCCATAGGGATACCTGGCTTCCATTATTTGTGTTGATTCTTTTCCTATTTTCTTTGCCCTTGTGGATTTGTGCTTTTTTTTTTTTGGTTACCCTGTAGTATAGTTTTGGTAGGGTTTCTAGAGAAACAGAGTTAATGCATGGATTCATTTACAGTATTTAATTAGAAGTTTCTGTTTTCTGTTAACCCCCTTCAACTGGATACTTGTGGCCTCCACTCTGCTGAAACAGCTCTTGTCATCAGTGATCTCACATTGCCCAAACCAGTGGTCATTATTGTGTCCTAATTGACCCATCAGCAGCTTTTGGCATAGTTGATCCTCTAACTTGAAACACTTAAAATATTTTTTATTTTGTTGTGAAATTGAAAAATGCAAAAGAGTATATAAAAAGTTATTTAGGGCCTGGCCCCATGGCCTATTGGTCAAGTTTGCTGTGCTCTGCTTCAGTGGCCCAGGTTTGGTTCCCATGTGTGGGCCTGCACCACTTTTTGGCAGCCATGCTGTGGTGGCGACCCACATACAAAGTAGAGGAAGATTGGTGCAGATGTTAGCTCAGGGTAAATCTTCCTCAGCAAAAAAAAAAGTTATTTACATTATGAAGCCTGATAATATGAACATCTCTATACCCTCCACCCAAATTTAACAGTGGATTGTTATCATTACTGTTGATGCACACTTTGTGTCAAGTTCTTCCTATTTGTGGTTCCCAAGACGTATTTGCTTTTAGTGCTCTTCCTATTTCACTAGTTACTCTTCATCTCTTTCGTTGGCTCCTTCTCAGTCCTGAGCTCTTTTTTTAAAAAAAATTTATCTATACTTACTCCTTCAATGATATTATCTAATCTTAAGAATTTTACTACCATCTATACAATAATAACTGCCAGCTATCCTACAACCTGCTCCACCTCTTTATCTTGGATATCTAAACAGCATCTCAAAGTTAATGTGTTCAGTACCAAATTCTTGAATGCCCTCCCAAACCTGTCCTTTCTCCAGTGCTCTCCAACTCAAGAAATGACCATTTCATCCTTCTAGTTGCTCAGGTCATAAACCTTAGAGGCATTCTTGATTTCTCTCTTTTTCTAAAACTTCAATTCATATTCATCAGCAAATCCTGCTGATTCTATCCACTAAATATATCCAGAATTAAATTATTTTTCGTTAACTCCATTGTTACCACCCTCATCTCTCATCTGGATTACTGCAACAGCTTCCTGAGTGCTCATCTGCTTCCAGCCATGTACCTTGTAGAGTATTCTTAGCTCAGTAGTCAGAATGAGCCTGTTAAAACATTTAGATAACATCCCTCCTCTGCTTCAAACTCTCATTCAGAAAAAAAATACAAAGTTCTTACAATGGTGTCTAGGGCACCACGGAATCTAGTTTCTTCTACCCTTCTGACTTCATCTCCTACTCCTTCCTCTCTCTTACTCTGCTCCAGCCAAACTGGCCTTCTTGCTGTCCTTGAGCATGCTAAGCATGCTCCCACCTCCAGGCCTTTGCACTTGTTCCCTCTGCCTGGAATGTTCTCCTAGGTATCTGTGTAGCTCGCACCTTCACTTCTTTTCAGAGAGGCCTTTTCTTACTAATCTATAGAAAACAGTGAGAACTCACACTATTCATTTATTTGTTAAGTGCTGTCTCTCCCCACTAGAATGTGAACTTCATGAGGGCAGAGACTTTGTTGTGTTCCCTGTTGCTCCCCAGTGCCTAGAATAGTGCATGGCATGTAATAAGTACACAATAAGTTCTTCTTGAATGAATGAATGAATTCTCAGTATTATGGGTAGATGTGAATATTTTTTCTGTTGCCTAGGGCTCCTCAGAGGTCTTCTGGTTTCCTTCACTGACCTGTAATTTTAGGAACTACTCACTTTGCTTTTACAGGGAAGCCTTTCTGGGTTCTAAGATGTCAGTTGTCCATACGCCCAATATTTTGCATCCTTTGACTATTGGTTTATTTCCTAGTAAGTTGACGTGGAAACTTTTTGGATCTAGAATAGTCACTTTTATTGGCAGCTAACTTTGGGATTGGAGGAGAAGGAAGGAGAATATTTAATCTAGGAAACAATGGTTCATTTCTTATTGAACTTTTCCTTATCTTGAAGATTCTCATGGTTGTATGCCTAATGTAATATAAATTTTAATCATTAGAGTGTCTTAACCATTAAGTATTTTTTATTTTGATTAAGAGGTAGCGAAAATACGTATAAGAAAAACTGATGATGTTCTTTATTTTTTGTAACAGACTGATGTAAAGGAAAAACAGAAAAAACTTGTTGAACAATTAACCGGATTAATAAGCAGCTCACCTGGACCACCTACACGAAAATTGTTAGCTAAAAATCTTGCAGCCCTTTATAGCATTGGAGATACTTACACTGTGTTTCAAACACTTGATAAGTGTAATGACATTATCAGAAATAAAGATGACACTGCAGGCTACTTACCAACAAAATTGTAAGTACTTACTTTGACATCAACCCTTGAAGTTTATTTTTTAAGAGTAATGCATCTTAATAAGGGACTACTGATCGTGAAGTCCCCCAGGTAGATGGAAGCTGCGGCATTGCTGCTGACAGTACAACCTCTCAGTAGGTCTGGGGAAGGGGTTCTATTTCAGTATATGCTCCATCACCACTGGGACTTTGCAGAGTGTTGGTATGATGTCAGCAATTTGTACGGGAATCTTTTGGTAAATTTGGGTGGAGATAATATTTTTGGTTGGAATGGATAGGAATGTAAAGAATTTCAGAGTTATGGAATTGAGGCAGGAGTGAGCAAACTGTTGCCCACAGGCCAAATCCAGCTTGCTGCCTGTTTTGTAAATAAAGTTTTGCTGGAATACAGACATGTCTGTTCATTTAAGTGGTAGTTGCTTTCGTGCTATAATGGCAGACTTGAGTAGTTGAGACAGAGACCATTTTGCTTGCAAGTTTGCTGACCTCTAGTTTAAGGGCTTACCCAACTCCTAGACCCCAACTCCTAGACCATACTTGTGGTTCAGAGCAAGTGTTGAGGATAATGGCTCTAGGGATGCATCCTGTGAAAGAATCAGATAAGAAAATCAGCAGTTATAGTAAAATGAGGAGTGCTGTGGGAGGGAAAGAACACCTACATAAGCTTATCTGTGGTGTGAGTGGAGAGCAGTATCAAAAAAGGCTTCTCAAAGAACCTTCAGCCAGAGAAAACCAACCATCAAAGATGGACACATGGAAATTAGTCAAGTAAGGGGTTACGCTGGGAAGAGGGGAAGGTGGACGTGATAG